AGACACCACCCCCCCCAGCTGGACCATAGAAACTCGAACCACACTGATTGTTCTCTGCTCCATGAGAGTCGGCAGCACTACCATAGAACCCGGGTGCTCCACCAGGGTACCCCCCGGTAGGAGCCCCACCACTCGGGCCTCCAGGAGGTCCAGCGGGACCTTGGCCTCTGCCGGGGTGTCCAGGTCCTGGTGGTGGAAATGGAGCATGTCCATGACCACCGCTTCCGCCCCCACCTTGGCCGGGTGGTCCGCCTTGCCCACCTCCTCCCCCAGGAGGAGGAGGAGGGGGCGGTCCAGCTTCAGCGCGTTCACGCCGAATATTGCAGCGCGCACATCGCTCGAGGCCGTCACCAAAATGACTGTGATCCTCACAGACGTGGTTCCCACACTCCGTGCAGGAATACATAGAGACCTCCTGGGCACTTTTACGACATGCCCAACACTTCATCTTCAAGAAGTGACAATTGCAACAATCCCCATCGTCGCCCCGGCAAAGCCTGCAAAACTCACGATTGCACGTAACACACGAGAATTCAGCGTCCGGGTGCCTGCGGTCACTCGGATCATCGAGGGCACAGATCTTTGGCGCACCTGGGCCACCGGTACCAGGCGCTCCTCTTGCGGCCGGTGCCGAGGCCCGTCCACGATCGGATGGAGTTCCAGGGGTCCTCCAGCTATCGCCGGGACTATGGATATCAGCACGAGCTCTGCTCCCAGGAGTCTTCCAGGACTCTGGATGTCGGCATGGGCCCTAGTACCCCTACCACCTCCTGGATGACGGTCTGGGTTCGGAGAGACGCTCCCGCTATTGCGGCCTTTCCAGGTTCGGAGAAATGCTCCCGCTATCGCGGATTGGCCTTTCCCCCCTCGATTGCCGACTCCGGACCTCAGATCCCCTATCGGGGACGGCAGCAGGCCTCGGGCTCCTATTTCTACCCACATCCCTGTTGGGGGAAACAGAAATGTCCCCCCTTGCGCGCGCGCGGGGGCCATCCCTCGCACGCTCCGGCGGTGAATGCGCCCTCACTCGCCCTGGCGGGGAATGCGACCTGTCAGGCAGTCCCCGAGCTCTTCTGCTTCTGCTGTCAGCCCTCTCCCTATCGGGATGAATGGGATGCCTGTCTGCACGAGAAGGATCGACCCTACCGGGCACATTTGGCAGAACATGATCAGTCAAATCAACACCCCCGCCCGGTCTCACCGGAAGGCCAGTACCCCGACCGTTACCTTCCCCAGGAGTGGGCGTCGGAGACCTGATTCTATGTCCCTGCCCCGCAAAAGCATGGTATCCAACATTCCGTCTTTCTCTGGGTACTTGAGGATTCATCTGATTATCCTGGACACCCTGAATGATGCCAGCGGCCTCATCAACATGACCTTCAATCTCAGAGAGCTGAGCCATGATTCTGTTGTTCATTCCATTAAGAGTACGCATGTTACTCTCGACAGTGTTGATTCTCCGCATTGCGCCATCAAGCGTGTTCCGAAATGAATCGAGCTCACGCCTAACGGCAGACCGCGCTTGATCACTATTCGCAGGGAGATTGCGGATCTGCCTTCTGATGTCATCAAGGACCCGGTTCAGAATTCCCGATCTCGCTTCATACTGCTCAACATGGGACTTCACGGTCTCAAATCTCGCGATGACATCGTCGTGATCCCGATGTTGGCGTTGAACTCCGCGAGATAGGTCCTGGACCTTCCGATTCACCTCGTCAATTGCCTCATGCCAGTCCTGCGGGGAATCAGGCCCTGATGGTCTATCGACCGCCTGGGACCCCCTCCCACTTTGCAGCCTCGACATTCGATCAGCAAGAATGATTTGTTCTTCATTAATATGGTCGGTTAGCCGATGCGCTCGGAATCGAGGATCGTCCGTCGATCGCTAGCCCGTTAGGGCGAGATCCCAGTGACCTAGAAACACTAGCAACGAGTTCACCCCTAATGGGGCTCGACCGCCAGGGAACGTAGTGCTTCTGCGAAGAGGCCGTCACCCCTGGCCATTGAGACCGATAGGTCAAAGGCGAGGAGGGCTAGCCCCTCACCAACGGGTTCAACTCCGCAGGATGAGGAGATGCCTGATCCTGCTGATGTTCACATTCACTCTACTCCCGAGTCTCGTGCATCCAACATTGATCCCCGATCTGGCGATAGCCGGAGAAGGGGATCTACCCCTAGCAGGCCATCCAGGATAGGTGAAGGTCCTGTAGGCGACCCCAGAAGATTTGCTAGAGTTAGTGGGGCTCCTGAGAGGATCGAGATATCGACTCCTCCAGCACACAGGTCCCATTCTCCCGGTGAGTCAGGTGACGCCAGGGCAAAGGAGGTGTTTGATCTGCACATCCAGGAAATGCTCGAGCGGGGTGAGGTGTCTAGTTCAGTCGCAAAAGCGTTCCACATCTTTGCTGACCAAATCAGGTTACTGAACGGTCAGGTGGGTTCCATGCGAAAGGAGTGGAGCGACGAGAATCAGCAGACGAAGGACAGGGTCAATCGTTTGGCGACTGAGGTTGCGACTCAATCTGATGCCGGTAGGATGCGAATGATAGTTCAACGGTTTGCCAGCGAAGTTATTCCTGACAGCAAGGCCATTGTGAGGCAAGCCATCGATGAACAGGCTGAAGTCGTGGATCAGAGGATCAATCTGCTTTCCCACGAGGTTCATGAGTCTGTTAAGGACAGTGAAATCGCAACAGATCAGCTTCGTCAGATGATTCAAGAGAATCGTGAGGCCACCCGCAGGAGCCATGCTGCTTCCGAGGATGAGATCCTTAAGGACTTGGACAAGCTTGAGGGGCGGATGTTCTCGGCAGAGAAAACCGTTGGGATGCGGACGCCAGCAGGTGAATGGAATTTGAATCCTGCTGCGCAACCGCCCGATAGGGCTACCAGCAGTGGGGCAAACGCGAGTTTCAGGGAGTTAAACCTGAAGCTCGAGAAGGTTCTTCTTGAACACGAGAAGTTTGCTAAGTGGGCCTCCGAATCTATTGGTGGTCTTTCACACCTGCCCCAACGGCATCGGCAGCCCGCTCAGTGATTCTCGGTGAACCAGTAACCCGGTTTGAGTTCTCGTCTCTCTGATTCAACGAACCTCCAAATGTAATATTGGGAAAGGGTGGAACATTTGGGGCATCACCGATCACTGGGGGACCTACCGGCCCCTCCTTGTGATGGATGGCCTCCAATCCTCGAAGAACTTCCCGGCTATCCCTGGCTCTCTCTCTCTCGCTTCGGGCGTCCCTGTCAACTCGAAGGTCCCTAGCGTCTCCACGAGAGAGGCTCCTGGGCCTCGCAGCAGCACGGATCCTAGCATTTCGGCGTGATTGGTTCTCTTCCTCATCACGACGATCCGCAAATGCGGCATATTCATCATCATCATCGAACTCAAACTTGGCAGAGGCAGGGCTAGGCCTTGCAGCAGCACGGTTCCCCGCATCTCGGCGCGAACGGTCCTCCTCCTCATCCGCAAAATTGTAATCTTCGCCATCATAAAATTCAGACTTGGCAGTATTGGGGTTGGGCCTATCGGCATCAGATCCCTGCTTTGAGCTACTGCCCCAGCCTGCGGTTGATTTCAACAGAGCATCGTATCCGAAACCTGTGAACTTCCGCTCCTCGTGCTCCACAAACTGACCTGGATTTTGAGAACCAGTGGATCGACCCGAGATATCTCGGAGCCAAAACCATAGTCCCTGGTCCTTGCGGCCTGTCCTCAAACTCATCCGAGACCTGCGATTCACCTGGAACAAGAGGTCTCGGGGTTCGGGTCGGCATGGCCTCCGGGTCGTCCGAATGAGGGCGGGCCATGTTCATCGCCGTGCTGATGAAGTCGAACTGTCCGCGCCTGTGACCTGATTCAGAGCCGCTCCTATCGGAGCGAACCCTTCGTGTCTGCTCATCATCAGTGGCCTGGCGGAAAATGCGATCGTCTCCATCGTCGGTGTACCTGCCACGGCTCCTGGGTGTGTCCCTACCGGGATCTTCACCCCTGCGGTCCTGACCTGCCGAACCTGCTTCGAAATCCTCATAATCGAAGTCCGGTAGGTCCTCACCTGAGCGGAGGCCCCCTAGGATGGCCTCCTCATCCACGACACTCCTGTGTGATCGTGGGGTCGACATAGAGCTTGTAGTTGATGGTCTCAAGCGCGTAGGAAAGTCCTACGGCTGATAACCTGTGATTCGGGCACGAGCCTGTGCCCAGGCAATGGGTTAGTTGGGGTAAACAAGCCACAAAAGAAAGGTTCCCCAAAAGCAAACCAATCCCCGGTCCCAAAGATCAGGGTTTCCCACACACCAGAGAACAACAACCAAAGGAAACAAACCAAAAGAGAAAAGGGTTAACCCGCAACCTTGATCGACAACAGGCCGCACGACTGGTCCCTACCAACCTGGCGGCGGCCCGAGGTCTCTTTCTCCCCCGAGATGCCGTCGGTCGACGCAGGGGTTCGGCGACGCACATTCGAGGCGCGACGGAACCCGTAAAACTTGAGCCAAACATCACAGGTCAGTCACTACCGCGACGTCCCTGATGATGAAGTTAACCATGGCTAATCACACAAACAAACCCATGCAAGCAAATTCAGTCATCTTCAAACTCTCGGGGTGTTAAATCATATATTATGATGTAAATATCATGCATAGTATTTAGCAAACACAGGTAAGACTCTATGATCGCATCGCATCCGGGCTACATGAAAGCAATGGCCAACTTGACATAGTCGTCGCTTTGCAAGATGCCTTGTCCGCAAAGGTATCGGAATTGGTGGAAATGTTGGCCCCATGTTTTCTGGTTTTCTGTGACCCAACCGGGCTAGCACGACCCTGCGTATGGATAGCATCAAGAAGAACGGACGGATCCCCAGTGGGTAACAGCTTCGTTTTTAGTTCATGTTGAAGGGAAACCCGCTCCAAAAAAAACAAAAAACAAAACACAAAAACAAAAACAGATGACACTGGGCAGCTGGAGCCCCCATAGCAATCGAAGGAACTGAGGCCGCTGCAGCCATGCCTTCCAAACGATCCGCAGCAAGTTGTTGCCTGCCGAGTGCTTCTTGGCGGTCGCGCGCCAAGCGCCAAACACGTGGTGCGCTCACCCGAACCCCACAAGCAACAGCTTTTGGCAGTGCCGGATTCTTTTCTTCAAAGCTTCGGATTTGTAACGTCGAGGGGTTGTCCAAGAAACCTGAAGCCTGCAAGACAATTTGACAAAGCCGGAAAGACTAGGCTTGTGAGCATGAAGATTTCAGGAATATCAGCCGTTGGGATTGGAGTGTCTTGCAGACGCTTCTCCCATGCAGGCCAGCAAACGCCAAGTACAAACTAAGAAGGAAGCAAATCGTGCAATTGTGAGGCAACAGGAGACACGGATCTACCTGTACAAGCAAGCCGCCTGGCAAAGACTATATCTTGTAGATAGCAAAGATTCGCACACATGCCAGATCGTGAACATGGATCCCTAAGAAGGCAAGATAGCAGCCTTCACGATAGGTGAGAATAAGGTGTAAGACGCTATTGTGCAATCCGTCCACGCTAAACACGCAAACACATTTTTGGGCCATGGCACAACCCTCTCACGCATACCGTGAGGTCGCTACAATTTTGGCCAGAGTTTTACCCTGGTTGCTCAGAGACCACAGGGAAGCGATGGACTCATTCGCCTCTTCTTTTTGTGGAAAACCAACCCGGACGAAGAGAATAACGGCGTTATATATTGCAGAGCTTCGTAACGAAGCTCACGCGGCAGCCCTCTGTATCCGTCCCTTGAATCATCCCCTCCCCCCTGCAGCCTGGAACATGTTTCAACGAGTCTGTAGATGGCGATATCAACATGATCGTGAATTCTCTACTCTGCAAAACGGCAGGTGGTTTGCAGAGAGTGCCAACCTGCACATGCCAACATCTTCTTGCAGTACTGATTGATCAACATCCCTATTACGCTGGTTCGGTCACTATGCGTTTCCCGGATTGATAGACATGTGGCACCATACAGATACAAGAGCAAGCACAAGCAAAACCGCACCAGCACGATTCCACAGTAATTAATTGGAAGCCGCAAAGAACATCACTATGCAAATGGCAAAGCTCGGGAACTTACTGAAATTTACAATAGCAACAAGCAGGAGCATTTTCAAGACACCATTCCCACGAATTTGCCATTACACTGCCTATTCGGCACGTTCGTCAAATCATGTAACAAGCGTTGAGCTTGCTGCCCAAACACATCTTACACGACACATGGGCACAATGCAACAGTTTGACAAGCAAACTCTCAGAGATTCAGCAGTCTTCGACATGTCAGAGCTTGGTGTAGTTCCTTCAAGGGAACTCACATGTTTGGGTACTGAATAGCTCCTCTCGGACGGTGATGATGAAAAGAGGCATGTATTCAATACAATGTGGGTTGGTAACCAGCGAACCGAGGGGTCTTCACCATGGGTCTGTATGTCCACGCTGAGAAACACATTTTTACCAAGAACCCACTCTGTTGCCTGCGCGGTGCTCGCATAGCTCGTCCGTGCTCACTCGGGCCTTGGGTCGGGCCGATGGCGGGGTCATGCAGGACCCCTGGAGCTGTGGCTGTCTGACCTTTCAAGGCATACTCTTCGAATCAAAATGGAAAGGCGGTCGTGAGAAGTGTTCGCAAAAGGTTTGTAGGTTGCCTTGGAAATGTGCAACACAAACAAGTGCAGAGCCTCCTTTTATGTGGGAAACATTGTGTGTATGTATTGAATGCCGGACAATGAGAGCTTCCAGTTTTGCTTCGCGCTCGGGTGGAGGTGCTAAATGGGTGTGTCAAAATAGTTGTCCACAAAAGGCGTTGTTCCGCTGATTTTCCGTTCCAGCCACCCACCTGAAAAGGTACCCTCGAAAAAGCACACCAAAATCTAAAGGCAAACCTGGGACAATTGCATCTACATTGCAAAGGGGTTTGCAGCCATCATCCAGGGTGAAGGTTTTTTTCTTGGGTGCCTTTGGTGAATAGAAGTTGCCTAGACGATTGGCAATTCACCCCGAAGGAAAGCACACAGAGGATACTCGATTTGGTTGATGATTCCAGATTGCCCAGTTTGCCATGTAAGTGTTGACTAAAGCAACCCGCAAGTCAACACCATCACTACCATGAATGCTCAACAATTGGGGAGCTGATGGGAGCTGACACAGATTTCAGAAGGATGCCATGATGGTTGCCAACAGGATATATACTTGTCAAAGCCTACATTGATTTTGCTGGTAGATGTGAATAGCCTGATGAACATAGACACACACGACAAATATAATTAGGGGGTCAAACTTATCATGAAGCAGACATATATAAACCTACTACCTACTTATCATTTTACAGGCTCCCTTGTATGTACAGACACGTGCGCTTAAAGCGAGGCGTTTCTTAGGACTTGTGAATGGTAGGTGAATGCATTGCAAGTCGCTTCGGGAGTCCCCTGAGGCAGCAAAACGTTGTCGCAGTTTCTCACAAAACTATCATTTCGGACTCAACACGCTGAAGCAAATAACTGAAAACATGAATCCACTGAACAACTGTGCGTGTGTGCGCGTGGGGCAATCTGAGCGTTGGCACAAACAATGCTCGTACTTCCTATTTTTCTAAGTGACCCTGCAAAAACTACATGACAAGGTGCCCACAGGTTTGGTTCAAGATACGTGCGTACCGCATCCAGGAGAATCCAACCAATTGATTGGCGTTTGGTCCCTTCTTGGTTCCTCGCAGGATTGGCAAACGACATTCCGCAATATAGCGCAAGCGAGACTTAGTGCAAAACCAACGGAAAGAAAAGAACGCGTTTGCCTGCTGCTGCCAGTGTCCAGCACACAAATACAAAAGAGACTGCATGCAAGAAACACCGCAAGACGTGCGACGTCTGCTTTCGTGCGCAAATAAGTGCCTACGAAGGGGTGCGGCCCCTGCGAAAGCCTGCGTCCAAGCACAAAAACAAACGACAGTACATCAAAGAGCAACTACAAGACGCACACGCATCTGCTTGCTGCTGCAAGCGCCGTGCGCACAAGTAAGCACAAGTAAGCGCGTACGACGGAGTACGCGACATGCACCTCGGCCGTCTAGGCCAGGAAGCGGTCAGGTCCACGTGCAGATCATACTAGAACCTGCGCCACGTGACATTCTATCATACAGCACAAAAATACAAACGAGACCACGTACAAAAACAACTACACGACACGCGCGCGTTTGCTTGCTGCCAGTGTGGCGCGGACAAGTAAGCGCAAACGAAGGGTGTCACTCCTGGCTCAGTTAGGCTGCCCACAGCCTCCTAGGCTGCAGGGCGGCCAGCTGATAAATAAGTTGCTCTGAAGACGCTCCCAGAATCAGGCTGCCATCTAACTTTCCCCCTCAAGTCATTGGTCGTTTCCCTGAAAGAAACACAAACCAGGGACCCTTTTACAAAAGCCAGCAAACCTTACAAAGGTTGCTCCCCTTTCCCTTTACGACCATCCTCGTTGCTGCTCCCAAATCTTTGGTACACACAAGACAAAATAGAAATACGTAAACGATGGACACTGAGGGACATCTCGTGACATTGTTACCCTTGAGGTCTGGCCATCTGTCAAAGGCCAAGCCTCTTGGGAAGCATCTTTTTTTCGCAGCAGCTTTCCCGTTGCTGCAATCAGGAACAAAAACATCCATGAAGATCCTGCTCCGGGCAAACAACACGACCACGACTGGGTGAGATCCCCGGCAGCGTCTACACAGTAATTCTCCTCGTCCAAGCCCAGGAAGGCATGGTCACACATGATGCTGGACAAGAACTGGCTCACCTTGAAACCTGAGACGCGGCTTCAACGTGAAAACCCCCAACAAGACAGACTTCCCTGAATTTCTGAAAAAGATGCGAAACCCGTCAAAAAGGAAAGAATGGACCCGCATCATATTTCTAGGGGTGAATTCGTTCTCCATCGTTTCAACTATCATTCTGTTTGGCACCCCTCCCCTGTGTTGTTGGTCGTTTGAACCAGCATCCCTTGGAACAGCGGGGAAGTTTGAAACTACACCTATATTGCATTATATTGCACGCCTCTGAATAGTTTGGCGGCTTCCTTCTTCCATCTGCCAACTAAAGGGTGTGTGCCTTGCCAGCTCTGCGTATTCAAGAATGGTCAAACTGGACTGACATATCTAGCTTATATCTAGCTTGATAAAAGGAGACATGCAAATCAGTTTACAAGTAAAAACGGTAAACACGTTTTGGGAAGAGCAACTCACAGCTGCTTTCAGGGATGGCACGGACTGGACTCCGGGCCCGCCTGCGAGGCACTTCATAAAGTAGTCCTTCCATGGAGTCCACCATGCCTGGTGCAGCTCAAGGTGCTGGAAACTCGACTCCCTTGGGTTGCGTGGTCAAAATGCCAGCACACAACAACAGGGCTTCAAGCTTGAGGAAGACCACCTTCGCTGACTCTCGGAATGGTCGGAAAGGCCTTGACCCTGGCACTGACAAAGCAGGTCGAGACTTGCACTGATTCCCTGATAGATGGAAGTCTTTCAAATCGCAAGAATTCTCACAAAAACTCATGTGCATTGCCCGCTGAACACGAATTAAAAGCATCAGGCAACCTCTCAAAGTCTATCTCCGTGTGTGTGTGTGTGTGCGCCTCTTGCTAGCATAGCCGACTACATGAATATTGAAAGTCAAGAACCTTCATCAGCATCTGTATATCCATCACCATACCCGATGCCACATGCTTGCTTCGCTTGAACTAGGAGCAGGTGTTGCATAGAGCAGTGTTGGCATGGCGAGTTGGATTCGTATGTGGGCGTCATGTCCAGCGACCATGAACGACATTAGCCCCACCCAAGATGACAGCACAAGGACGACATGAGCTGGCAAGACTTTCAAACGACTTCCACCGGCAAAAAGGGATCTCCGAGAAACAAATCAAGTTGCTTCAAGCAGAAGTGGTATCCCAAACTACTTTGCTCGCAGGCTCACGGGGGTCAGCTTGGTGCTTTGGGCAGGGCTCCTGTCTGGCATCCGTCTGAGAAATGGGCGGCAACCATTGCAAAGAAATGAGTGCAGTGTCCTTGCACGTCCCGCAAAACACATGACTCCTGATCTTGCGTTCTGGCATATTTACATTCACCGAACCTTCACATGTCGATGCCCATCCGTAATCGTGAAAGCCTTGGTGGCGTCGCGGTGGCTCCAATGAAGCAAACGGCTTCAGTAACTGGTCATGTCAGTAATCCCTACTCCTGGACATTTGACAGGCCTACTGGTGGCCTACTTCTAACGCTTGGACAAGTGAAACTTGCACCACACAAGGTGCTATGTTCAATGCTTTGTCTACACACGCAACAGGTCAACGCTAAATGCCGATTTTTGTTGAGACACATGAGCGGAAGGGCAAGTGTTCGAAACGGATTGACTTCCCGGCTTCGACAGGAACGTCCCTAACTGGACATAGCCACAAAGACAACAAGAGAACAACTGTCAAACAGCGACAATTGGAGGCCAGAAATGGCGCAAAGCTTAAAGGCTGCAGTCGGCCATTGTGGACGACCGGCCGAAATGGCCTGAAAGCGCTCCCAAATCTTTGCGTGCTCCAAGGTGTCCTCAGTCCAGGGTCCCAAATCATTTGGGTTGGGACACAAAGCCGGGTAAGGGAAGGTTAGTAAAAGACGTCACAACTGTAAAATTGACTCTTTGCATGGTTTTGGTTACAGCTCTTAGTACCGCGTTTGTATTGTGACCCAGATGCTATTGGCGTTTTGCGCAAGCGTCGGAACCAGATCAAGCATTGGCCGTTGCCGTTAAACTCCTGCACCTCTCTGACAGTAATGAACCATTTTCAACTTTCCCCCTTCTTTCGAGCGTTGGGAATGACACACTGCTGTGCTGTAGTTCCCCAGATCAGAGGGCGAACATTGCTATCATGTCTCGCTCAGAATCAAGGGAGTATCCGTTCCATTATTGACTACCTCAATACCCCAGGTACACTCAAATCCTGAACTGGTTGGTGTCCCCTGAAGGGACAGCAGCTGGGCTATGAGTGCCAACTATGCCACGCAGCCCCGTCCCAAATGCATGACAAAAAGGGGTGGCACTGAACAACTGGGCTCCGCTCTAGAAGCGGATATAAAGTCGGGCGCTTTGGACCATGTCGGCTGAACATGCATGCTGACAAAGCTTGAACTCTGCAGAAGAAGGAATATTATGGAGTGCCTTAAGACGCCTATGTCAAGTAATCGCCTATTGTGCTTGCCTTCCCCGAAGGGTCACCAAACAGTGCTGAAAAGAATACAGCTGGCCATTGCAAGCTTGATGGATGATAAGTCAAGTGGAACACCGTTCCAAACCAATGACGGCACAAGGAGTGATATGCCTTATCTCAGCGGAAATTGGCTTTCGGAGTTGAGGGGCACCAGGAAGTTTGTGCTCAGGACAGCAAGAGTGTATCCTACAGGCACGGCCCTTGGAGGTGCTTGGGCGGCTTCAGGGACCGGCGACAGACACACCGTGCCACTCCAGCCTCGGAGGACATAGTTCCCTCGCTTTCCAGCCGCGAGCGCGCTGACTGGCATGAGTGCCCGGAGGTGAGTCACTGGCCACCCCTTTGGACCCCATGTGTTTCCCTACCTGTTGCCAAGGCCAAGGACAATAGTGACGTCAAGATGTCTTGGTTCCACCTACACCTAGGGTGGGCTGTTGAACCAGTCAGCTATTGCCAGTGTGGCATACCGCAGCAGAACGAGGCACCGCTGTGTTTGGATCAGGATTCTGCATTTCATCCTGTGGCAACCATTCCATCACTCATAAAGCGGTCGCGGCATGCATCACGTTTGCGAGAAGCCACTTCCAGTGAGGGAGGCTCGTCGTTGTCGTGCTGGTGTCAGGTTTACATGAGGTCAAAAGGGCGGCAAATTTCAGACATGGGAATCTTGATAAGATGTAAGACACAAATGAGCCCATCTCCACATTGCCAAACATCCGGAGGTTTCTTCGCGAAATCGCCTATGCAGCTTGAAGGATTCGCAGCTGGAAAGCGTGCATCCAACCGAGTGACTTCGGGGATACGTTGTCAAGTCAATGAACACGTCCCGCATCAAAACTCTCTCAACCCTAAAGGTGAGATGCAAGGGTGTCTCATCACCCAACAACTAATATAACTAATGACGCTGAGCTTACATGTTGCTTCAAAGACGGTCTAGATGAAAAGCGGGCTGCCCACAAAAACAGCTGCACAAAGCTGCAAACGCATCAATGGCAGCTATCAAAGGTGGCTAACAACCGGACCACGGACGCTCGACTTTACCATATGTGCACGGCAAGCAATAACCCCCAAACACAAACACATATTCCCTACACATGCAACAACAATCCGCCCACACAACATGAAGACACTTCAAGTAGTCTTTAACCAACATTTTCAGAGCTTTCACGGACTCAAAACCGTCTTTCAGTTTCGGCTGCAGTTTTGGGCGCATGGGTAGCAGTTCAAGGGTCAACAACATAATGGCCCTTGTTAGCAACCCCGCTTTGGACAGAGCAGACAAAAAGGCACTGGAGCACCAAAGTGATGTTGTCAAGGTTGCAACTCCCCTTGTGAGGCCGACATCATTTTGCACGGATTGCACGGATTGAGAACCCTGCATGGACCCATTCAACCTTTTAGTGGTGGCTTCCACATTCTTTGCAGCGATCATTCTTTCAGGAAAACAAACCAACAAACACCTGAAGCGGCAGCGGCTGATCTACTTGAAAGGAAACAACAGCAGCCACGCATCCCTTTAAAACAATAACACACGTATGGTCCGGTCATGTTTCGGGGCTTTGGTAGAATAAGACAACTCAAAAATACCAATCCTCTTTTGGTTTCCCTTTGAAAACATTTGGGTAAATGAACAAACACATGAACAACTAGTAAGCAACTTCGATATCGAAACTCTTCGTTGCACCCATCAAATTGGGACATCCGCCGAGTTTGCTTCGATCTCCGTGCCTTGGGGCTGAGAGAGCTGGAACTGGGCACGGACCGCTTTGGCGCCTGGGAGTAGCTGCCATCGTTGATGTGTGGCTTTGCTGCTGGTTGGTGTGGTTGGTGACTGTGGGATCCGTGGATTCTTTGCCACTCGGCTTGTCCCGAAAAGTTTAAAGGGGGGACGTGAGTCTGGAGGATGGTGGCCCAGTTCTGTGTTTCCACAGTTTTGGCTCCTTGCACTGGGGCACAGGGTGGACTGACCCAATGAGCCCAAATGTACTGTTTCACCAAATCGAAAAAAGATGCCTTGGCTCCGATGCGCTCCACTCACATGAGCAGGCAATGTTACATGTCTAGCACAATGCACAAATTGGCTTGAATTTGATTTGGACTCGTGTGGGCCCTTTTGCCACAAATCGAAGCCAAATTTGAGGGGGGCATCTCGTTTTGCAGCAGTGCAAAAGCACTTGTAGGACAAAAGCAGCCGATATACCTGCAAGTACTGCGCGCCAAGAAGAAGAACTGCACCGTTCAAATGGGCCATGGATCTGGCTGGGCCATGGTGCACTTTGTGAAGCCATTCGGCTTGCTGCAGACTCCTTCTGGACTCGTTTTGGGCTGTTGCTTTTTGCCGGCTAGCGCGAATACCTTGAGACCTCGCAGGGCAAGACTTGCAAGAGTTCGTAGCATGTACATCGCGCACTCACTCTCTCTGACACAGGTATGTGAGGGCCGTAGATATTTTTCCTAGGAGTGCCGATAAGTCGGCTTCCGCAACGCTTCCGCGGAAAACGTGCTTAAACACGTTTGCAAGCGTAGTAAAGAAAGTGCAACTTGGCAGCCCCGGCTCGAAAGTCGCAACTTTTGAGCGCAAGAGCACTATGCGAAGACCAGTGCGGCAGCTCCGACTTGCAAGTCGCAAGCTTTAAGTACAGTGCAGTACGGTAAAAATAGGCGATGTGTTTGTTGGGTATGGTTCGCCCTTTCCAGCAACCACAAAAACAAAACAATAAGCGTGCCAGAACCATGGCCTTGGGCCAGGAGCTAGCGAATCCAAAAGCGCTTGTAACACCAGTTCCTTGGCTCTCTGCTTGCTAACCGGCTTTAGACCCCTGCACGCACGACGCACAAATACCCCTGCTCCTGTGGATGCAACCCAAGCTTTAGGGCAAACAATGATTAAGCCACAAGGCCCTGGGCTTTTAACAAGGAAACTCAAATGTGGACGGTTAAGCAAGGGTGTTTAAACATCTTTGAAACAAGGGGTTAGCCGAACAATGCCTTGCTCGTACAGGCTACTTGGCTCTTGCCAGACTACTTTATGGGTTTTGTACTAGAGGCTATTTAGCAGGGGTACGACAAGCATTTGCAGGTGTGAACCATTGATCAAGCCCGCTCCTCAAAAAGGTATGCATCTCTCTCCTCCCTCTCCATATATGGTCCATCATAAAGCAGGTCGGCAAGCAGAGAACCAAGAAACCGATATGAACAAAGATCCATCTTGGTCCTCGCTCTGAAAATCGGACGTGTGCCTGGCCGGACATCTCCTTGACCAGCTGCAGGGTGTCGAGAAGCCGCTGCACCTCCTGCCTGTAAGGGAGCGCACAAACAAAGAAACAGTTGGAGGTTGCAACCCGCAAAAACCCACTCAGCACCTTGGATTCAAGTACGGTGCCGGGCGGATTGGAAAAACTCTTCTACAAATACACAGATATTGCAAAGGGCAACCTGAGACCACACTCACAAGGAGACGAAAACAAGCTTGGCGTTGGAAGCCACCGAAACAGTGGCAACAAGGGCCGCCAGGTCCAACTGGAAAACAGAAAGAACACCCCATGATCTACAGGTACCCAAAATATTCGAAGCCAGCTTCAAGTGGAGATGCCTTGTACCTTCGTCTCAGGTCAACCATTTAAACAAACGCAAAACGCTGCCACCATGCCAGGAAGCATGAAACATCATCAATATGGTTGAGAATCGGTCATGGTGACCTACAGGACCTAAAGGCCCCTTCGGTGTCATGCGTCTTTCAAGCGCCTGCGGACCCAACCGCCTTGAGCGTCCACTGGCTGCACTCCCTCGCAACCTATGTAATCCTCCGCCAAATTGGTCCGTGTCAGAGTGGTGGCTTTCCTTCGCCTTCACGCTAAAGCGATGACCTTACATTTCGCAACTTGTGGGGACACTGGATCTGTGGAGAGGCGTGTTGCAAAATTTGGGTGCGCAACCACGCTGCTCGAGAAAGCACACGCAGGGGGTCAGCACGGTTGCTCGACATAGCAAAGCGTATCATTTAGAAACGATTTGTTTCAAGGATGAACAAAGGACCACGCCTCCACTAATAGTCATCAGGACCCACCTTTTGCTTCTGGGTCACAAAACAGGGCCTTTTCATGGTCATTGCCAGTGAATCAGTCATATTCACATAACCTGAGACATACACACACACACAAAGGTATGTGTCCACACAGCGGGGGGCCAAATGGTTGCTTCCCTTTTGGGTTTTCCTGGATCCTCAAACTACCCTTAGGCTGATATTTCTCCAACATTCGAGGTACCCCTGCCACGACCCCAACTCGCCTCAAGATCCAGCCGTCCGGCTTGAGGCGGCCCAGCGCGATCTGCTGCAGCAGGTTAGCGTACTGCTTGCCTCGACAACTGAAACCCGCTCGCCCGCTTGGCTTCTGGACATGGTGTTTTGTTTGGGGATTCTGAAAGGGAAACTAAAAGGAACATAAACACCCAAATAACTACAAGCATGAGTCTCCCATTTTCGTGACTTGATTTGGTGCTTGAGTACCTCGCAACCCTTCCAGTTCCATGTTTGGTTAGTACCCTTGGAACTCTATTGAATTTGGAGCTTAGTGATGGTTTCCCATTTACCCTCTACAAGAACCAGGGCTCAAATCCCCTAACCTCCAATCCAAACCACCAACTAAGTGTTACCTAGCTGTTTGTTGATGTCAAAAAGGGGGAGATGGAGATGGGGGTGTTTTTTTGAGGCGTTGCTCACCTAGCAGCTTCCCGCGGGCTTTTGCAGGATCCCCTGAAAAGACTTGCTGTCTTCCGCATGGAAACAAGCAGTAGCACATAAATCTACGGACACGGATCAACTTTGCAGGTAGCCTGGTATCCTCCAACATAGGGGCCCCCTCTTTAGGATGGCGTTTAAAGAGGAAATCTGCTTTTTGTAAGGGTTGCCGTTCACTGCTTTTTTCCGTGAATGTCCAGTCTGAACCCTCCTTGAATCACAAGACCTTGACCAAAGAAAAACGACCACGGCAAGAAACACCTGAGACGCAGTCAACTAGCTTTATCTGCATGAGAACCTGAGTAGTGGAAGGTCAGTCTGTGAAATGTCACTCAGGCACTGAAATCAGACAAGCGGCCAATCTCCACATTGCAGGAGAACATCTGCATCACCTGCACAGGTGCACAAGGCCACAGTGATTTGTCCAGCCATACCTGCCAACATCAATCCATTGTTGGCCAGGTATAGTGCTAAACATATTGTGGATGGACAAAATCCTGCATTTGTCAGTGGGGCGTTCCATTGCTCGCATGGTTTCATCTATGCCAACTGCTGCAGTTGCAGGACTGCGTCCATCCACAGCGCTTAGACAGGGGTACGCGTTCCAATTTAGAATGTGCCTTCAACTTCTTGGAAAAGCAACTCACCCTAACCCACCGGCTTAACTGTCTGGGCTCACATTGCATTTGGAGCCAAAGGCAATTATTTAATTGACATCTTAAAGGCGTGCAGCCGGGCCTGGTCTGCGTGCTCCTTCGTCAGACCGCAGTTCATTTGAAGCTCCTCCCAGGGAGCACTTAGCCATTAGATGAACCCCGGATGAAAGGGTAAACCCAACCCGAGGTAGAGTTCTTGGTGCACATGTACTTATAGATGCAAATATGTGCCACTGCAATCTGTATATGTATGTGCAAATGCAAGTTGTGAAGCCTGTGCATGTGCGCGTAGGTAAATATATATATATATATATAATATATATATATATATATATACCACACAATCAGAGAAACATGTTTGCTTAGCTTGATGGGGCGACTCTGCAAACCATAAAGACGAAAAACTGGCTAGTCAAGTCCAGTGACACATCAGTAGATTCATGATGGCTCATCGCCTGCTTTAGAAGCTAGATTGGTGGGGTTTCGAACCCTGCGGTTGCTCTTGGAGGACGGCACGTGTTTTGGAGGCTCCCCTTTTCAGGTTGGTTTGAAGGAACACCAAGAGAACAACCAGCACTTCGGGGTTCCCCATCTTTTGGCATCATAACATCCCCACCCTCTGAAGATGGGGGGGAATGCAATTTGCACATTATGGGGGTTCCACCTAAAAATGTATGGGGTGCATTCTTGGCCTGCAAAGCATTGCAAAGCCTGCCAAATGTACGAATACATTTTGGACGCTGCTGGATCTATCAGCAAGGTACCTCATACATAACCGTGATACAATTTCATGAAAACGTACTATTTGCTTCGGCCGCCCGTCTCCCATGCACACGCACACACGCGCGCTCGCTGAGCTGCGCAACCGCTGCAGCCAACCAGGCGCAGCTGGTGGTGGCGAAGCCCTAGGATATATACCTGGGGTAGGGTCCGCTTATATCTTCAGCCCACTCTCGGACCCTGTGGTGGAATATCAGACCCTTATTTGTGATCGAGTAACGCAGTGGAGGACTATTCTGCGTCCCCCTATTTGAGATACCCACACCAAGCTGGCTCGACGAAAGGTCAGCAAAGATCTTCCTCGATGGCGACATCTTGATCTTCATGGCTCCGCTGGATCAAGTACCTCAGCTGGCATGGCTTTTAAACTGTGGGGAAAGTGACGAATAACTGGAAACTCCCTATCCAATGGCAGTTGAAGGAGGAATCCAAGCATTCATTGAGGTCCCCTAATTTCAGGAACCACTCATATGGATCCATATGGTCCATAACTTGACACTCTGCCATTTCCCTTTCCCAGCGTCAAAAGACGAAACAGGTCGGCCTGAGCCTTTTAAACAGGACGGTGGGCCGAACTTATATCGGCCGACTCCAACCCGAAACCTCGGTTGATACAACCTCCTTTGGGTTTTCCTTAGTGGTCGTACTTTGTGCAACCCCCAGGAGTCACCCTGAGATCCTTTTTCCCCAAGCTCCTTGAAGCTCCTTGCTCCGAATTTTGTGGAAAAGGACAGCTGAAATCAAATATTGGGGCGGAGTCCAAAGGACGCAGGAACCAACGGCCAAAGCCCACGCCAAATCCAAGCCATGAGTCAACGGCCAGTGTACCTGAATTTGGCTCCGTTGCGTCGTCTCTTGCAAGGGCTGGCAGCTTACACAAACAGCCAGGGAGAAGGAGAAGAACACAACAAAGCGGTTGACAAGCGATTCTAGTGCCATCCCTTATCGGGGTGATCTCACCTCCACAAATGAAACAATCATGGCCTCGCTTTGTTCTTTGTCACCAGCGTGGTTTTACCAACAGCACAAGTGAAGCAGGGTCCCACTGAGCAACACATTCACACACACGCACACTCAGAAGTCCTCTCAAAACGTCTGGATCCAGCATTTCTCAGGCCCAGTCCAGGCACTGTTTGTCTAAACCAGCAAACCCATACCAGCCGTCACAACCAACACCTGGGCCATCGGCTTCTCTTTCCAGCGGTAAGCCCCCCTTCCCCGGACACCACTGCTTTCTAGATCGAGGCGCTTGAATTGGCGGCGCACGCTTTTCCCGCCGCTCTCTTCCGTTTTCAGCTCCAAGATGTTCTGGCGACGTTCCGTTTGTCGCGTGGCTGCAATGAAAACCACCAGAATCGACCAGGTGTGAAACCTGCCGATTGCAAAAACCCGGACTGTTGGACTTGATGGTAGAAATGGCTCTAGCCTATACCGTACTATTGTGGTATCTGAGGCACTAGCTTGAGGCCACTCGAATCTACTTGACCCATCTTTCAAAAGAGACAGGTGCCTGGCCATACTTCGAAAAATCCGCACCCCTCGGCTCCTGCAATTGGAATCGTTTACACTAGATACACGTTACATAGTTTTTACATACCCACGTAAAATAACACAATATACGCCGTAGAGTAGGCTTTTACTCGTTGCTCTCTGGTGATGGACGGAGTGATGAGTCCCTGACTGTATCATGTGATTTGAGTGTGCTTGGGTTACCTCTAAATTCGCCACAATGCAATACTTTCGCACCTAGCACAAAAGAACGTGACCAAACATGGCGTCCCACTGCGCATTCCCAAACCCGAAACATAAACACACAAACAAAACAACACATTCCCATGCTGAGAAAAAAAAGACAACGCACACACACACACACAAAGCACACATAGCTGCTTGTGGTTGAAGAGGTTCTCCAATCGGCTTTGGCCCTGTGTGGGACCCCTTTCGTTCAAACTGTGGTTTTAAAGGGCAACACGCAGAACATGGGCAAACTGCAAAAAGGGAGGGGGGTTCCCTACTTTAGGAATGCGTCGGAACATGCAACAAAACAAGCTTTCCTGGATGTGTGGGCAGGCAATCCCTGGACAGGACAGCACGGATCCAGGACACGTTCTATTGTCAGTTGCAAACCACTTCAGAAAAGAACAAGTCGGCCAAATCCCGGTCACATGTCCTCTGGTACTGGCAGGCTTGATTCCCAGCTGAGTATTACATGACAACTCAAGCTGCATCCACCAATGTGTGACACACAGAAGGCACATTGTCTTGCAGCATTTATATAGAGAAGGTGTTGAATCAAGGGACTCTTGTTAGGGCTGACTGTTTTCAAGGGAACCCATCACAAACAATTCGATAATCCAGCGCAACTAGCTCCACTAAAGTGTTGACGACCGCAACATACGCGCAAGCTGCTACAATGCCCCAACATCAAAGTATTTCAGTTTTTCGCTTGCATTGTACAGCAGACCAGCGAACAGCACAAGAAAAAGGGAAGCTCCGCTGTTCTTCTGCTCTTGAAGGGACACCCACTCCAAAGAAAAGAACAACGACAGGCAAACTAGGCGTTGTTGGACGGGGATGGGAGCAGCGCTTAGTTTCACTTGTTCCAGTGAGTTTTGTTTGAACATATTCATGTTGGCTTCCTTTCTGAGGGGTCCATGACCTGGTTGCTAAAACCAATTGAGCACCACCTGAGCATGAATGCTTGTGGGCCTGACTACAACCCCCACAACCCCAGTCAAATTGTAGAGGCTGCCAAAATGGCCTCTTTTCAGGGTCCGGGTAGCAAAATGAGCAATAGGCTACGGTGGTTTTGGACGCTCTGGACATGAAGTCTGGGCCGCCGGCCCGGATCTTCTGCTTCGTGCGGTGCAGCTTTTCCACCAGTGCCTGGACAGCTTGCGAGATAGTAATACTAGATAATACTAGTAAGCTGTCAGCTGGGTCACTTGATGTGGCAACGCGTTTTGAGGGGTTCTCAAATTTATGTAGAATCCCACGAAGGGGGTCCGACTCATGGATACCCACACACACACACATCTCGCATCTCAGAGTCTGAAACTTGAATGTTAAAGCTGTGGTCGCTCTTGCCCGTGCTCTTCTTGCTTTGGAGGTGCACCAGTGACCACCCTGCCTGGCGCTGCCTTGCAAGTCAGGCATCCGCACTGTCCAATTACAACAATGAATCAATAGAGGTGTTGCACGAAAAATGCCAGCATGCATCCTCCAAACACCAGAGCGATGGAGCGTTCAAATCAGCCCGGTGCCAGTCAAGAGAAGCCACTTTAGCCGGCCAACGTCAGTTTTTGCCGACGATGCTAGCTTGCTGCTTTCGTCAGGCCCAGCGCGATTCCGCGAACAACATAGAAGACCCGGGATCAAGGTCAAAGGTTTGCTTAGAAATGGCGACCACACTACTGAAACCTCTCTCTCTCTCTCTCTCTCTCGCTGACACCAGGAATGAGTTGACGTGTAGTAATGCCTTGCTCTGGATGAGTAGTGGACCATCTCAACCATCATTATACTAAAAGAAATAAGCCCGCACTATTCATATTCGCCAGCATGCAACGGCTCGATTCTGGTTGGCTCGTCGAGACACAAACTTGGGTCACCTTGACAGGAACGAGAGTTCCTGTTGGAAAGTCTTCTTGCCTGCAGCTTGCCCAAAACTGAAAGGCAAGGGAATCCTGCAGCCCTGTTGCAATAAAGAGGTACGATCATGACACCTACTGATTCAGAGACATAGCGAGGAGGCCGTTCCAGCCCAATAGCGGCTATTATGAACAGGGAAGATTCTGGTAACCAAGGAGGATGTCACGCTAGACAAGATGATAATATACCTAGATAGCAAAGGATCCGTCCAGATGAAGACCGATTGGATCTACATTGTTTCCAAGTATACAAAAGGACATTTGCTCGAGGAGTTCTGTCTTTGCATTAAGAACATGATGTGTATCTATCATGCAAGGAATCCGGGATTGAGAAGGCCAAAAGATCTGCTTCGTAAGGTGTGGGGATCAAGGACCATGAGGACCATCAAGGGCCATGACCTTATCGTGGCTTCCCTTGCCATCGCTCTGATCCAGAAACAGGGCATCGTGGGGAAGCAAAGAGTGACCCTCTGCAGGCACAACCTGAAAAGGCGGCACAAGTGTGTCCCGAAGCGAGTTTTGGTTGCTCGCCCCGGCCACAAGGTTAGTCGGGAAATTTACCGAAATGCAGCCAAGTTCGGGCACCCGCGCCATCAAAAAACAGCCAGAGATGCCCTACAAAAAAGCCAAAAGGGAAGGCCTTTGTCTAAGGGCCAACCCAAAGACAATTGAAATGGTCTGACAGGAGGGATGTGTGGAACTCCACTGCCTCAACCGTTCAACACACCGTGCCGTCCGTGGGCGCCTGCATACGGTGCCTCGAAGCGCGCTCCTCGAGTTTGACGCGGCAGTAGAACTCATGGGCGAAGCGCCTATCCGCTCTCGGACGGCGCAACCCGCGAACTGCCGAGAGCGCTACGAGCAAATTGTACCAGCGAAGCCCCTGCAAACTTGAACAGAAGGAACCCAGGTGTTTGGGGCCCATGTCCAAAAAGGCCATTTTTTGGAACCCGATTTCAAGCGAAGGAACCGAACACTTGTGGGCCAATTATGGGGGGTCTATGTGCCAAAGACATGGGTTTGCGTGACGATAGGCCTTTGCACCCTTGAATGGGTATGGGTGGTTTCCCCGAAAACTGTATAAGCAGCACCAGTTGCCAAATACTCTATCAACAACAAATATATTCAACAACATGTGAAACACAGTTCTCCAAAATAAATATGGCTTCAACATGGCTTGTTGCCATTGATTGAGCAGATAATACACCTCTGGGGTATGTGACCCGTTGAATGGGCTTTAACGAAGGGGTTCGATCGATGGCTTCACACATGATTGTTTGTCCTTTGGTGCCAGCTGGAAAGTGTTTGTTACGAGAAGCTATTTAGCGTCTCCGAAATTTTGCAATGGCCAGATGACGCCATCCGTTTGGCCGGTAGACCGAAAAAGGAAGGGTCGCATTCACATGGACATGGTTTTGCTTGGCGAAGGGTGACCAGAATTTGACCCATGCATAATGTAAGCTGCTGCTGGTTCAATCTGAAAATGATGCAAGCCTACAACGAGCAAGCAGGCTAAACAAAATGGCAAAGTCTGGCAACACATGCACAACTGCATCATGCATGTCCCGATTCTTAAAATTAGGCCAGCATCCTCTCTATGTACCCTCGGGGCGATGCTACTCATCAAATCCCTTCTTTCTACTCGCAGCCGGGTCCGTTGACCCACAGTGTGAATCATGGAAGTGAACCAACAGAGAATATTCATATGACGACGAGACCGCTGCTCAAATCGTGTATCACAAGTGGCGGCGGAGTTGAGCAACTCTGGATTGGTGAGGCAAATGCCCAATGACCCGGTTCCCAACAGTTTCCAGAGTTTGTATGCCAGGCTGCTGTGCGCGGGCAAAAATGACTTCCTGCGGCGTCAAACAAGGTCTGAGACAGAGCATATTTATCTGAACATATTCAGTATTCATTGACAAAGAAATGGTCAAACGAAAGAGTCGATTTGGTGGTCCAGGTCGACAGCTGTTTGCTAGTCGCGGCTTCCGCTGCTCAAACCTTGAGCTCAATGCCAAGATACCTCCGCTTCTCAAGAGGCCGGCACACATGAGCTCAGTAATGAGTGCTGAACCAAACTTGCGCTCCAACGCACTTGCAGCAACACACCTCTCATCGTGGTGTGTATCTAGATAGGAGAACCTGCTCAATGTTTGGGTTCGCTTTAGATTCCCATCAAAACGAGTGCTCTCAAACAACCAATCACACAGACACACAACCACGCCATTGAACACCAAGGCCCGCTTCTCCTCAGGCTCCACCAGGAAGACGTCCCGGTACTCCCAGAAGATTTTGCTGCTGTACATTCGCAGCTGGACGGTGGCCGCCAAAATCAGCAGCACCTGAGAGGCTGCTGATGGACGCCGCCCACAACGTCACTTGCTTGGTGGATGTTTACGCCTTCTTCGTGCTTTGCGGGGCAACAAAGAGCCCGTCATCTTGGAACATTTCTGTACGGCGCCAATTGGAAAGAAGAAATCCAAGTAAAGGAGGAGGGAATGACGACGGCAAAACAATCCCTTCTGGTTCCTGCCAGGGGATCCCTGGTTTCGTGTCTAAAAGCCTTTTGATTTTTCCTTTTTGGGGGGTCAGAACCACCAGAAGGTCCCTTTAGAGGAAAATGGTCCAAGCGATGGGAGGGCTTGAATCCGCGAAGCTTCCTTGCAAAGAACAACATAGTGCGGAAGCCAGGGATTGCTCAGACTTGAAGTATTGATATCCCAGGCTGAATGATGCAATCAGGCACAGAGATGGCTGAGCGCTGGAGGCAAACTCCTCCTATCTGGACATTTGACTTGGCAGCCAGGTGTGTGCGTGTGTGTGCAAAGTGCAAGCCCACTTCAAGGCACCCAGAGATCGTGGGTTCGAGCGAGTGAGAAGCTCCCAGTTCTGCCAAGATGCCAGCTGACCTAGCTGAGAGAAGAAGAGCGCCCAAAGACCGTCCCAGAAGCTGTCCTGACGCCCAGAAGTGTCTGCTTGCGGGTCTCGGATTCAGGGCTCAGCTCGGTCTTAAGCAACTTGGACTTAGGCCCCGAGCCCGGCCGTTGGGTTGTTTGTCAAAGGGAGACCAAGAGTGGTGGGTCATTTGGGGCCAAAGTGCATACCTCCCTGCAGGATTGACATGGTAGAGAAGATCCTTTCATGAGACGCCTTCTTGGGGTTCCATGTAAAATTGCTGGTAAGTACCTTGGACCGAGGCCCCTTGTTGCGCTCCATTCGGGATTTAGACCTCGACTTGCCTCTTGGAATCTTGGAACACTGCAGCGACAGCCGATCACCACCTTCTGCAAACCATGTTCCTTTTTAAGGGACGCTCGCTCCTTCGAGTTCCACGGGTGTTGCGGAGAGTTGTGGGAAATTGCTGCAACAGCTTCCTTCGTTTTTATCGTCCTTGTCAGCAACCAGTGTGTGCGTGTGTGTGTGCGTGTGTGTGTGTGTGTGTGTGTGTGTGTGTGTGTGTGTGTGTGTGTGTGTGTGTGTGTGTGTGTGTGTGTGTGTGTGTGTGTGTGTGTGTGTGTGTGTGCGGCCATTCCAACAGGGAATGCCTGCAATCTGGACATTGGTGTCCTCTGAATGGCCATCTATGGAGCCGTCAGGTGGCATTTCCGGGCTCGGTGTTTTATCCAAGCCGCCCCCTGCACTCGTCGGATGCCCAAGGTTTGCACAGCCAAGGTCCAGGTGGTGTCCTCAGAACGGAAAGCCGTGAAGATTGACGTGCAACCCCAACACCTTCATTTTAGAGCAACAGCATTTTCATGCTCAGAGGAGTCTCCCCTTAGTTCAACCTGTTTTGGGCTCCGTGCTGGTTTGCTGGGGAGTATGGTGTACCGACCCGATGCAACAAATGAGACCTTGTTGCTTGTTGATGGGAACCGTCGTTCTCCAAATGGCCAAATTGTTTCAAAGTCAACCAAGAAGCAGCGACAACTAATTCAGTCGGGGTCCTTGCAATTCTGTGGTAAGGTAGTCGACATTGGTTCCCCCCCCTTCTAGGCTAAATATTTAAGCTTGAATCAAGGCTGGATGTCCAGCTGATTGTCAAACTTTGGCTGGCTGCCTGGAACGCAGAAGAGATGGTGCCAGTGGCCGATGATATCTTGAATAATGTCTTTTAGCAGCTTGTGCGCGTGCTCGCTGGTCCATCGACACAAGCAACTCGGGTCATCCTCAAGCAACACCTGCCCCATCTGATACGGGGTTTCCTTGGCAGGCTGATGGTAGGGTGGCAGAATCTTCGAAGCCCAAGAGACTCTGGCCATGCTTTTGTTCTGATCCCAGAAAGCCTCTGGTGAAATGTCGTGGACTCGTTGGCAGTTTCAACCCCCGAACCAGTTGTTTGGAGCCCCGGAATGAAAAAAGGTCGAGAGTTGAAAAATAGGTTGGAAAAACAAAAGAACGGGTAGCCAATCCTCCGACGCCAGTCGAGCGCAATCCACAACTTGCTCTTCCTTCATAATTGTCTTTTAAAGCCGAAGGCTTTTGGGGAGGTCATTGTTGGTCCAAAACCCTGTAATTTGGCAGCTTTTGGGGTCTTCGAACGCCTAACTCGCGCATTTCGTCTAGATGTCGGCTTGGGGGGGGGTTGCCTACGGTGGTAAGAATCTGCATTCCCAGCATTGTCAGGGCTGTCTTGGCGGCATAACTTTTGTTGTTTTTGGCTGATATCAATGGTGTTTTTCTTTGAGCGATGTTGGCTTTGGCATGTTTGGGGTTTTGGCGGAAGCACAGTGATGATCTAAGAAACCGTTAAAACTGGACAAAATGTGTGTTTTTACGAAGTGCCTATTAGTACAGCGGCGTCGCTGCGAACTATCCCCTGCAATTTTTCGGGTTTGTGAAGGGGGTTGCTGTCAGCCTTTTTGATGGTTTTTGCGTCCGAAGTTCATGACAGTACGTATGCTGTCTGGCTGCCTCCGCATTCTCAGCATTCTCAGCATATGGGAGGGAGAGGCAGTTAGTCGCGGCAGTCGTCGCACCACAAATGGCACCACAAATGGCATCGGCGGATCGCGTAGCGATTTCAATAACATGTTCACAGTTCTGTACATTCATTGTTCCATGGCTCATGCCAGCTGCCCTCACTGAAATTGGCGCATCGAGCGATGCCTGCTGCCTGTTGCCGCAGTGATCTAACCCCGCCCCAGTTGCGGGGTTGGAAACCAGAGTGACTTCCGGAGTGGATCCGCCTGAAGCCACCCAACTTTTGCTTGCCGCTGAGCCAAGGAAACTATAAAGTCCCGCACCTCATGTGTCTGATTACTCTGGCCCGGTATGCAGTGCCCGGACTCGCGTGAGAAAATTTGCCGACAGCTCGGTTTCCTTTTGGCTTCCCTTCAAATACCAACCGACAACCAACCAAAAGCGGGTTCGATAGTTCGAACACCAATAATATGTGTGTGTGTGTGTTCGATCTTTTGAGGGTATCTTTCTACTGTGGGTTTGCAGGGAAGTCATTTGGGGAACTGGTTTCTCACCGAGGCGCGTGGCCCAGAGCCTCTTCTCCGGGCACCAAGCACTGGGCGCTCGAGGCTTCGGAGCCCAAGATGGACAGGTCCAGGCCTCCGCGATCGGTTTCGACGCGTGACTGGCGAGGGGAAAGAAACCCAAGACCGCCAAGACCCGGGAAATCTTCTTAGACTATCGCGGAAAGTGCGCGAAGGCGAACCTTGAGTGGATTTCCATAAAAGACAAGGAAACAGTTTCGAATATGCGCAGCATATCTATGATGGGGAATGGGAAAAAGGAGGTACTAGTACCCGTTTTCGCGTTTTTGGGTATCCACCAAACAAGGCAAAAACCTGAGGCACCACTGGAGGTCTGGGACTCCCAGTGGCCACAGTGCGCCCGGAGAAACAAGCGACCCATGTCTTTATAGTTGGTCGGGCATGTTTACAGAGATGCTGCTAAATTTGTGAGGTGCCTCACTGGTGCCTGAAATAATTAAAACACGGACCCCTTTCTTGGGCTAGGGGATGATGCATAGACTGATAGACTAGCCAATTTTGCGGGAAGAAGGATCAGCGTCTGCTGGGGAGCAAGGATGCAGACTGGTTTGGGAGTTGGCTAAGTGGCTAGTAACCCAGTTACTTCTTACAGGAGGCTACACTGGGCTGGGGGGGGGGGGTACTAACCCTTGGCTAACTTCCGGACCATCTGAACTCCCTCATCAGAAATTGATCAGGAGAAGCACATTTTTGGGGTGCCCTCTTGGAAGAGATTCCCATAAAGCAATCGGCTGAATTTTGTGTGGGGTCCAGTCGGTGCTTCGAAGCTTTCGTCGCCGGCCTTCCATGCGCTCGCACTGCTCGGCTGAGAGGTAGATCTGATGCAAGCCGTCTACGCAGGAGGCGCCTTTGCAGATGGGAGAAGGGACGGTCCTGAAAGTAGTTGCTACGTAGTTGGGTACGTGCCTTTTTGCTTAGGCGACGCTTGTTGGAAACTTTTTTGAAGGGTACACTTGCACAATGTGTGGTAGTGAGTGAAAGGGAAACTTGTTTACAAGCCCTAGGGGAACCACCCATTTTGGGGTGGTTCTCCTTGGAGACAAGCCCAGTTTGACCTGGCATTGGTCAGGGTTGTTTTACCTCTTGTGCCAGTCAAGCACTTACCGCTTGCTCGGTCTTTCGAAATGGATGGAATCCGCTTTTGGGCAGGTTCCAAACAGCAGACACCCCAGCTCACTCGTCTGGAAACTAAATTTCTAGCCAACAGGGACTACCACACAACCGAATTCGATCAGGCTGACCACTTCTTGTTCTTTGCCGACACTGAGCGTGGACTTCCTTGTGGGACCAGCCCAGCAACCCGCGTCACCTTCAGCTCTTCCGTTTGGAAACCTATTGTCATGGGTCTCTGTTACCGATGGGCTATCCATGCAGTTTTGATCTGCAACTGATAACCGCCTAATTATCGATTAGGGAGCTCATTGGAACATCACATCCGCGCTCTCTCAGGCCTTACTTACATACCCCGGGCGTGTAGGCGGGACCTCAAACACTACTGAGAACGTGGGTAGGGATCCCACTGGAGGAGGCCCAACAGAGTATAGTATAGCGGGAAGCCTGCCAGATCCCACCGGAAATATGGGACGCACTTGCGCATTTCTTGGGACAAATACAGGGATCCCGGTCACATTCCATGAGGAAATGTACAACGAACCACCACGGCACAAGGCAAGAAACAACAACACCAAAAACATACGCATAGTGCATTTAGAATTGATATTCCGCGAGCAGAATGTGGAATCAACACCCAAAGTAGTGCGTGAATCCAAGGTGCGGCTGCAGGGCAAGAGCGGGGACTGGAAGGCTAAGCCCACCAACAAGAACAGCAGCGCGAAGAGCCGTGCACGCCAAACCTCAGGACACGTGGCATTTCCGAATGGACTGGGACCCATGTTTTGGCAAGCGGATAAGCGGATATTTTTTATTTTGCATTTTTTTCTTTTAACGCCTTGAAAAAGCATGAACATGTGACATGAGGGCACTGTTGTTGCCGAATTGATTGCTTATAAAGGGAACCCCTTCCAACACCAGGCAAACACACCCTGCCAAAGAACCGCAATTATCCACGTAACAAAGAACTCTGCAGAGCAAACAGTTCCCGAATACTGTACTCGTCGAGAAACGTCCGACTACGTCACAACAACTCATAACCATGATGCCTGACCTCCGTCAGCAGGACCAGTGTGGAAAAACAATACGACACGAGTGAGTGCAAACAATGCTAGTTGTGGGACATCTACTTGTCCAAAAGATGCGCACTAAAAAATGTCTATTGGCATCCTAGCCAAACCAAAACCAACTAGGCAATCACAAGAGGCCGACCAAGGCCCAACTGGCACTTTCAAACAAAAACAAACCAAGGACCCAGGTCAATTCCCTTGGCCCGAAAGAACGGAGCATGACTTCCCAGCACTGAACCCCCCCCCCCCCCGCCCCGGCGCGCACACGCATGCTGCGGGAAACTGAGGAATTATTGTCCAAGAGGCCCAGTTGACCCGGATGGACCTCGGCATCTTCGCGCTAATGTCCGGGCGCACATGCCCAGTTAGGATCCCGATGGCACATGGCACACGACTTGCACTAGATGGACAAACGACACTTCGCACCAGTTCTTAGGCCATTCGCAGGATTTCCTCCATCCCAATTGGTGCCGGATTTTGTCCATCCACAGTAATTATGTTGCTATCAAACGAAATCAACCATTCCAAGTACGAGTCAACTACAGTATCCCTCTTCTCTTTGATCAACTTAGGGTCTATGCTTTGATCAGTCACGTTCATCGCAAGCGGCACACGGCAGAACATTGTCTTCCGAGATACAGTACGCTGGTCATCAAGGTCCCTCATTGCTGGGTTCGGTCGCTCTTCCTTCTGAGCAATAGGAGACCACAAGGGCCTTCATAAGGGTCGGCAAGATTGGTCCCCGTCCCGCTCTCGCTGCGGGCCCGACAGCCCACTGGTGCTGTTGAAAATCTTCCCCAGCAGCAGCAGGAGGAAGCCTCGGAGCTCGCCAAGTCGCGCCCCATTTCTCCAACCCCCAGCCTGCTTGTTGGGACCATAAAGCAGAAGGTAACTCGAAAAGACAACTCATCTTAAACACACAATTCAACACACTTGTACTGATACACAAAGTCACTGGGATAAACACATTGCTGGATATTATGCCAATTTATGTTGAACCAACGACAACTTAATAAGCAAATCATAATACATCAGGCGGCATCCACTGTACCATGGCTCAGGTCAGGAAAACCACCAACTTCGAATCCATCAGCCAGTCTGAGACTATAAATACTCTTGGTTCGCACTGCGTACCCAAGAAGCCTTTAGTATCCAAGAAGCTTCCGAGCTCTCCGGAAGCTCTTTCGCCTTCAAGCCAAGAGCGAGTACTTGGAGAGGCTAGACATTTCGTAGGTAGATATGCTCATAACTCATAACCCACTTACCCCTGTTGCAAGTCCCTGAGGTTTTGGACCGTGTTTGACTTGCCAAGTGGCCTGCCTCGTTTGTTAATAAGTTTTCAAGATCATCTGGCAGCTTTCGTGAAAGCGATGCCCATCAGCCGTCATCCACAACACCTCATTCCATGAACATGGATGCCAATTTGCGATCGATGATGAAACTAGAATGAATGGGGCTGATATCCACACATGATCGGAGGAGTAGACGTTAGCTTGATCAACTGCTAGCGAAAAGAAGCAAACCATGCCAAATTGTTTAATCATGTCATCCTGCCCAAGATAATGAAGGACCTGAAGCTATGGGCTGGGGCCTTGCACTGTAACATTTCTATGGGGCAATACCCTGAACAAAATGCAACAAATAGAAGTATCTTCTGGCAAACCACGGAACTTGGAGAGGCGGGCGAAGTTCAGAAGTGGTTCCTGACATTTGCCTCAAAGTTTGCTGAGGAGTTTCTCACCATGGTAACCACTTGAGGCTGCAGTGCCTTTCGCAGCTCCCAACAGGCTTCGCACTATGATCTCCCCCAAATGACTAAAAGTGAGCTTCCCAGAATGTCGTCCTAACATACTGTTCCCAATATAGTTTTGCCAAGGTGTGATCTTGGTCAAGGCCGCAGGTGATTGTGTCCTTGTCCCAGACCCCCGGTAACAATGGGAACAAAACACTCTCTAGTTTCTGTGGTTGATCTAAAAGGGGTTCCCGGACCTTAGACGATTTGCAAACAGGAAGCAACCCACTCGGGTCAGGGTTGTGCTAATTGTTTAGGTTGGTCTTTCTACCCTGACCTTTCCACCGATCCGAGGAGCAAAGGCCGAGCAGAGTGCCGCGGGCCAGCGACAGAGTGAAGTCACAAAGCCACACCAGAAGCGGCCACCAATACCTTTGGACTGTGGTGTCAGGGGGTCTGCCTCCGAGAGAGACATGTGCTTTGTGTGTTTTTGTCTAGTTGAAGGGTATCCTGTATCCTCTTCTGACGGCAGATTCGAAGGGAATCAAAGGGAAAACCACAATTTTCTAAGATGGTTCCAGTGCCCATGTGATCACCATCTTAGATAGACACGCGCCAGAATCTCAGCCACGTGTGCTCAGATGTACTCCACTGCAAATGGAACCCAAAACGGGTGGAGCTGTCTAGGGAGATGTCTCTGACATGTTCATCTGCAGGGGAGCATGTCTGTAGCCCCACACAGATTTGTGTAATCAAAACAAACATAGCAACATGTGTAACTATTTGTCGTTTGTGCTTTTATGAGACTTGTGGTGCTGCAAGGGCTTAAAAGCGATGCTTTAAAGTGTCTACAGTGTCAGTGCAAGCAGTCCGCCGAGCAAGGAGCTCCCGACTCAGAATGAAGCTTGAACTATGCAGCGGGTAAATGCTCTTTTATTATCTGCCTGAACAGTAAGTAATGGCCCCGAAATAGGCTTAGCTTTGTTTTGTAAGTAATTCCGTAATTCCCCTTCATTTGCCCTTCATGCCCCCTTCATTTCCTCTTCATGACCCTTCATTTCCCCTTAATTTCCCTTCATTTCCCCCTTCATTTCCCCTCATTTCCCTTCACTTCCCCTACCGCCAGCAAACTGCGGTCCCATCCATCCAACTCAACACACACACACACAAAGAAGAATAGTAAGCCACCAGAATCAGATCTGAGATTTCCTTTTCAACACAACAAAACAACGGGGTACTCAACACCGTGTTTGTTTGAGGGTACCCTTGCAGTTTAGTTTAAAGTAAAGGTACATCAAAAAAGCAGCCACACAATTTTTTTTGGGGTTCCCCTATTCTGACACATACCTATGCTCACGACCTGGCGCCATTCGTTGCGAGTTGCAGCACCGTCAGCTTCTTGCGCCTCGGTGTGAGCGGTCTGTTGGATCGGATCCAAGCGGCTTCCATGACCCGGTAAGCATCTTGGCAACATCTGCTCAACACGTAATGCTATGTTTTTTTGGGTGAATCTTCTTGACCAAGAATAGACATCTCCTAGAATATATAGTATCGTTGTCGGCTTTTCGGTCACAAGAAGGACCGATGCTTAGTCAGGACTGGCAGGCAAAGCAGGCAGGAAGGAATGTAGGGTATGGTCACTTGTGGCATGCATGAATCAGCAAACGGGCGGAATGGACACGCGCCGCTTTATCTGCAAGAGACACTTTGTGCAGTCGTGCGATTCAATACTGTGTTCTATCTTCAAGACTGAGTGATGTCCACCGACATCACCATAAATCTTAGGGTCCGAAGACGTGCAAACCTGCTCTTGGTGACTGGGAGATGCTGAATCGCTTTTTGAATTATCTCAAGCCGGCAATGAAAATACACGTTTTTTGGCAGCAGACGTGTCTTGATTTGTTTCGCTGGGCATTTGATCAGTGGTGGCTGCAAGGTTTATTATTCCAAATATTCCTTGGTTAGGAAAAACTTGACAAGCAGTATTGGTGTTGTTGATACAAGCACACAAAACACACACACACAAACACAACAACGCACACGCACAAGCAACTCAAGACAGCCACCTGGCCCAATATCTTTCTGATGAGAATTGAGGGTCCAATTGACGCCCAACGAGTCCTCCTTGTCGTTGAGGATCGCGGCTTTGATTCAGAATTGATGGGCCCAAACTAGATTGGAACATGAACAACCTGCCCGTCAGTCCCCGAACGTTGCTCTATGAACCTCAGCATTTGCTCCTAGCTAAAAAGAATGCCGAATTCCGGCCCATACTTAGTGAAACTTAAATGTAAAATAGTCTCAAAAGAGATCCCAGTGATTCAGATCTAGCGTCCACCCACACCTTAATGCCCTTCATGTCCCAAACGCCTCCCATGGCCACCCCCCCAAACAAACAAGACCTCAACTCGGCACGGTTACCCTATTGAGACCTACCCTTCCTCTTTTCTACCCTAAAGAAAAGCTGAGGCAATTTCGGAAAGACTCGAATCATCCAGTGGGCATCCTAGATTTCTTGGGGGGGTCATACAAGAAACTTCCTGCTGACAGGACGGTGAGTTGAGGATCTGGAACAATTCAGGACGATCCATCCATTCCCGTCCACTTGTGGCATCCGTGCGCCCGTTCAGGGGGGCTCGACAAGTAGGAGCTTCATTGGATTTCACTGACTTGCTCAGCTTTGAGGAAACATAAGTTATAAGAACGGAAATGTTTCGTTTGCGCTGGCCTGATGAACTGCGAGTTGGCCGTTCCATGTTCCTTCCAAGGCGCTGCAACGTCTTGGCCTCGGCCTTCTGCAGGGACACGCACTCCAGGAGCTGCTGCACGATTCCTCGTCGACGTGTTCCCCATCCCGATTTGCTGTCAGAGCCCGAACTATGCCAATGTTTCCAGGGGCACAGGGGATCAACTATCCCTTTGCTGGAACCCTGGGCCCAGAATTCCAACATGCAACCATCTGGCAGCGTCAAGCACTTGATACGAAATCACATTGGGAAAGGTATGACCCCTTTCGTAGCCCATATCTTGGTGGCTTCCAGAGCTTCTGAACTCTTGGAGGCAAACTAACACGGCCTTGTGCCGACCGCTCTTTTTCTTCCCAGGCTGCCGTCATCCAGCCCTAGGTTTGCCCAAAATGTACATGAATCGATGGATTGGCTTTACTTGAACTACTGAATTTGCATGCTTGCCACAGCAGGACGTTGCCGTCTGTTTAGAACTCCTTCTTGGCGGGCCTTTGTGATGTCAATCTCAAGCCAGTGCCACCGGAAACATTGACGCCAAGCATCCGAGGAAAAAGAGGCACAAGAACTCCATGAGCATGAGCGGTGTAGAGCCTCCCACAGCTCCAAAGCAATGCTCTTAGCCGCCCCCGAAAACTACCTGGAAAGCCATGTCTGCCACTTGTGGCCACAAACACATAGAAATTCTGTCACTATTTGCTTGAAACAACACGGGCTGCGTACAGCCGAATTCGGCCATCACAAGAGAAGAAATGTCCCCCCCCCCCCTCCACAAAAATAATGGCCGCGCGGCTTTCTAGGTAGCCATATGAGGAAGACGCCAGCCATATGTGATACTGATTCCCAATAAAACCACGTCCTGCGTATTCTTGCTCAAAGTCCCCCAGTGATAGGCCCAACGCAACAAAAGTAAAAAAGTCCTTGCGACTGGCGTTTCTGACTTTGACAACTACCGGTTTTTGACCATGTTCTGCACAGATTATCAGATTGTCCGACGTGCACAATGGCAACATGCCCGTGTTCATGGACTTGCTGGAGCATGGGAGCATGGGTGCCGCCACCTCATGAAAAAGGCGACGCATTCCAGCTCAAAGCAAAGATGGGTGACCGGTATGTCTCTTTTTGAGGGAAGCTTTTCGGGGTGCTTGAATCATTGAAGGGGCACTGCATGGCAAACACACCTTGCTTTTGTGGCGGTTCCCCAACTTGGCGACACAACCAGAATAGCACAAGAGACTCTTCAAGAGACATAAACCAAATTAATGGCAGATGAACATCGTAGCCTCTCCCCTTACTTTTCAATCGACAATTTCGGTTTCGAAAAAGTCCCTCGTTTGATCCGGCTGTGTTCTCCACATCTCTGGCACCAGTGTGCAGCACTGTAGAACAGACAAAGGGAAGGATGACTCTCAACGGATCTTCGTCACATGGATGTTTCCCTTATGTGTGATAGGAAGCAACATAGATATTTTGTGGCCATCATGGCTTTGTCATGCTGCGGGCTTTCGCCTGATTTGCTTCGAGCACTTGCAAAGCGTAGGTTTTCTTGTAGGGGTTGGTTGATGAACTGTGCTTCCCAAACAAAGACAACAACAAACCAGCTGCATTTCTGCGGTCAGGCCGGTGGCTGGGATTCACGTTGTGGGAGTCCATTCCTTTGGGCAGGAAATCGCGCGCCTTGGTCGTTGCTGTTGGTGGCGCTGTCGATCCAACGGTTGAATTCCGCGGCGCAGCTCGTCTTCGAAGCAGCATGCGTCTGTCCTTCGGAGCGACGTGGCTACGCGTTTTGGGTGACAGTACTGAACATCTGCTTCGGTGGTGGTGGTGGTGGAGGTGGTGGTGGTGGCGGCGGTGGTGGTGGACATGAGAACGCTTTGGATCAGCGACCATGACGATCAATAGCAGTGTGAGTCACAGGAAACCGTCATAGAGTTCTTGGCGGTAGTGTTCACAGCTGTGTTCTAGACAAAGGGCTGTTGTCGTAACGTGATAAAACACATCGCAACAATAGCCACACTGGTCATGATACTGGAAAGCACACTTGAACAAGAACGTAGACTTAGACTGAGACTATGTTCATCAGCGGCCAGCCACTCACGTCCATCGCAGTCCATCACGCGCAAGCCGGCGTTCGCAGGGTGCGGGGTGGTGACATTTCTCGGCCTTTTTGCAGTAATGCCATGAGCAAAAAGGATGCAATTGCCAAAACATATACGTCGCGATCAATTGTTTTTTGACATTCAGCAGATCGTCGCAAAGCTGTGGATAGCCTGCCACGTCGTCTTGGCAGAGAATGATGTTCAATGTACAGTCTTAAAATAGTGAAGCCCCATATTTTTGAGAAACACCCATACCCTAGAGCAGAGTTCAAGTTGAGCCACTTCCTGATTTCTTGAGGGCCTCTCTGAACAAATAAGCTCTGCAGAATGCACGGGCACTCCTTCTCAGTCCCTCAAACACACAGATCTTTGGATAGGATAGCATGTGCATATATTGTATGCATTGCATATCATGTATTTATATGTATATAGTATGGTTCATGTATCAGTCGTATCAGGCGCACTGCACATTGCAAACATGGGCATCTCAGGATGATCCTGTTGGAGCTCAACACGAACACATCCACCTAAAGAGGCCGGACAGTTAGGTGACACCCATGTGGAAGGTCGGACAGTTGGCACTTCTTGCAGTGATCAACACAGGGTGACAAACCAACGCACTTCGTGATTCATCATACCTCTGCGCACAAAGAAAGGAATAGCACTCCACAAACACCACAAACACCACAAACACCACAAACACCACAGACACAACAAACACATACAAACACCACAACACACACGCATATATATATATATATAATATAGCTATTCACACTACAAAACGGTGTCGCAGAACTGCCACCAAGATCCGAGCGCCTTGTTGCCAGACCTTAATTTGCCTTTCCCCGAAGTGCCGACGACCAACGCATCGAATCGAGGCATTGGAAGCTCCTCCCCAAAAGCGCTCGCAAAGCCAATCGACCAGGTCCGCCTTGGTGCCAGGTGCGGCGAACTAGATGGCATGTTGAAATGGGTGTTTCTAGGAACAGTGTACCTCCTTTCTGTTGGGGAAACCAAATGAACACCAAAGACAAAACACCCAAACGCAGTTCATGCATCTGTAGATTTAATATTATATTCATTACAAAACCGGAAACGAGGGATTGTCCGGTGGATCAGGGTGGCCTTCTGATCGCTCAATTGTTCCATTCTACCTCAGCATTGTTTGATCCTCAGAGGAACTCACAAAGCCGTGTTTCTTTCAGACTCCCCCACCTACCTTCGGCACCTGATCCCACAGCTCAGCAGGAAGTGCTGCCACAATCCAATCTCCGGTTTGCACTAGACGCACACAACGTGTGTGTGTGTGTGTGCGCGTGTGCTGTCAAGCACTGCAAAACAACTGCAAAGCAACGGCCTCTGAATGAGAATCAATGAAGGATTCGCCCGCAACATGGTATTTTGTTCTACATACCTCCGGACCCGACCCTCCCGGCTCGGCACAAAACACACGGAAGCGATGCACGGTGCCGGGCTCAGAGAAACCTAGAGCAACAAATGGCTGTGGCTCAAAAAACGGTACCAAATTGGAACCCTGGTAAGTGGAAACATGGACCAAAACCTGCGTAACCCCTGCTGTTTAATTTTGAGCCACAGCCAAATTTGCGGGGTTCCCAAACCAACTTTAGTCCACTCAAAGCACTTTGTTTCAATGTCTTCTCTTGCACGCTCCGTGCTGGCCGGCGCCATCCAAAGATCCGATGCCTTTAGCCTCGGCCCGCCCTCCACAAATTGAATTTGTATGCCAAGGAGGACAAGAACGAGTATTATTTGGACGAGTCAACCTGGAGGGAAGCAAATCTGTCTACATTTGTCTACCATTAGCAGCCAAGCTTCTCTACCGACCTGATCACTGAGGTTGAAGGTGAGAAGCAGTCGCAAAGACACCTCCGGGTCCGCTGCAGTGTCAGTGTTGCTCTGAGCATGCTCAGTGAATGTACCTGGGCCTCGCTTTCGGAATACGACGTGCGTCAACATCAGGGACCTGCAAACATTCAAATCGAACCGTTCTGCGCTTCGAGCGTACCCCCTGCAACATGGCCGATGAACCGTCGAGTATCGACGTCGCCATCTAAAGGGTCTCTCATGGGTCTGACAGGGCTGCTCCCAAAACGCTGAACTAGTACAGAAGGAAAGAAAAACGTCTGAACCACTTTGGACAACTGTGACGTGCGTCCGCCGATGGGCTGGACCCAACCCCAATAGGCCAGTTGTGGTTTAAATTGCCGTGTTCAACCTCATGCAAAGAAGCTGTTCTTCTCTGGTGATCTGAGAGTGGAACAAACAAGCAATCCTTTGTACAGCCAACTTTAGCTTAATTAATATTAATATATGGGTCTTTTTTTGAGGGTACCATGGGTACCCTTTTTTGGGGTTATCTTCAAGGGAAACCGGGACACCAAAGGGAAACGCCCCATTTCGGATTTCGGGGTAGCCACATCCCGAGTCTGCTCCATGTAGGAGCACAAACCAAGCCAACCTCCGCACGCTTTTGCCCGACACCTTCAGGGCAGTCCCACAGGACCTACTGCAAACCTTCTTGGGCAACCTGTTGAAAACTTTGGCCGCCCCTGCCTCAAGAATGAGGATGATGAAGAGCACTAGCCGGAACCATCCTGTCGACGACATGGGATACCCTTCCAAAATTGGCGTGCTCCTGGCTGCACTTGACTTCACACACCACATGATCGGGAGTTGCCAAGCGCAACTAGGTCCACGCGCCGTAGATGGCCGTGGGTTTTTGGCCATGCTCGCAGCAGCGAAGCGGTCAAAAACATTGATATTCCTATGGTTTTTCATGCATCTGTGTTGCTTCAATCTCTGTGCTTGCAATTCCAGTGAGAATTAGCAAAACCAGTGCTTCCACCAATAGAATTGCAACTTCAACATGCTTTCACTGAATCCTGCAAACTAACTGCCGATTTCACAAAATGTTGTCGATTCATCAAAATATATCAATTCTGCATACTGATGCGACCACCATCTTGCGACAACCATCTGATGTGTCACCCCTTGCAACTGGATGCCAGCGAGACTAAGCGAGAGGGCGGAAAACACGCAGAACGCCTCATAGCAGACCAAAGCACAGGCAAGCAAAGGCCAAGAGAGTCAAAGGCCAGTGGAAACCGATGAGGCAGCAAGACTATCTCTGCCACGAGCGACAAACACAGGTCCGGGGTTTGCGTCACTACGTCAAAGAGAGAGTCCAGGCACACAGCAAAAAAACGGATCCAGGATTGGGTGGCAGCAGAAAAGAGGGGACGAGCCAGCACAGCGCAAGATCAGGACAAGACCTAAGGCGAGACGAGCGTCCTCGGAAAGGTACATTCGAACCAACACTGAAGACAAACATGAACGCTGTGGACGAGTCCGAGATCACCCGCCCCCCCCCACCCCACCCCCCCCTCCCCCGCCGGCTGAAAAATCAACTAAAATACACGGCCGTGTATGGCGCGTGGTCCAACTACCGCTCTCTGGTTGGGACTCTACTTGACACCTGCAACGAAGTGGCATTTAGCTAGTCCGTGGGCGAATGTAACTTCCTCATTGTCTACTCCAGCATTTGCTTCTTCATTTGGATCTAGGATTCCGAAAGTGGCGTCTTCCGATGATTGCCTGAATCGGATGCCAACATCAAAAAACAATTGCCCGAAGTCATTTATCATAGTCTGCGCGTGTCATGGTCAGCAAGTTCAAGTTGGGCAAACAACTGATATTATATCATTACTTGATCAAGATGCAGATTAGTTGAATAACAATTGCGCGACGTGTTGCCTCTTTTGTTGTGTCAAGTCCAATTTTTGAGGGGCGAGCGTCTTAGGCGGGACTTATCCGATTCTGATCTAATAAACCTGCAAACCACCTCACCTTTTGATGCTTGTGGTCCATAGTTTCTGATCGTAAAACTGCCAAAAACAGAACACCAGAAATCAAACAGATTCCAGAACATGCTATGAGGTGCTCTGCATGTTCAACAACACGTCCGGCATACACTGGGTGCCCTCAACGGGCTCTGCTCTCACAAATGGACTTGAGCGTTTTACGGAGCGAAATGCCAGCTGGATCCCCCGTTGTTCAACCCCACTTAGCGCTTGCTGAATCCATTTCCTCGAGGACTGCGCGAAATCGGACAGGAGAACCACCACTTCTAGCACCAACAAAGGCTTTGGGGGCTCCTCACACGTTGAACAGCTTGTTGATATGCGAATGCCTGACCCTCCTTTGCTCGATGCTCAGCCCTCAACGCAAGCCAGCGAAACGCTACGCAAAGTCGACATGATGCCAAAGGGCAAGCTTCTCTAAACACTGGCTTGGATTTTCGCAAGAGTAAACAAAGAGCAGATCCCGTATCCTCGAATGGGCAAACATGAGATCTTGACTGAACAAAAAGCACAGTGTTGGACATTATCCTTGAGAAAGCTATGTAGTACCGTTTTTGGCTCGCAACCAATGTCGTGTCTTTAGTTCGGACAAGGATTTCCTTCCAGTAGATCCTACTGAAGAATGTGAACCAAGCTCTCAATACCAAGCATAAGCATCCTCAAGTCTTGCCGAAGTTGTATGTGCTTGGACGCGCTTGGACTTTGCTCGGTTTCAAACAACTTGGCGGCATAGAAATATGGCGCAAGGCATTGTGAAAGGAAGATCAACTGCTTCATATTCATGACTTTCCTGATCTGCTACATTTACCCTCTAGACAGAAGCCCGGGTACCGATGTTGTCCCAAACAGGTTGATGCCAAAAACGTCCTCTCAGATTTGCCCGATTTGTTCAAACCAGGAGAACAATCTAACAATCCTGTACAATGTTGGTTGCAGTTGGTTGGCTTTCTTCTGCTACGTGTCAAGCAAATAACATCTCATGGCATGGCTTTGGTTGTGGTCTGTGCAGATACAATGGCTTGATGACCATTCTCACGCCTGACTTCCAATGGCCACAGGGGAAGGTAGTCATAGTCTGATCCAAGCAGGCCCTTCTTTTTTATCATGTTGGTTGCCCCTGCATTTCAGAGTTTAAGAGTCTATGGAACCGGCTTTTAAAGACAACCAATCTTGCCACCAGCACTGGATACATCCATTGAGTGCAGCCAAGCATCGTAGCCACCTCGGAACAAGTGAGATCGTAAAACAGCATGGACAATTAGCTTGTGGTTGTTGACAATGGTTTCAGGGACATCATGCCGCTTGAGAACACCCGCGTTGCTAGAGTTCAACTTGGGGCAAGTTGTTCCGAGCTAGTTTCCCTCGCAAATGAACATGGCCCTCGTCATCATTCCTTCGCCCTTCGGTCCGGGAATAGCGGGATACTCTTGGCTCCCAAGTTGGAATATGGCATTGTGAAGTGAAAAGGCACGACGCTGGCAGAGGATAGTACGTTGTGCACTATGTTTCAGTCGCCATGGAAGAGAACAAGTCAGTTGGAGACTCGATTTTTGGTGGGAAACTCCACAATCCTTTCTATGTATCACGAAGCAGTGGCCGGGTGTGCATGTATGCTGGTAAATCACTGCCTTGTTGAGATTGCCCGTGGCGATCCATACTTCCACAACTGCCCAAACAACTTGCATTGACACGAGGGGCACCCAGAGGAGTAAATTTACAGTTCCTCGCAACGTCGCGCACTACCTCAGCGTGGTCCATGGGATGTGCGTTTAAGCCTGTCAAACGAGGTAGCTGATCCACAGCTGTTCAAGGACGTTCGCAGAAAATCTTGTCAGTTCCGGCCCACCCCAGGCTTTTTCAGAAACCCCATCTGCAGGGTATCTGAATGTATTAAACATGGGCACGCCACAGCCGCTGCCAAAGGTGTCGGAGATTTAAAGTTTAGACGTTCTCCTGTTCTCAAGTTTTGCATCTGCTGTTGGAGTATTCTACAAATGCACGGGTATCTCAAACTCAAACACTCAACAATTGGACCCTCATTTGGAAACAGGTTCATGTCGGTCTCCACTTCGTTGCTAACGTCACGAGCGGAAGCATACTTCCATGGCTTCAAGGCATTCAGAAGCACCACGAAGGGATCACCCTCCGGCTATGGAGTGCGTTGTTGATCAAGCGTGAAGCCGTACAAATGATTCAACTGAAAGAAACGTTCTCACTTTGGGCAAAGTCCCTTTCAGTTTGCGGGGCAGACAAAGGAAAACTTGAAAGTGGGGCCCGGAACGAGGTTCCTCCACCAAAGGACCCTCTGTTAGGCTCCATGCTTGTGTTTGCCCAGCAAAGAAAATAACTCATTGCATGTGGATTTCTCCACACTGTCAAAGCCCCCGACTGCTCAAATGACACGCCTAAAGGGCAAAGAGGGGAGAGAGCCACTGTCAAATCAGTGACACGTGGCATTTGACAGTGCTCCACTCTCTTCCCAGTGCCCCTCAAACCTCCAAACCAAACACCCCATATATGTTTGCCAGGCTCGCCAAGCCGGGACAAAGATTTGGGACTACTTGAGTTCCCCTTGGATTGCTTAGGTTCCCTGAAAAAGAGCCAGGGAAGACAAAGGCAGCGCCAAAAAAACAAAGGAAAGCAAAGTGAAACCAAGAACAGGCCAAAGGGAAACCAAAGGGAAACCCTCACGAAACACACAAAACCAACAGCTGGCTTCCCATCGACCCAATTCCCACGATCTCCGCCTCCTGGTGTTCGCCTTGCGCTGCTTGGACTCCTCGACTTTCGCTTTTCAGTACGGAAGGCACCGAACACTGGCCGCTTGCTATTTGCAACTGATGCAACACTCAGCATTTAGTGCCATTAAGCCACAGCAAGGGCTTAACAGGGACTCAATGAGAGACTTTCCAGCTGTGAGCATGATCTATTGACTCAACAGCTGCAAACTAAGGCGTCGGGGTGGCCAATCATCGGCCACCGGACACATAACCACTCAGGCATCCCACCATAACTTCTTGTATGTCGTCGAGTCATAACCACCAGCATCATCAGCATCCAGCAGTAGCAGTGCGTTAGCAGTAGCAGTAGCAGTAGCAGTAGCAGTAGCAGTAGCAGTAGCAGTAGCAGTAGCAGTAGCAGTAGCAGTAGCAGTAGCAGTAGCAGTAGCAGTAGCAGTAGCAGCAGCAGCACCGCACCAGCATCATGGCCATCTTGGCCATCTTGGCCATCATGGCCATCATGGCCATCATGGCCATCATGATAATCATCATTATAATCATTGTCATCATCATCATCATCATCATCATCATCATCATCATCATCATCATCATTGTCGTCGTCATCATCATCATCATCATCATCATCATCATCATCATCATCATCACCGCCATCGCCATCGCCGTCGCCATCGTCATCCTGATCACAACGGGCATTGATCTGCTGAAAGAATTGTTGAAACAATCTTTGGTATTTCTTGCATAACACGGTTGCCGCTGTTCCAGAAAAGGCCAACTCTGCGGGCGGCGCTTTTGAACATCACCGCCCAAGAACGTCCAACTGCGCGTAATGGAATGGGTCTGTCTGCCTAAAGCTAATGGACAAGCAACAAGGGTTGCGGGTCGGGAAATCAATTGGCACAGAATAAGGATTTCAACAGAGCCTTGAACTTATACTATCCCTTTCAAACATCACCCCCGAAGAAAAACCATGTTGAAACCCACAAGACCAGGCGATGTTAAAACCCTTCCCTCCAACAAAGTGGTTGAGTCACCAAAACAAGGGTAAGATAAAGACCCCTGCGCCGCTGTTCATCGCTCCTTCCAGGGCAGCTCCTCCCGGATGACCCAGGGCAAGCCGCCCAGCACCAGCAGTGAGGACCTTCGGGGTCCCCAAATTCGCCTCCCTTGGGATTCGAAAACTCGTTTGAAGCAGCTCTTGACCGAAAAGTGAAAACTAAAGGCACCCAAAGGAGAAAAGACAGTGCTGCTGAAAAATGACGGACTGAACTATGGAGAGGGAGCAAGCACCAACAAAAACAAATCCTGACCAGCGGACCTTGTTTACGGGGATAAACCGCAAGACCATACTCAACTGAAGCTCATAGATGTTTGTCCGTTCTGCGCGTTAGTTCCACATAGATCTAACAATCGGACACCTTGACCCAACAAACTTAACTCGTAACCATGCTGGAAGGCAATCAGGGCAAAGGCAGGAATCCACCGCATGCTTGACCCCCCCCCCTGCTGGCATCCTGGGTTCAACGCCCTGCAAGATGCAGGATTTGACCATGTTGATGCGTCAAACAGGTGGCTGGTTGCTGTATGTGCTTGGATGTCCCAGCCCCAGCGGTGCGATCCTGAGAGAGGTCGCAAGAGGGTCGCTATTTCGTCCACAGCTCCCCCAGACTGGAAGCCATCAACCCTGTCCCAGACCCCCAGCGGCTGTTGTGTTTGAGGCTCCTTTACCTACCTCAAAGAGAGGTCAAAGAGCCCCTGCGTTGTGTTTTATGATATGTTGCATTCTGTTGCTCCCTTGAAGGCTAACACAACCCCCACGAAACATGTTCAGGCCACCCCTTTTGCTGTGGGTCATGAATCGGCAAAGTGTAGTCTTGGAACACAGTATCTGGCAGTGTCTACCTTGTGTCATCTTGTCTTGTAACGCTTGTTTCCTCCCAATTTGGACTTCGGCACGCTACCATTACAAGTCAATGTGATTCGGCAACGTGAAGCAATCAGCTTCCTCGCGCAGCAGACTTACGTCCAATGCCATCTAAACACACACACACAGACACATGGGCAGAATGAATCAGTATTGGCACGGCTGCCCCACTTGTGCGAGTTGGCAATGCCACTTGGCCTGTCCAACGTGTGCCTTTCAACATGATTCAACCGTACTGACATTGTCAGCTCTGTTGCTAAAGTTCATTTACCTGCACACTCAAAGCAACCAATTACGACGCCTATGCAGACAAATACTGTTGGTCAAACATTCAAGGACATGGAGCCAAGAACAAGGCGCGCATCACATCACCTGCAGCCAGGGCTCAGTGCGTGCCTCCGAATCACCGCAACCGCAATGAGGCCGAAGAAGCCAGCAACATCCTTAGAGAATAACAACACACCTTGTCTTACCTTGGTTTTTGAGGGAGGGAAACCAAGGAAGCCCCAGGGAATGTTAAGCGAAATGAAGCCGTTTTGAAACGAAGCCGAGGGAAATCAGGGACCACCTCCTCTTCTGAGCGTGCCGTCCGTTTCCGCAGTCTTAGCACCTGTAACCTCCCGCTTCCCAAGTGCCCCGAAGCCAATCCCTTGGACATGGGGTTTTCGTTTCGGGGTGGTTGAGGTGCCACACGTTCCATTTATGTGCGTGTCGTATAACAGGGGGCCCACGGTTCCCTTTGTGGTTTCCATTTAAACCAGCCTTAGAACGGGTACCCTCAAAAACACAGATCCATTTCTCCCGTCTTTCAAGCCAAAGGCAGAATGGAATTCCGGGGGTCTGAATCCCCAAGTCCATTTTGAGGACCAAGTTGCCCAGTGGCACCTGTGCTTCTTTGCCCATGGGAAACCAAAGGATGGACGATTCAAAACAACACCAAATTCTGAAACAAGCTTGGCAAACCTCCAAGATGGGCGGAAACAAGGGCCAGTTTTACGGGAAGAACGATGCTCGAATGAGGTAGTCCGAAAACAAACAACTGGAAAAGGATAGCTATGCCAACAAGCCCTTTTCTCCGTGATGGAAGCTTAGCATCAGCCACAACAGGATCTGGCAATCTCCCCAGCCCCCAACCCCCCATCCTGTCCTTTTTCTGGCTAAGCATTGGTAACCGAGTTTGGGTGGATTTAGAGAGCCACCAAAAGGCCCCCCCCCAAAAAAAAAAACACACCAGGAGGCCATGTTGGAGTTCCGATTCCTTCAAGACAAAGCCAACCGATGCCAAGGCGCTGCATGGTCTGCCAGGAAGCTTGGGCACACCACCGGCCGTGCCTTGGAGAAGCGGCCCCGGTACCAATACCTCGCGCGCCGCGGGCTTCTCGTAAAAACAACTCGACCAACTCGGACCAACTCGGAACTCCTCCAATGGGTGGCTTTCTTTGCGTTTCCCTTGAAAACCATCCCCAAACCGCGCCAGCATTTTGAGACAGACCCGCATATAGCTTAAACATGTCAGGCTACAAAAGGAGTATGTATTCCAAACATACCACTAGGCTTGGATATCTTGACTTGGATCCTTGCCCCCAAGCTTAATTCCATGTGGAAGGCCCGGAAAAAGGATGGGTTAGATTTTGTGTACATGTAAGGACAATGAGGTTGACCCATGAATTGAAACAAGGGGTAAACAGCAGGGCAATCCACGCGGATTCCAGGGCAGCCTCCTGTCAAGAATCACTGCCTGCCCAAAACATTGGGTGGGGCGGGCGGAGGCAAAGAAAAAAATGGCTACGAGAAGAACAGTGTTGTGAGTTGTCCACGCATTGCTGGGTGGTCATCCAATACCCAGGTTGTAGCTGATAAAATAAAATACGCAACAAAAGTGCACTTCTTCACTAGAACAATGCACATCTGAATTCTCTCAACCCATTTTGGCAGAATGCACACATATTACAAACAGATTGAGAGCTTACCAAAGGCCATGGTTATTTGGCATATGGTTCCGGATCCTCGTAAAGCAAGTGGCTCTTGGATGCATCCTTCTACCAATGTGGTGTTTTGACCATCCCCAAACTGGCCCGCATTCGTCGTACACAGAAAATTATATGGTTTAACTCTCCATATGGTCTACCCTAAAGTTGTATATAAGATATCTTTGGGAACCCCACAGACCCCTGCAGGTGGTGATTGAACCATCCCAAAGCTGCAGTATAGTAGGGTTCCATGATAAAGGATGCATCCCAAAATCACCTGCTGCACAATGGGATCCTCTAAATCAGCTAAAGGTGATTTTCAGAAGACTGGGGTAGTGAATGGGGACCTGAGCTGAAGCCAGGAAGCTGTTTCTGCAGGATGCACACCGCCAGGATAACACAGTGCTTCTCCACCTCCGCGGGAGAAAGGTGCGAAAAGGAGCTTGGAAAAATTGAATTATCATCCGCTTTGGTTTCTCTTCAGTAAATTAACAATTCATGAACTTAGCAGGGAAACATCGAATCGAATCACGCGCTCCCAAAAGGCGCTCTAAATGAAAGCGTCGAGAAAGCATCGCAGTGCAGTTTCAGAGAGACAGAGAGACACGGAGAGACAGAGAGAGTTTCGGAGTCTTCGAGTCTTCGAGTCTTCCATCAGACTTTCAGAGTTTCATGGACTCGGATCCGGCTTCAAAGGGAAGGACGCTTTCGGCATACGTCGAGCTGCCGGAACACGGAGAAACATCCAAAGCCCGCTTCATACGTCCAAGTCAGCTGCGCTTCGTCATGAGATGTACCTGAAGTGTATCTAGCATTCAACATCGCCCGCTCAAGGTGCAATTGGACATGCGTTCAGGTAAACTCGATGACCTCGCTTCCCGCCCAAGAGAGGAGCTGCAGCACACAGCTTGCATAACACACTCTCTGTTGCCCTGGATCCGGAACCAAAAAAACATTCGATTTTGGCAAAACCCAAAGGGGTATATTTTGCTGAACGGCCGGTCCTTCAAAAGGAACAGGGAACTAACTGGCACTCAGGGTGGGCTTTGGGCCCGCTTTCAAGCCAAAGCATATCCTGAAGGTCACGGCTAAAGCTCGCTTCCCACTTCCCGATCATCCGCCGACCCCTTCTTACAAGGGAGGCGCACGGGAAGGCTGGCACAAATACTGGTCATTAAATCGTCATCATCATCATCAGCAGCATCATCATGACTTTGATCATCATCATGATCATCATCATGATCATCATCATGATCATCATCATGATCATCATGGTTATTTGTTTCTTACATTTGGATGGATTGATAGGGACACAAAGATCCGAAGAGCCATATCGGGTTGACGCAATATAACAAAAAACCGTTGGCGTCAACGAAGGGCTGGCTAGGGACAGGGACACCCCAAAAGCTTGCCATGTCTTTTTCAAACCCTGCTGGGACGCCGCTCAAAAACACCTGAATTTCAGGTAGCGCTCACACTAAGCACTTCCAATTGAAAGCCAGCTATGGCACCATCATCATGATTCATGACCATGATCATCGTCGTCACCTTTTGTTCTATATAGGATTCAAAGTGACGTTAGACTTTGGCTACTCATGGTGCTCGGCTGTACAGGGTCCGGCGCCTGACACCCCCAGCATCTGAGTTTGGTAAAGGAAATGCGCTTTGCTACTTGTTGTTTGCTTGCAGTGGTCATCCCCCCCAGCATCACAAGTGTTTGGACTAATGGTGTTTGGCCTAAGCCAGATTTTGACAGCATTTCGTAGCTCGCAAGGGGTGTCCCCAGCTATGGTAGGCGGCTAGGCTCTCTAAAAACTGTCCGCAAGGCAAGTAAGAATGTTAGTGGAACAGTTCTCTATTAGAGGACCCTGCTTAAGGATCACACTTAATTTTGTATTGTAGATGATATCTTGGCAAGTTCATTGTGTTTGTTTGTTAAGTTCAAGCGATGGGTAATATTAGCAGTTGGGGCCAGGGATCTCTTTGGGGGGAAATCAATCGCCTCTAGGTCATGGGCTTCCAAGCTGGTGAAAAACTGCATCTTTGGTTTTGATGTGGCGTCTCTTTCGTTTCCTTTTGGTTGCATGTTTGGTTTCCCTTGGTTTCCTCCTGGACTTCATATGGAAATGGAATGATCAAGCAGGAACAGCGGGCGTTGGATGCTGTAAGAGAGCATCAGGGGTCGGCGGGGGCGCAGGGCGGCAGCCCTTTGGATATGTGCGTAAAAGTTAACATTCTAAGCTCTTGCAAACGAAACACTTTCTTGGACCCAGTTTGCTTTGTGGGAAATGTTTGAACCTGATTCTTGGGTTCTTAGGCTTGCTTTGATCTTACCTTGGGATTCATTATGATTCATTGCTTCATACATTTCCTCCCATTTCCTCCCCCCCCGTCGACATCGTGGCGGGCGGCTTCCGCGCAGCGCCCTTCCGCGCCTCGCTGGAGGTCCACTCCAGGCCGAGGCCGCGGAGCCAGACCTCGGTTCAACGGAACCGAAGGCCTGCGTACGTGAAGAGTTTCCTTCTTGTGCTTTGTTTGGGCTTTGGGGTGTTGGGGTGTTGGGGTGTTGGTGGGTGGGTGGGTGGGTACCCCTTTCTCGGAGGGTTAAAAGGGGAGCCAAACACTTGTAAATTCTAGGCTTAGGGTATACTCATTAGTTTCCTCTGAGAGTTTGGTTTTTGGGAAAGAAGGATCTGATCTGCTGGGTTCCGAATTGGGGGCACCGCCGCAGGTCTGTGAGCCCTTCTTTCGAGGGAGAATCAAAGCCCCTATAACCGGGGTGTGGTGGGGGTAGGGGTGAACCATACACGCCACATGTTTCTGATCCATGACGAATGGGGGAATCTGCCAGCTGCAGCGAATTGTCATGGTTCAAGGCTCGCTCGTCGAAGAGGTAATCCTCGCATGGCTCGTGTCAGCTAGTGTCTTCCACTTTGTTGGCCGCTCACTTTGGGGATCCAGGACATGACCGTAAAGAATGAAAGCACGAACCCGCCACAAGCAATGAAGCAATTATTGAACAATCTCTCAGTTTTCCTCATACTCTGGCCCCAGTGAAACCATCAAGCCTCCCGGTGCAAGGCATCATAAAATTCGCCGATACACTCATATTGAATTGACTCAATGTAACATATGATATTCCCCCTCTATCCAATGCATTATATGTCCGACTTGTATGAGGGTTTCTCAACATGGTGGACCCCGTTGGGGTGGCAACAATTTAGTGAAGCCAAACGGAAACTGTTGCCATTTTACAGGACCGAACGTTATTTCTTGAGAAACCCCCATTTCAGCTCCATAGATTCAACCCACCACCAAGAACGGCTTTGACCCAAAAACAGCCGATTCCCCGCACCCATGGCTTTTTTCCCACTGGGGCAGAGGCGGAGTCACTGCTTATGTTGGCGAAGAAGCGAAAGCCTAGGCTTCGGCCATGGGCAACAGGTGGTGAAATGAGGGTGGTTGATTCGTTTGGTGGTTCTCAGAAATCCTTCAAAACTGTCTCAGATTCCTTCTGCTTCCGAGGGTTCGCCGGGCTGTTTAAATAGCCCTTTAGCTTTCTTTCTGAAAAGGATCCTTGAATAGAATGGGGAGTGGCTAGAAATTGGGGCGAACGGGTCCAAGCGAAACAGCGGCAAGTGCGTTGGAAGTCGGAAAGGCTTAATGGCTTGCCACATGGGGTTGGTGCCAGCACCGTCTCAGGAACCACCTGCGGCACTGCATGGTCCTAATTGGAACTTGACTTTATTTTATGCTTGGATCCTCGACTTGGGATGGTTTTGCTGGTTGGTGGCCCTCGCCCATATACCGCGGCTACGGATGTTGCGGCTGGAAAAGCTGAAGAATCTTAACTGGAGAAAAAGTGGCTTGGAGCCACCGAGAGTTCTCAAGGCGACACTGCGAGAGCCTGACATTCCACATCAAGAACCTGATCGAACAACCAACAAATCAACAAGGCTAGCTATACGAGCCGCCGTCTAGTTCACCTCGTGGAAACACGTCTGCAAGACTGCTAGACGGCAACCTCTTGATGGCAAACCAAATTACGCCCAGGTATCGGACGATGCCCATCCTCGTCACCCGCCAAGAATTGTTGCCCATGTTATCGCTGCTCAGCGGCACAATCCCTTCTGGCTGTTTAGCGGACAATGGTGTCATCATCTCATGTAGGTGCTTGTTGGCTGCCTGGGTTGCTTGCTTACTTGCTGGCATGGGTGGGCTGGTTGGCTGGCGGCGGTTGGTTGCTTGATTGCTTCTCTGGCTTGGCGTGGCACTTGAGGCTCGGCCGTTTTGAGTTTCCAAATATGTCCATAAGTTGCCTTTTAAAAATTGCTTTGCTTCAGGAACGTTCCTTGGGTTTCATTCTCCTTCCCGTTGCATTTCCATGTGTGCGTGCGTTTAGTTGGCATGCCCTTGGCGGGTTTCATGGGGAACCCCAAGGAAGGCCGAAATCCGCTTCGGGGGGATCTAAAACCCTTTTTTGACAAATACCGCGCGGTTGAACAGCCGCCAACTCTAGGCCATTTCCCCACCGTCCAGTTCCAGGGGCGCGCCAGGTACTGGAGCCAAAGGATGGTCAGCGTGGCGAAGCTGAAGACGTTGCCCGCCTGGACCCATCGGTGGCTCCATCCGCAGAGGCAAATCACCTCGGAGCCGAGCCAATGAGTGGCGCAACACAACCGGGTGCTGGGGGGGGGGAGCGGGGAGGGGGAGCAAGACCCACTTTTGCAGGTGCTGAAAATGGATGGACCCACTGTGTAGGTTTTCCTGGTGTTCTCTGGTTTCGAGGCCAAAAGGAAACCAACCAGTCCTGGTTTGAGACTTCCTCAAGTCTGAAATACGGAAGCCCAACAAACAGCAAATAGAACATACCCAACAACCGAACTCCGATTGACCTGCACAAACACATGTCGGATTTGACTCACGCCAGCGCCCCTGCACCAATCAATATGAGCTTGTCAAGGCTTGGTTTGTTGCCCAATGTGCAGTAAGAACTGTGCTGTTCTCGGCTAAACAACCTTGGACATGTTGACCGAACCTCATGTGAGTTGGATCGCTCCATCGCCAAGAAACGGAGAGCATCATGAGGAAGCTCAACAGGTTCACCTACCAGGCAGGCTTGTTCAAGATGTGGGGGAGTTCTGAAAAAGGTGGCTGCGGTTTTGGATAGTGTTGAAGGGCAACTTAAAGAAAACCAGCCATTTTGGGACCGGGAGTTGCCCAATTTTCAACAACACCCATGCGGAAAGGCCAGATCCACAATGCGTGCCTGCTGGCAGACCATTGATTACTCTGGACACACCACAATCTGGAATGAGGATCTTGCGGCTTGAGTTTGAACAGCTAATGTTTGGCAAGGAGCAAAAGCCAATAGGCTGTGGGCAATCCAAATGATTGCTTGCTTTGAACAAATCTTGCACCTCCCATAGATCTCGCTGATATTCCTGTGGTATATGTGTCTGCCCTTCCCACTCGATGGATTCCACAAGTATTGTTCCCTTCCAGGTGAGAGTCGCAACATGGTTCGCAGTGGGAGATGAATCCGGGCCTTCAAAGAAGGTTGGCTGAAGGTTGCCGTTACCACTCTTTGCCCAAGCGATTTCAAGCAGCCACTCGCCACCAAGACTTAAGCCCACGTGATCTGCAAGAGCAAATGCACCTGTAAACAAATTAAGATAGAGCTGCAGCATGCATGCTCAAAATGACAGTGCGCTGAGGGGTACGCTCTAAACAACACGTGAAAGGTTCCAAACAATTTTGGGACGCTGGTGACCGGTCCACTGCAGTGTCGCCTTACATGGTCCAAAAGTGGACCAGCAGTTTATACTTCCTCCAAGTGAAACAAGGCCCCCTGGGCCCCCTTGGGGATACTTGAAAGATCAATTTCCTCCGCTATATGTCCTCTTCATGCAAAACCCACGAAAAGAAATACGCCTGCAATTTGCCGAAAAGGTATTGTATTGAACTGGCCAAACATGATATATATATATATGCCAACAAGGTCGGATCTCCAAATGGCTTTGTTCTCGGCTTCCCTTTAAAGCCACCCCAAAAAGGGTCCCCTGAGAAACAACACACACACACACACACCCATAGAAGGACCCTTTCGGCACCCCCACATGACAGCCTTCCTTGGCTGTCGCGACGATCGATCCAAACGCCGGTGAGCCTGGTGGATGCTCAAGCCGAAGACCAAGACCTCATATTGATCACTTGGATCACTTGAGCCATGTACAAACCTACTTGTTTCCCTCAACAACATGCAACATTTAATCAGTCCCCTGGTTTTTGTAGGTTAGCGAGTCCTTCCCAAACGGACCACAGAAATGTTCCGATTAGCACACTATGTGTCTGCATTCAATTTGTTGGTCCTAAACTGCGGCGGCCACTTTGGGATGGTAGTTTAAAGGAAACCAAATGGAAAGTCAAAGCGGTTTCGGGGGAAAGTCAAACCAGTCAAGATCTGACTCCCATCTTCTTCGGCTGGGTGGCTGGGTGGCTGGGTGGCTGGATGGCTGGCTGTGGCTGGGTGTGGCTGGGTGTGGCTGGGTGTGGCTGGGTGTGGCTGGGTGTGGCTGGCTGGGTGTGGCCGGGTGTGGCTGGGTGTGGGTGGCTGGCTGGCTGGGTGGCTGGGTGGCTGGGTGGCTGGGTGGCTGGGTGGCTGGCTGGCTGGCTGGCTGGCTGGCTGGGTGGAGGAGAACGGTAGTAGTAACCAGGCAATGCTGCTCGTAGGGAGCCCTCAAAGGAACCCACTCAAAATTCCCTCATTCCAAACCAAGCAGAACCTCGCAACCAGTTCCAACGTCGCCCGCAAATTCACTCCAAGGTCGGCACCAGGAGCAGCGCGGAAAGGTAGACGTGGGCTTGAAGCGGCATGAATTCCATCCACGAGGGGACGACATACCTGATCAACCGGATCTTAATGTGATGAAGCGATAAAGGCGTAAGGGATGGACATGTTTTCTTTTTCAGCTCCCGACTCCTCTACTTGCCCTGTTTCCAAACGTCATGGAAGTGGGTTCTTGGAGGCTTCCCAAAAGGAAAGCTGTCCTTCCACTACCTTCCGAAGCTTTCTCGATTGTTGGAAGAAGGGTACACGGAGGAGTCTGAAACTGAACCAACAAAGCAACCGCCATCCCTTGTTCCTTTTGCTTTCTGCCCAACAAAAAGCTGCCAAGGCTGTTTTGGAGGCGATTAGTTCACTGGAGCGATGCGTTTCCCACAAAGCGACTCGAAACCGAGGTTGCTGGCGCCATACCTGACTTGCTTGCTTATCCTCAAGGCAACAAAGGGCAACGATCCGCAAATTAAAGTAACTGGAATTCGGAGCTTAACTTGGCGCTGCAGGCTTGCTTTCAGACAGAGTGCATCAACATGTGAGCATGCAAAACATATTTGAACTGTGGCGATGGCTGGCTAGAACCTGTTGACTTCATGCCTTTCGTCTACGAGTAACGCACAAATACCATGGCCACAGCAGGAAGGGATCCGGGCATTTCTGATGTTCCTTTTGGACTTCTCTTAAGCTGCGCCATTGGTACTAGTTGCAACCGACGCAAAATATCTAACCACCTGCTGGAATCCGCAAGGTCAACAAACGCAGCTAACACAATAAGCTAGTTTACATGTCTCTAAGCCTAATTCTATCTGCCACCACCCATATTGCCCACATGCAGGACCTGCTGAATCTGCCTTCTGCTGTAAGGATGGGATAAAGCCACTCTGCCTGAAGTGGCAGCTGGCAACTCGCCCTGCTACGGTTTGCCTTGTCTATGTGTCTGTTGCCATGCTGCAACATTACACACGGCTGCCCGAGCCTGCAAACATACAACCATGGGCAGCATCACTAATTATGCAGCCCAACAATTCGGAAACAACTGAGTGTGGAGGCGCCTATTTTGAGAATCCGCTTGACAATGCGCAGGATACTCCTCATATCACGTGCAGCAACCTATCTCCTTGAGAGCTATTCTGCAAACAAGAATCCTGAAAGCTTGCCGGCAAATAAACCTCTGATGAAGAGGGTCGAACGCAACCCAGTTGCCGTGTGCAGGGCTTCGTCCAGCCCATAGAACAATGGGACTTCGGGCTGGCAGGATCAGGGAATCGCAACGTAAAGACATGTTCGACCCGACATGAGAGGCCACTTCATTCCCCACGTGCAAAGCAGGCAAACGCAGTACTGAGTCCCAATTGAATTCTTTCCCTGGCTAAGTGTCCAAGCCATGCGCTGAAAAGGTTGGTGCCTACACTTGACCTGGAAGAACCTCCACTGAAGCTTGGCCTAGAAGATCGGGGCCTTTGCAGGGCCCCACTTGGGGCTTAGACTGGGGCGTTGCAAGTGCCCCATTTGGCGATTGGGACCTGGAAGACTGTGGTCCTGCAGGGGCCACAGTTGGGCCTTGCAACAATCCCACCAACTACTTCACCTGGTGCAAAAACCATCAAGAAAACCAATGGATGACTTGACCTGGAAGACCGGGGCTTTGACAAAGCCCGGGCCTTTTGCGGAGAACTCCACTTGGCGATCTTTGGAACAAAAACCGACGCCTCTGCTGAATGATTGGAACGAAATTGAAACCAGGGCCATGTATACTCAACTTAACCTAAACCGGACACCCATATGCCAAGCGGCGTCAGGAAGCGCTCCTCCATACGAGGGCCCGGGAGTTGGGTCCTCCTTGGCTCCAAGCTGTCGAAGCACTGGCTTGGTGGGATCATCAGATTATTAGATACAATTAGACCGCTTTGTGGCAACATGAATGCAAACATGGTTACGCCGGGCTTGCTGGGTTTGACCGCGCTGGGACTGCTACAAACGACAGTAAGTCAATGCTTGCCTCTCACCTTGGCACACGCGAACAATTCATCAACCCCTGCTTCAGGGATGGGCATACTGTACCGCCGCGGATGTGGCTGAAGCTCTATCCACTTCAGAAAATGCCTAACTGACGAATCCAAGTATGGCCGCTTTGACGTGTTATCTACAGGGATTGCATCCACCAAAACCGTGAATCCAGTATTTGTGTAAGTCGCCAATGCGGATGACATCTTGAAGGAAACCATCGCGGCCGCCGCGGCACGCCAGATATGAAAAGCAGCTGATTGGCTTGCGGGTGTTGCTTTTTAGCGGCCATGGGCAAGGAAAAGTACTCGTTTTGTTGGCTGACCTCAGAACGCTTCCAATGGACTGTTTGCTTTAACGACGCCCTATGGTAGAGTTACCCGAGGGCGGCCCGTCTCTAAGCGTGGCTACTTTTCTGCACCGCTCTGAGCCTCTTGTCACCCTCCTTCTTGAAGAATGACAAATCAATGTTCAGCCCTGATTGAAGGGGGTTCGGAGTGGGAGCAGGTTAGCATTGCACTCATCGGCGTGGAAACATTGCTAAACTCAGCTATAATCCACGAGGCGAAAATAAGGAATGGTCAAGTAAGGGACCTTCATGCGTGAGTTTGTTACAACTCGGATCGGTGAGCCTGCGATCATTTGTGCAGGTCCAATGTTATTGCTGAAAGGAACCACTCAACCCATCTGTCAGGTCCAGAAATGCCTCGAAAAGCAGCCGGAGCCCCCGTTCAATGATCCCGTCAAAACCCCGAACATACCAGGCCACTGAACCACTCACCCAAATACCACCTAATTTGGAGGATGCGAATCCCTGCAAAGAGCCCGGTGTTTGGAGGCATCCGTTAAGAAACTCCGTGCCACTTAAGCAGACCAGTTTCCTTGTAGTTTCCCTCCAAGAAAAGGGCACGCTCAACAAAAAACACGCCACATCACTTTCAGGACCCATTATTTGTCGAATGTCTTGTGCCGGCGCCGCTTGACTGGCTCCAAGCTCGGCACCTGAAGTTTGTCGAACGAACGAGACCGTTCGAAAACACCGCGGAGGTGACTGCAAAGATGCCATAAGGGTCAACCAGCCAAGCAGCCAAGGGTACGTATGAAGTTTTATCTGGGGACTCTTTCGTGGGCATCATTGTGAGGCTTTGTGTCCAGCTACCATTGTTCAGGTGGTTCCCAAGCAAAATTCATAGCTGATAAAAACATGTTCCTTGCTTTGCCGCGGCAATTTTTGAGTTTCCCCGCAAACAAAGGTTGAACCAACCTTTAAAAAATATGTTGGCCTTGTCATACCGTGCAACTGGCAGTCCTATGCCTTCCCCTGAGATGCCAATGTGAATGGAACTTTCAATTGAATTGCAAGGGTCGTGAGGATCCAACCTATTTGAGAGCTCAGGGGACCATGGAGCCAAAGTACCGAAATAGACACCTGGTTCCTCTGAGAGTGAGAAGATGGTGGACACTATCACAAATCATGCTTCACATGCAATGGCAAAAGGCATGTCAATGTGAACATGTACGTAAACATTTATAGACCAACAATGCGGCATTGAGCATCCAACAGAGCGGTCTTCTCTCAACTGGACTGAGACCAAGCTGTGAACCGCAAACAAAGGGGTCAACATAGCATGTGAATGAGGCAACTGTCAGACTTGGCAGATGCCATACTCGGACAGGATACGTTGAGAGGTGCAGCTGCAGGCTCTGGTGCCCAAACTGAGCGATCTTGTGGACATGTCCTACAAATGATAGGCAGCCGGTGCTCACAAGTGACGATGAGCATTCAGGATCAGAGCTGTTGCGTGAACTTACTAGACGGGAATAACCCGTCTGGACGGAACAATCCTTGCCAACGATCTGTTTAGCTGGTCCACCGAAAGCTACCGGCAAAAACATCAACAGGGTGAAAGGAAATAAAGTCAATGGCTGCGGCTTGTTTTCACAACGAACCCTTTTGTTGTGTTCGCGGACCCCTGTTGTAAGACACACCTAAATCGGAGCGGAAAAACAACGCAAAGAACAAGGAAACCGCCCAAATGGCAAGTTGCCCTACTCAAGTCCAAAACAATAGATAACCCAAAACAAACACACTCACATGAACACACCATACTCCTCAACCTCTTCTCCTCTCCCACTTGCGCCTCGTAGGTTTGCGAGCTGCCCTTCGGAGCAAAGCGCACCGAGCGGCTGCCGTGCCTGGGTTCTTTTGTTCATGGCTCACCGGGCTCACCGCCGGACGAATACTTGAACCACACATTTCTAGGGGGTTGTTTCAACGTTCACGCGCGTACCACCATTCGTTTCAACCATGGTCGTAAAACGGCAACTGTTTATCCCGGGTGCTGAGCCTTGGGTCGAGAGCCTGCCCCATAAACCCTTACGGTTTTCCTTGGAGCGTCACTTCACCTTGTCCCATGCAAATATTTCAGCGACAGTCGACACATCAGAAAATACATGGAACCTGGGCTTGAAGAATAGATCAGTTGAATCATGCTAGACTGCCCGACTTCGGCTTCCGACATACAGCAAAGAGGTATCGGGAGGAGTAAGTTCCAAAAGATTATGGCAGAATGAGTAAAATGCTGGGCATTAGATAGATTGGTCCGGACAAGGCTACCTTCTGCATTCTCTTCCGGGATCCTTCTCTTCAAACAAGAAACCAAACCCTGGGAAAATGGGCGGTTTCCGTTGTTCAAATCGGATTATACTTACTGCCGATTACTAAGGTACGTTTTCTGGATCCAACACTAAACAATTCTAAACTCTGATGTGGCGCTCCGGAACCACCACTATTAGCACGGCACGTTCAGCAGAACCATTCTCTCCGCACAAAACAACACATATGATTTCATTGCACTCCCGCAGACCCTGGAACCCGTTTAATCTGAGGTTTGACTTCAGGGTGGGTTTATTAGTCCGGCGTCGACATTAAAGAGAACGATGGGCGAAGAGAATGGAGAACCAACCCTCAGACTCATAACAAGTTTCTTGCAAATCCATGCGTTCTGTTGTGGCCTCACCACATATGAACCTGGAGGACAGGGAATGGGCACCAAAAGGAGCCCAAACTAGCTATATATGCCACCGAATTTGGGTGCTCATGGCTTGTCCCTGAACTGATTGTTATTCAGCCGATATGTCATTTCTATCAGTACAACCCCAAGTCAATGGGGTTTAGAATTGGACCTGACAACCATCTGGAAGGAGTTCCCTCATTTCGCTCGGCCGAGTATCATGAGACTCGAGGCAAGAAGGTGCACCAAATCCAATCCACAATGTGTGTGGGCGTGCTCCATAATCTACATTGTATCTATCAGATTAAGACCTAAATGCTAAGCCATGGATTCTCCGGGGCACACGGCTGCTGGCGGCGGCCACTGATGGGCTATGCCAGAGTTAGTGCTGGGGCCAAGGCAGAGATGACGCATCATTGTAGTCAGGCCTACCCCTTTTGTGTAATCAGGCACACCTTTTGTCGCTGAAGAAGGCCCCTTCCTGTTTGCCACGGATGAGACACATTCAACACTCTTCCATGGGTGGATTGGTGATACTAGATCAAATGCTGCCATTATTATCTAGTGTTGCTACTGGTGTTGCTGTTGCTGCAAATGGGCATACTCCAAAATCCGGCGTTGCCAATGGAGTAGGAATTGTGCAGGAGCTATCAAGGGTACATTTCCATAAATCACACTTTGGCTTACGGGGGGTATGATGAGGTACGTCTGTTCGGGGCAAGTAGGGCCATAGACAGCTTCAGGCAAGTGGCAAGAGGCCAGACCGCGAGGGTGCGGTCTGGGATGGAAGCCCGAAACAACGGTATCACGGAAGCGCGGCTTGGGGAATTGGCTTTCCACAAGCATGCTGGGGGATTCCAGGGAAACCACAAGGAGAACACAACTTTGGGAAGCCCGCTATGAAAGTACATGTATGGGCATAGGAATGGATATTGCAAAGCGAGTGGCGACTTCTCGTGCCGTTGCTGCTCTTCGTGCTGCTCTTCCAGCTTCGGGTCCTCGATGTTGAGCTTGATCTCCTCATTGCTGGATACTAAATGTCACCTTTCAGTTTCCTGCATATACGCACATGTTGATAAACTTCCTGTGATTTTCAGTACTGCTGTTAATATGTGTATATATATATACATATGTATGCGTGTGGATTATAATTTATTCATACATATATGTATTATATGAATGTGTGTTCTTATTTAGCACATATTGACCAAGGACTTGTGTTTCTCTTCTAGTACTGGAACTAATTTAGTCAGCCCTCTAAGCATGTGCTTGCACGTGGTCTCAAGAAAGAGAAGCCCTGCTTGTGAAGCAGCTAGGAAACAATGAAACACGCGAGACATTTCAGAATAGAGGCGGGCTCGGAGCGGTCTCGGAGCTGGTGCGGGGCGGGTTCGGAGAAGGGGGACCATTGGCCGTGCACACACTGCTTTGCAGCCTTCTATCAGTGAACCCTCTGTGCACTTTGGGCAGGTCGACCTTCGAAAACTCATGGTTTGACGTTTTTCACATCGCTCGCGCAACCCTTTGCGCACTTTCCTTCAAACAACTCGTTTTTACTATGTTTGTTTACTTCGCTGGCGCAACCGTCTGCACACTTTGGGTGTGTGGGCATTCAACAGCTCGAGACGTTTTAACGCCGCTCGCGCAACCCTCTGGTGTGCACTGGGCGAGTGGACCTTCAAAAGCTCGTGGCGTCTCTATCAAAATAGATAGATAGACCAGTGTGGATAGGTAACGTAATACAATAGCTATGTTGGATAGATGGATAACACTTCGATTGATACACAGTCGGAAAGATCGAACGACACATGCATAAGAAGATAGAAAGACAGAGTCAAAGGTAGAAAGATAGATGCAAGATTGGAAGATACAAACATGGATGGATCTAGAATCTGTTGTAGGTAGATAGATCAAAAAAGACAGCAGTTTGATGGTTACCTAGAAACAATTGTCTGAAAGACACGTTGAAGGGGCAGCCAATTGACCAGTCTGGCTGGCCGTTTCGGGAAGTCCTGCTTCTATGAGGACTCCGCGTGGGTTTGAAACGTTTGAAAAGGATCTGATTGTTTTGCACACAACACCTCTGCAACAGGCGATGTCGCTGCGCTCGCGCTTGCGCGGCTCAAATATATAGTTACTTTTGTGACTGGGCCATTTTGCACACCCTCTGTCACGGCTTCTATATGTTCTGGTATGGTTTGCTTGAGCACGCAAGCACGAGCATGAAGCAACAGCGGTGGAACGGCTTCCCACTCAGGGGGAGCACGTACTTATGGACTTCACACCAGCACGCCGAAGAAGGAGCAGGAACCCTTGTGTATGTTTCTTTGCGGTTTCACGATCCAGATAATCTTCACGATAGTGTCTTGGCTTCTCCGCCAACGAGTTGAAGCATCTTGGCGTTTTGGCTGGCTGCTCGCGCAAAAAGAAGCGCGCTCCAAACAATAGTTTTGAAACTTCCGCCCCCGGCTCTCCTGGACTTTACCTTCCATAGTCATTTGATAATGACAGATTAAAAGCAATCCCCTTTGCGTGTCCCTTGAAGAAATGGAACAACTACGGGCTATTCAGCACACCAGGTTGGAAAAGACGCTCAAAAGAATGATGCAAATGTTAGGGACATGTTCAATGTACTTGTCTTCTGTACACTTTGGTCAGGTTGTATGGCTCACCCTACACCACTCCAAAAACCTTGCATGCACGCCTTGAACTTCAAGCTGCGTACTTTCTTTCTTCGGTGATCTCCATAGATGTATCTTTGTTGCGCTCAACCAGCACGGTCACAACCTGTCAACGAGAGATTTCTCAGACCTTTAGCCTCTCCATTCGTAAAGGTGCCTCATCCTTGAGATTCTGGACAACAGATCCGTGAACCAGACAGAAACCGCCCACGAATGTTGGCGTTGAAAGTATCCAAGTAGCCCAATAAACATGCGTGGAAAAGAGGGAACCTTTCCGGGGTTGAATTTCGGTGGGCAAGCCACTGGCCACCCAGATATCCGGCGGGATGCGGTCCTCGCAAAGTGGTTGCGAGTCGAACGATTTGTGCTCTGGCGGAATGTTGGCTTCCATTTCCTCAGCGGGAAAAAGCAGGAGGACTTGGTTTTGAGTGGAGAAACCACCGGTAAAAAAGGGGGCAAAACGATGCCACCAAACAACTGGAGGGAAGAGGAAGATCCCGGACTTGCCAACCACCAAGCCGGCGTCAATGGGAGGCTCGTCGACCTCCACCAACAGCTATTTTGGTTGGGCCCTGGTTGGGCCCTGGAGGAAGCTGGGTTGCCCCTAGACGCAGCAAGTTGGCCTTCGGGTGCAAGTGGACAACCATAGAAAATCCGGAAGGTTGATTCTAGAAGGCTCTGCGCAAGTGAGACAAGTCTGATGGATCAAATCCAGTTTCGGATTTCCCCCTCAATGAATTCCTCGTTGACAAGTGAGCGGCTCCCTGCTAGACAGGTTGTGCTTTCTTGAAGGGGGGTCGTGTGGCAGCCCGGCAGGTGCTGGACACAGGGTTCAAATGACACGGCTTGATCTAGATAGCACTTGTCGATGGCTCGGACATGGCTCAAGCTCCCACCCAGCAAGGACATATCACTGATTCGTGTGGGGTTGACTGAGGCCAACTGAAACACCATCTGGAAGGCTCCTGGCTCCTGAACACTTCTCTGAAACACATTTCGACCAATGATGGGGCAGCCAAAGCCCTGGCGAAAACACCATGCAAACAATGTCTTGGTTCGGACCACGTCAACCTGGTGTGCTACAGCGTCAAAACTTTCCGCAACATGTTACAGCCATTGCCCTTCAACCGACCAAACCTAATGTCAACACAGCCCTCGATTCTTCAGCGTGGGATTGTTTAGTCTCATCTTCGACTTCCACTTTAGGCCAAAAGCCGAGAACGCCAAACAATTGGTTTCAGCATCCCCCGTCAAAAATAAACAACGCTGGGTTTCGCTTTGGGAACCGACCAAGGCCATCCAAATCCAAGGAGCCGAAATCGGCAAAGATCCGTCGCTCCGAGTCTTCTGCACCTGTCGCAAAATTGCCGCAAAAAGGATCTGTGTAGGTCACCACAAGGACCTGAGCTCAAAAGAACCAGCTAGCTACAAGAATTCCTGGACGAAAGAGATTTGATCAATTTCCCGAAGAGCATCCTGTGGCTGGCTTCCTATGAGAAGTGGAACATGGAACGAAACCTGCATGTTCAAGAGGCCGTTATTGAGCGAGCAAGATGTGCAGGAGTGAATTAGAGTTAAGAAGTGAAGGAATGAATCGGAGTGAAGTAGCGAAGGACAGCGCGAGTGGGAGAGTGAGGGCCTGGGTGGGTGGATGGATGGGTGGGTGGGCGGCTGACTGAGTATCTTCTCCATTCTGTTCAGTAACCCTTGTGGTGACTGGTTGCCATCACTTCCCCCGCGATTCTCCAGGAATGGATGGCGCACTTAGAATAGGCCCATTGGAAACTGTTCATGACAGACGGAGATTCAAAACGACTTTCAAATATCCAATGCGTTTTTTTTCATTCACCCTGCTATCTCTAGATGTAGTGCACTCAGATGCCCAAGCATTGCATGAGCCTGCAAGGATCAGGTAATGGGCTTGCGTACTCAATAGGCCATCAAAAAAGTTCCCCCCCCCCCCCGACCACCCAAACAACCGCCAAAACCCGTATTAAGTCTCGAAACAATACATGAACTCCGAAGGCGCCACACGTCGCATGCTGTCTCTCCCAACAACTAGACAGCGAACACTGATCGGCAGAGGTTTCCTCAAACAAAAGCATAAATACAGACAACATGCAAAGAAACGACTACAAATCAAATGCACAAAGCCCGCATATATACACACAGACACAGACGCAAACACACACACACACAGACACACACACACACAGACACACCACACGCAAAGACACATCATTTGGCTACATGTACGTGGACTCCCCAAAATGGGGGTGATTTCCCCAAAACGCGGGCACTTATCATTTGGCATCGACTTCCCAAAACGTCAATGCTTGTGATTTGGCTGTGTGATTGCCCGAAACGTGGGTGGATTCCCCAAAGGTGTATGCGTAACATTTGACTGTGTGGATTCCCCAAAGCAGGGAGTCTCATTTAGCTGCGCGGAGTTCCCAACACGTTTATGCTTGTCAATTGGTTGTGTGGATTCCCCCAAACGCGGATTCATTTTTCAGGGCCTCTTTAGCAGTGTGGAGTCCCCAAAGCGTGGGTGGATTCCCCAAACTTAGCTGCGTGACCATCCATGAATTCACAATATGGAGGTACTCATGTATCGCCGACTCCCGTCGTGATTGCATACGCTGCTGGAATATATGTGATAAAGTCTGTTTAACAACAAGACAACCCCAAAGACCACCAACGCCAACACCTAGTCCAACAAGACAACCCCGAAATCACCACCAGCAACACCTCCACGCTCTTGTTTTGCTTGGCGACACGCCTCTGCTGTCTGAAACTCCTCCTTCTTGTCGTCTTCTGCTTCCTCTGACTCCTCTTTGATCGCCTCCTGGCGCCATCGGCCATGCGTGATCAGTGCCCGGGACGTGCGACCTACACACTTGCCCCAGGACCAAAGTCGTTCAACTGTGCATTTCTCAAAATTACTAGCCCTGCCAGGCCGCCAGGTGGTTGGTTTCCTTTGCATTCGTCTGGAAGTCTCAACAAGAGGCTCGCCATTTCGAGACACCAACCCCCCCATTGCCCACTCACGCCTTCGCTGGGAACCTCTAAGGCGGGTTTAAGGCAAACATGGCTCAACAAGAAGTGCACGCGTGTGTTGTTTGCGCTCACACCACTGTTCCGGGACTCTTCAGAGCCGAACTCATCCCCCATCCACTGCCAATTACTTCAATTGCTAGCCTCAAGGGCAATCGTTCCGTTGTGTAGTTTCACCAAACCTTGGACGGAACATTGCGGATAGTGGGCGGTCTGATCATGTCCTCCCTAAATGAACCCTGGCTTTCTCTTCAGCGGACTTCAAGCCCTGCAACAAATATGTGCTTCTTGGTGAAGGGCAATAATTGTGGCCCCCTGGCTCCTGTTAGCTGGGGCTCCTGGTTTTTGGTGCAAAATACAAAATGAACCATGGGTCTGTCGAGCGGACACAAACACCTCCAGCAGATGTTGCCATATGTCTCGACAGGGCCGGGAAAGGCCCTGGCCCCTGCCATTGCGCAGCCAAATGGCCAGCCAAACCCGACCTATCGCGCACAACTTGACAGTTGTTGTATCAAAGCCAAAACAAGTGGGAGGCAAGGCACAAACCCGCGTCGCTCAAATGGCATTGCCTGGTGAAATTTGACATGAGGCATCCTCAAGGAAGCATGTTTTAGATCGTGTCAGGGAATAAGGTTGGAAGAATGGAAGCCATACATATCACTCGTGCTTTTTGTTTTGTTTTTTTTAAATAAATAAATAAAATGCGTGAGAACATGGCAAGAGCGGGGAGGGGGCCAGATTCGTTGGGAGTCCTTTACCCACAGCAAAAGCGTAGCTCACTCATCTCCATATATACTGACAGGCAAGCAAGCACGCTCCCTTCAGGGACTCAAGGCCGTCTCTACAAACCCAGCGGCCTCGACTGGCCCCAATCCCCTAAAGGTTTTTGTTTGACAACTTTGCATGGCAAATATTCTGTTGGCAAAGGTGGGAATTGATCAAACCCAGAGGCAACCGGCACCAGTCTGGGTGAAAAGATAATTTTGCCAATTTACCCACCAGAAATAAAGTTTGATTCACTAGGAAACCCCTGGTTGATTCATAGGCGGTGTCCAATTTTCCAGGAGTGGCGCCTCCACGACAGAAAGCTCTTCCCGTCTCTCTGCCTCCTGGAAAGCGCTCCGAAGGCCCGCGAGAGGCCAAAACATCAGACTGAATTGATACACAGGGTGCTTCGATAAGAACCTGCCCTTTCAGGCAAAAGACACCGTGAATTCTTAAACTCGGGCTCGACAACACCCTACACATGGGTGTTTTTCGAGGGTACCTTTGTCGTCTTAGTTTAAATGGAAGCCCAAAGGAACACCGCCATTGTTTTGGTGTCCCGTTATTTTGACACATACGCATACGCAAGGTGTCCAGAGCTCCACCTAGCTGACTGGAATCCGTAAATGCCATGGTCGTACCCTTAAGCAAGAGGCTCGAGCGAAGAGTGTATATAAGGAGTCCAGGATGTCCATGAAACGAACCACAAACATGCTGGTAGGAGCCGCCAAACACGCCTGTGTTTGTCTCTGTGTCTCCTGACATGTCCTGTCCAAAGTCCCTGAACACATAGTTGCCGGTGACAGTTTGCTTTGCCATTCCCAACGAGGCGAGACGTATCCCAGTACCGCTGTACTAAGACATATATAATAAATATACAAATACAAGTGTGTGTGTACATATTAACATATTATACGTACATGTAACATGTATGTATGAATGTACATGTGTGTGTATATGTTTACGTATATGAGCTCTGCCATCAAACAATATACACAAGGTCGCACGGCATTCTGTCCGGCAACGAACAATGGAGAGCGCGATTGTTTTCTCCCATATTCTTCATGCCACAAAGGGCGACACACACAGGTATCTCCTGGATAAGTCTGAAAAAACAACGGTTCTTCTTGAGTTTGTGTGATATCACATGAGAGTACACAATGTGGCCAAATCGATATAGCATGTTGTTCGACGCACGGTCTGATCTATGCGCATCCCCATCTGAAAGCAGTAATTGGGGAAGTTTGAGACCTACCCACATTGATTTCCCTTGGATGTTTCAGCAGTTGCCCGTCGCACCTGGTCCTCGGTGTAGTGTCAGCAAGCAAACACAATCCCCATGATTGACCATGGTCTTCTTGGATTTCAAGGAATCCACTGTGACTGCGGACGAAGCTGGAAAGTCCTCCCGCTGGACCCGCATAATGGCGATGATCGCCTGAACGGGAAAAGCCTTTACGGCATGGAACATGCTCTCAGGCTTCTTGGCTGGGACCATGTTTCTCCGGGGCGTCGTGCAGGGTGCCCCGATTCAAGCAAGCATGCCATGAACACCCGACCAGATTGATGCAAGAATCACTTGGCGCTTCTACCCTGAGGCGATGCCCAATCTGCATACATGCTCGGGGCATGCCTTAAACGGTACGTTTGTGTCCTTTGCATATCGGCGACCTCCATGTCAACTAGAAAGAAACAGGACAGTCACAACTGGCAATCGCCTTGACTCTGATGCTTCTGGCGTCTGCACAATGAATTAGACCAGGTTGTGTTTGTGGCTGGCAGTACGTCCCATGGACTCGCAGTATGCAATCGCATCGATCTTCTGTTTCTCTATGTAGGACAAGGTGTCAGGCACACAATCATCACTTCAGCTCACCCATTGAAGTGCAATGCCGTGCTGCCAGCATTGCACACCTGCGGTGCTGGGTCACCCTCTGGCCACTGGTGCAATCCTGTTGCATTCTTGAGTGTCATGATGAGCATGTCTACCAGTTTGGAGCAGCGTGCAACAAATGTTCAATCAAAAACATCCTGGTATATCTCACAATTTAGTAAACATAAGAACTAGGATCCTTGCCATAAGAGCACATGAAGCTGTCATATCAAGCCATCCATGGGACTTCCCAAGGAGCTTCATGTGCGCAATTTCTTTGAACCCTCCTAAGGCGAGACTCCAAAGCTGCGGCATGCAGTTCGAGGAACGAGCTCGGGTATGTGTTTTGCTGAGGACACCCTTTCGCAGCCAGCTTTAAAAAGGAAACCAACAAGACCTAATGCTTTTCTGGGGCCTGTTTTGACACATACCCACCTCCCCTTCTTCACTTTGCCTCTTTGCGCGGGACGCACGCACCTCGCCCCCTTCCGCCCTCTGAGCCCCCGCGCCAGTCGACTGAAGATGGGAATCACTCCCAAGAGTGCCACCTTCATGGGAGGCTCCTGCGGGCAAATGGCCGCACCAAAAGAAAAGCACGAATTCTCGGGGACTCAACTGAGTGCGTGTCCAAATAGGGATGACCTCAGAAATGGGCCTCGGATTCCTTTTGGCTTTTCTTACACCTGCAAAAGAGGGTATTTACACAAAGACACAGCCCCAACTGCTGGAACATGCATTTACGCACCTCCTGAGAGGAAAAGCGACATTAAGAGGAACATGCTGCGCAGATTCATGGAAAGCACCCGTGATTCAACCTGTCGCACCATAGTTATAAGTTATAAGGTGGCGGGGGTGCTCCACTAGCTATGGACACCTCCTATCAGTGAAGCACGGACTTGGGCTCCCCCCCCTGTAACAACGGGCTGTCCCTGCTTGGAATGACTTTCATGGATTTTGTGCCAGCCTGAAACATGGCTGAACTTCTGCTACTGTTCAGTAGAGAGGTTGAGAGCATGTTGAAATGCTACCTTGCTTTGCTTTCTTTGCTTCTCGACAAGAAAACAATGAGGTCCCCCTATTTCAACTTGACTGGGCCCGATTTAGAAGGGGCCTCCTTACTGCGCACTGCTTTGGCGATCAGGCTCTGCGATGACCGTTCTTTAAGCCACTGCGCGGCTAAACACTGGGAATCATTGCTAAATACTGTCTGCAATAAAGGCTGCTCGTGTCTTTGTCCATCCTGAACCGGAGGCTGCAAAGTTGAGTCTTCCAGAAGTGCGGCAATGCATCTAGGATTCCTGCATCTTTTCGGACCTTTGGCAAAGGGACATAGTGACTTTCAAGACACTAATTCAACGCATATCATAGAGAAACCCGCAACACTGCCACAGCCGATAGAGGCCTACCCAAAACTGATATCCTGGCAATATTGTCCGCTGCACATATCAACACATTGAAATGAGCCAGATCAATGCGTCAAGGACAGCTCGTGAAATCCCGCAGCTTTCAACCCAAGTCAAATCCATGTATCGTCCCAGCCCTCGCGCTCATGCTCTCCACCCATCCCAAAGACCCACCCCATCCCCAAGACCCACCCCATCCCCTTCCCACAGAGTGGCATCGGCCGATTTGGAGTTTGGAGGGCCGGCCTTGAGCGGCCGGACCACGCCCAGCTCTTGCAGGGAGATGGGCCAGTCGTCATCTTCCGGCCAGGGGATCAAAGCGCATGCGGACACCACCCGGAAGACAAACATCAGCGCCTCAGAGCCGTGTTTGGCGTCCATGAGCCGCCGTTGGGCGTGGACACTGCAAGGCATTCATCGCCTTGAGAGGTATTGGACCACCGCAATATGCTTCTAGCGTTAGCGATAACCTAGCATGCGTCACTGAGAGGACACGTCTGCTTCCGATCTCTTGAATACGCAAGCCCAACATTCGGGCTGAAAGGTCCAGATTTTCTGCCAGTGTTCGCCCGCCTCGCAAGTCAAAGTGCAGGAGCCATTTGCTTCCATACTGGCACATGAATGCAAAGAAGTGCTTGGATCAGCTGCTTGTGGCAAAGACGTTTGCAGTTTACACCTTGTCTCAATCATTCGTCGCCCTCTGTCATACAAAAAGTCGTCTTCGGGCTGCTGTGCACACTTTTGGTCGGATCCAACCAACCGAAAGGGAAGACAAGGTGCCGCTGCAGGACCTGTTCTTTCACAGAGGCACATTCAGGCTGTCATAACGCCACAGGCCCATTTCCCATTTGATTTGTTTTGCTACAACTTGTTCCACGATCATTTGTGAACTATCACACGAACCGGCCACAGCTCTGCTTCCGTGGCACAGTGGAGAAGCGCAGCAAGAAATAGCCGCAGTCCAGCTTCCGAGATCGGTTGGTGCCCCGGGTGTTGTAGAGCAACAGCGCAGGTCCTGGGGGTCGTCATGTTTTGGCATGCCCTTTTGGGCGACCTCTTTGGAGATACGCAAAGGTAAACCACAAAGAAACCAGCAATTTGTGAGGTCCCTATTTCCTGGAAACACCGGTGTGATTGAAGGGGCTTGCCAGTTAGAATGCGTTGGGGGTGGGGTGGGATACAACAAACTAGTTTTGGTCGGGACCATGGAAAAACCACGTTAGTACTGATTCAGACCCTTGTATCATTTGTTTCCGCCCAGCAACCATGGTTGAGGGCAGTCCAACTCTTCAAGATCATAATGGTCATTAGGTTGGTACCCTCCGGGATCCAAAGCCAAGCGCGGACCCCGAAAGAGTGTCATGCTAGAGGAAAGCAGCCTTTCAGTTGCCAGCATCATTTTGAAAGGGCACTTATTTGCGTGGGTTGTTTCGGGGTTCCCCCCATTCGGAGAAACACCTGTGGCAGAACTGGGTCCATACATGGTTCCCTTATAGAACGCGTAGAAAAAGGGCCAGTTGTTTGAGAGGTAACCCCTTGTCATGCATGTCTATGCATGTCTTACGGTGTGGACATCAAGTTGAGCACGGAATTCTCAATACAAAGCAGTCGGAATTCACTGAGAACCATCAAGTTGACAGAAGGCCAGGTGTTTTGTACAGCTTGAAGACAGCGTTTTTCTATCCGTTTTGCCGCTGCCGGAGATGAGCATTGGGTCGCTGAGTGGGAATTTTGTGCTGTGCTCCAACAGGTGGGCGTTGGCCAATCCATCGCGAGATAAAATAAAAGTAATAATAACTGGCGTCTCATTTGCTTTGGCCTTATTGCCTCAATTGGAGTCAAGCCTATCATTGGTCGGTTGCAACCCAGGCTGCTAACCACTTGCTGACTTGATCGTACCACAAAACTAGGATTGTCTTCAACGACCCCCGCATGGCGGGGTCCCTTAGTTTCCCTCAATCCTTGTGCCACAGAGCCTCAAAAAACTGGATTGCGTACCAATGGCCGAACGTATCCTCGAGACTCGCTCAGTCTATTAACAGCAATGCTTATACTGACCTCAGGACCTGAACATGCCACGGGATGGATCCTATGCACCGGCAATGGTGAGCACAGCGGAAGGCCGAGTCATGAAGGACTCAGACCTTTGCAAGGTGGCCTTCAGCAGCACGTCAATTGCGCAGGGTTTCGCCCCCCCCCTCCCCCCCCGCCCTCCCCCGGCTCGATTCCCCCTGCCGGCTCTTTGCTGGTTTGGGGTTCCTGCCCCCTTTTGCCGAAAATCTGGAAAACTCCGTGTTTTTGGACGTCCTAGTTGCGAAAACGCTGGAAAAACATCGCTTTTTGCGGGAAATATTGGGGAGCAAGGGGGAAATGCAAGGAAGTGCGACCGGAAAGCAGCGGAAACAAAGGGGAACCGAAAGGGACATGCAAGGGACAGAAAGGAAAACAAGGGGAGTGCAGGGGGAATGAGAACAAGGACACCAATCGGCACGACGGGAGATGTAGGGAAATGACTTGCAACGAAGAACGGGACATACATGGAAAATGACACGGACATACCGAGAAAATGTCAGGGAAATGAAGGGGGAGTTGAAAGGAATGGAAGGGACATGACCAGGACATCACGGGAAACGTGAAAAGGACATGAAGGGGAAATCAAGGGAAAGCCAATAGTGAGATGACAGTTCAGGGTCATGAAGGGGCAGTGCCTGGACATCGAGGCAACTCAGGGCGACATGTGACGCTGCAATGCAGAGAGGGAGAGAGAGAGCCAGACACAGAGAGTCAGAAAGAGAAAGAGAGAGAGAGAGAGAGAGAGACAGAGACAGAGCCAGAGACAGAGCCAGAATCAGAGAAACAGAGAAAGAGACAGACACAGAGAGAGACAGAGAGAGAGAGAGAGAAAGAGAGAGACTGAGAAAGAGAGACACAGAAAGACAGAGAGAGAGAGAGAGAGACAAAGAGTGAGAGAGTAGAGAGGTTCGAGTTAGGGTACCCTTTTTCTGTAGAGGGGCGTGGACAGGAAGGAGACAGGGAGACAGAAAGAGACAGAGAAACAAAAAGAGCGAGAGAGAGAGAGAAGAGACAAGAGAGAGAGAGAGAGAGAAAGCGCGACAGAGAGAGGGAGATTGAGGAGAGAGAGGCTTGGGGGGATGGGGAGGATGGGGAGCAGAGGGAGGGAGAGAGGACGCCAGAACACACGAGGGAGACAAGGGAGAGAGGAAGAAGGAAAAAAGGGAGAGGACAATGTCGGCGGACTGAGCCGGAGGCTCTAAAGTATGTTTGCTTGAAATATATTCTCTCAAGGGAACCCCGCCAAACAAATGGGGTCCCTTTTTTGAGGGTAATTACCCCTTTTCGGGCTTGAAAGGGACCCCTGGGAAACCCGCGCATTTTGGGGACGCACCCTTACAGAGGTCCCGCAAATGAAGGGCCCTAAAATGCTTGGTTTCCTTTCGGTTTAAATAACAACCGATAAGGGCGCACACTCAAATCTGAGCTGGGCTCCTGTGCCAAAGAGCAGCAGCAAGGAGTGGATGTCGGTGGCCGGGATCAAGGCGGCTGCAAAGGCCAAGACCAGGACGAATATGCAAATCAGCTCGTCAGTCCACTTCCTGCTTGGTTTTTTTCGGTGGAACCGTGGCAACCAGTTGGGTGGAGGGGGGAGGGCTTCCTTCCTCGGTGGCTCTGCCGCAACTTCCCATCAGCGCTTTGTTTTTCTGGGGCCTAGCCAGCAATTTCCAGTAGTTTATTGTGTTGCAAACACCGGGATGTTTCACGTGGTAGTCTCCGAGCTTTGCATGGAACTTGCCTGATTTGGAAGGCGGCCCAGGATGAGCGACAGCCAGCATCCATCAAGTTCAGTTTCAACCTCCTTTGAATACGGACTTGCTTGGCTTTGCTAAGTTACAAACTCGCCATACTAAAATACCTTTCTGAAGGCGTGGTTAAATCACCCAAAGCATATGTCCTTCGAAAATGACTACTCAATGATTGTCTGTTTGCAGCTGGTATTCACTGTTCTCGAGTCCGTCCCACCTGTGCGTTTGTGCTGGCAGTAGGATCCTTGCCTCCATTTCCAACATCGCCTTCTCGGCACAACCATGCCCTAGTATATAGGCAAGGGCCGAAGCTCGGGTGATTCACAAGCCCAAGACTTGCACCAAAAGCACGCTTCAAACAAGTGTGTGAACCAAGAGTGCACACCGTTCGGATTCAGACTCGACCTTGTTCTTTTCCATTTTCCCTTGTTCGGTAACATGCAAGCCTTGTCGGTTCTCTTAGCGCCGTTGTGGGTCCAGACTACTGGCCAGATTGGCGACCAGACTCCGGAAACTACAAATGATACTTCCGTGCGCCGGATATTCAAGACAGACTGGCGATACCAACAAAAACAACCCGCCGGTCGGAAACCGCCCGTGGCGGCGTGGCCTCGAAAACACAGTTCTTGCTCGGCAAGTAGTCAAAAATACCGCAAATTACCAGTCATGCAAGGCAGTGCTCAGCATGTTACGCCTTCCACTCTATTGGGGAATGCAATAATCAGCCACTATTAAATGTGTTTTCACAGGAAAAAGAAAAAGAAAAACACTGACAAACAAACATCTTTTTACAAACCATCTTTTAAACCTCTCAAAACGCGTCTGTTTTGAGACCCCATTTTTTGAGAGGTTAATTCACACGCATCTTCCTCCACAGGTCGGCACTCTCAGCTCATATTTTCAGGCGCGTTCGTGCCAGCACGTTTACACCTTCGACGAACGCAGTGGGCAGCCAGCGTTCCAAACCAACCGGCCCCGAACCCTTTGAGCCCCCAGCCTCAGCTTGTCCACAACCGCGTCCTTGAACCGCAGAACGGCCCGCAGGCAAAGGCTCCTGGGCCTTGCGGCAAGCGGTCGAGGCTCCAATAGAGAGACGCAGAGGCTTGGTCCCTGCCTCAAAGCAAATCGAAATTCTACCGTTCTACCCTTTTGGGTTTTGGCCAACCTTCACAAGTGCGAGCAACCCTGATTCAGGTGCAGCTCTATGCATGAAGGCTTGTAAGGCTCAAATTGACAGAGCCGTGTCAAATCAAATGGACGGATCGTGATCTCAATCAGGCTGGTTATAAGGCTTTAAGGTTTGCCCCATGCAGTGGGTACTAATGCAAGAAGAGCACGTTAGAAAACAGATTCATAAACACTGGCTGGTCAAGAGGCCCATTCAAGACAAACTCCTTCACTTTTGGGGAACCCTTTAGGTTCATCAAGTGGGAGTTGACATGACAGAAACGGTGTCTTGACGACGTGCACCCCAACTGAAGGCTCCGTGCTCCGGAAAAAAAAGAAGCAAAAAAGGCACCCCCAAGCTAGAATGCGGCCAAGCCCATTGGCATTGGGGCTGCCCCTGCGCTTTTGTTTGACGCTCACCACTTTGGATGCTCCTGATTTGACGGCCGGGGTTGCGAAGCTACGGGAGATTGTTGGCGAAGCACAAGCGTTTCTCTCCAGTTACTATTGGGAAGGCAAGGAAGCCTCGCCATGCATTGAGGGCGACCCAACAAAAACAAAAATCACTCGAGAAGAAACCCTTTGAGCGTGACGTTGTTTTCAACAAGCTTTGCCAGCAAGCTGGAAACACGAGGAAACGCGTTGACAAGCAAGCCCGAGTCACCAGCATGGATTCTATCCGGGGTGGAAGCATTCAAGCCGTGCCTAAAGGGGCCACGGCAACGAGGCTAATCATTCCACTTCCCTGAATGGGACAAGCATCAGCTTTTTCATAAATCGCATCCCCGGATTACGAGATCCACCCCCATTAACATCTTTCCAAACAAAAGCAAAAACCGACCCCGCAGCTAGTACTTTCAATTGACCTAATGCTAAACCAATACTAAACTGCTGACAACCCTTTTTTTGGGGTCACGTTCAGCACTTCCCTTGTCCAACAGCTGCCCACCACAAGTCACAGAATCTTTGACCCCCTTCTCCCTCCCTCTCTTCCTCCCTCCCCAAATGGTACCCCCAAAAGTTAAGAGCTCCGTGTGCGTCAAGTGACAGTTTGGGGACGCCAGGACCCCAGGGCGGTCAAAGATCCACCGTGTGGGTTTGTCCACTCACCAACTGGTTTGTCCATCAACCCATTGTGTCACCCATCCAAGCATCCTTCCATGCCTTCAAGCATCCAAATATCAGTATTCCAATGCACTGACCAACCATGCACACTCCATGCAACCAACCCACCCACCCACCCATAACTGTTTGGCTAAAATGTGCATTTGCGGGGTATCCTTTCGGGGGTCAAAGACAAAGATCCTACAGCGAAAAAGAACCCCAGATTTGATTAACAAAAAAAAACACGTGTAAAACTTGCATGTCCAGCCCTTGGGTGGAGGGGAGCACATTTAGCTGTGAGAAAGACAGGGCCCTCCGATACCTTAATAAAACATGATTCCACACAATTGATATTCATTCTTGGGGGGGGAGGGGCCGAGAGTTCACATTAGGGAGAGTACATTGCGCGAGAATCGGTAGCATAATGGAAGCGCAACACACAGAACTCAAGTGCGCTTACTCGGGTCGTTTCCCACGACAAGTGGTCGGCCAGGGGCACGGCCTGGCGGGGGTAAGTCTGAACGTGCCGATGGAGCTACTCGTGTCCACGCTGTCCTGCGTTGCGGGATGGAAGTTGAAAGGCGCCAACGGTGCAACACGTTCGCTAGTGGCAGCTGTTTGGTGCAGGCGCGACCTTGCAGGTCCATCCAGGACACGGAATAAATGGCTACCAATTTCAAACTGGTCAATTGCCCATCAAAAGCCCGTGCACATGGACAGCTGGAGACATGAAGCCGCTGCACACACACACACAAATCGTGAACATGTCCATCTGCCATGCCCTGGAGGACTTATGCATAATCTTTATTCAAGTACCAATGAGCGTTCCGGAAACTCCAACTTTATCCAATTATCGCCAGGTTGTCATGCCTGGTTCCCTGGTTCCCGCAAGCAGCCAGGCATGGGTCACCCCCTCTCTGTAGCGCCTTTTCACGGGATGTACAGCTCTCAAACATGGGGGGTCCGCTTCAACATTTCAGCCACCCTTGATTGTCGAAAACCAACCTGAAACCATGCTTGACCCCCGTGACTGACTATGTATCGCTGATATGATCAATTGAAGCATACACGAGCGTCAGGAGCGTTGTCGTTTCACCATGTCAGGTTGCCATGTCACGTAAAGTCTAGGAGCTACCTCAACATGCCGGACATTTTGAAGCAGTCGTTCCATTGTTGGCAAAGGACAGAACTTATCTTCGTGGGAAACCAGCCCCCCGCCCCCAAAACAACAACACAAACAAAGGCAAATTCAATAGACAACCAACAGTGCACAGACACAGACACCTTGACCATGAACAGTTCTGGCGAGCCCAACACGGCAACAGGAGCTGGGGTTGCACGATCTATCTTGTGAAGGGATGACACAGCTGGCAAGCTTCTCTGTTGGAAGTAAGGCAATCAACTCCCACACCCACAAATATGACAAAACGGCACTGACACCAAAGAACTTGAGTAAGGAAGAAGACACCTCCCCAAAAGGAGCTCACAGTACTTGTGTCGTGGCATGTGAGGTGGACTCGTCAGCTCAGAGCAACTCGGCTCTTGCCCTGTCCTGTGTATCCGCACGCGCCCTCTCCGTGAACTCGTTTGACGAGACCTGAACACCATGGTATCGGAATGGCCCTTTGAGCCAACCACCTGAAGGGTTCCTGCGAAACACACAAACGGACGGACGGAGGGACGGAGGGACGGAGGGCGGACAAGCCAGACAGCCAGCCAGCCAGCCAGACAGACAGACAGACAGACAGACAAAGAGACAGAGAGACAAGGAGACAGAGAAGCAGTGAGACAGCGAGACAGAGAGAGAGAGAGAGAGAGAGAGAGCGTGAGCGAGCGAGGGAGAGAGAGAGAGAGAGAGAGAGAGAGAGCGAGAGAGATACGAGAGACGAGAGACAGAGAGACACAGAGACAGAGAGACAAACACACAAACACGCACAAACACATAAAGTCACATACAGAGATAAACACACAACACACGTACGCACACACACACACATACACACTTGCACCGTGCTCTCTGTGAGTATCTGGAATTATATATCCAAGATCGTCCTCAACAAATTGCCACAATAATTACCCTGACACCGGCAACGCATGGCTACTTGCCGCGGACTAACTCCTGTTGCGCTGCGCAAGTACATACATGGCTTCCTCTGAGCTGTGGAGCAACCCTTTGTGTGATTTATAACTTCAAGGGGGCTGGACAGACTCAACATGAGGTCCCTACCAAAAAACTCGCTGCTAGCAGCTGAGCCTTTTTTTGGGTCAAAGGAACATTGTGCTGTTCCCTCCAGCAGTTGTCATACACTACATCGCCTCGCTTTCCACTAGTCGTGGCAGAACACCTGCTTCCTGCTGTGCGGGCTCAGCCAGGGCTCAGCTGGACAACAGTAACCAGGCCTTGCTGAGTTACACGTAATTCTGCAAATATGTGAAAAACACAACACACACACACACACAACAGCAAGGACAGGATTCGTGCCAACATATATCCTGGAATTGCGAGAACCAGTGATTTCACTCCCCATTCTGACTGGCTTCTACGACTTTGTGCTATTCGTTACGTCTTCTCCGCGCGTGGAATCAGGCTAGCTTTCCCCCAACAAACACTGTTGTGGGTTCCAGAGAATTTCTGACAGCCCTCTGTGTGTTTTTTGTCGTTGAAGGTACCTTTTTCAGCTTGGTTTAGATGGCAACCAACAGGAAAACCACCTTTTACGGGTCCTCGATTTGGACAAATACCTGCCTGCGAGCTTCTGTTCTCATACTTGGATCCGAGCCGCTGGGCTCCCCAATTCATCGCACTCATTGTGTCAAGTGGTTTCGAATAAGCCATTTGTGTTGATGGTTGCCCGGTGGTTGGGACTTGCGCCCATCAACACACTGGCCTGCATGGACGTCGATGTGTCATCAGTTGCTTGCAGTAGATTGAACAGAAACAAGCAAGGTCGAAGCCGTCTGGATTCCATCCATGTGTGTATAATAGCCAAAGAAACCATTCTTGGTATGGCATAACCCGCGTCCCACCACCCTTCCTCTATTGCAATGCTCAAACACGGCTCCCCACCTGGCTCTCGGGATCGCGTGGCTTTTGGAGGGTACCCCTATTTTGACACATTCCCAGGTCTACGGAGAGGGCGGCTCCATCAAGGTTGCCTACTTTCCAACTGAGAAGCCAAACGGATTCGAACATATTCTAGTGCCAGTTCCAGTTCTGCGGGCCATGGTTCAAGAGCTCAGACAAATATATCGTGAATCAAGGGCAAGTGTTTTTTTTCTTCGCGTAATCATCCCAGTGGCCATGGAGATTCAACAGAGTGTCACCATTTTGCTGGTGCTCGATTCTAAAGGTAAGCCCCCTTCACAAAAAGGCAGGAGACAAGGCCTCCAAACCCGAGACCGAGACGCACCCCGCCTGTGCGATGCGTATCCGCTCCAGCCAAGCGGTGCCGGCCAGGGCCAGGTGCGGGCACTCGGCGAGCAAGGCGAGGTGCAAAAAGCTGAAGGCGGGAACTCTGGCGAGTGGATTTTTCTGAAAACACGGAGCCCCAAATTCAGATTCCAGTCATTGTCGAATCCTCGCACTTAGGGAGTCTAACTAAAATCCATGGTAGAACATGGGGGGAGAGCGGGGTGGGCCAGAAAATGGGCGGCTTTCTTTTCTTGGTCTCGCTTGAAACCAAAACTGGTACACCTCAAAACAGCCCGCACACACACACAAACTCTACAACAACAAGCAACGGAACCCAATCACAAGAAATTCAATTCACATCCTGCACCTTCGTGGTTGAACCTGGACACATCAAGGAATTCGTTGGAGCCCCTGTGGAGATTCGTTAAAGCTACCGGAAACTGTAGTGGCTCGCAATTCCACACGTTTGTGGTGGTTGATTTGCATCGAAGGCAAACACTCAAGCAAATTATTGGGAGATATGACTTCCAGGCCCAAAGCGACGGCTTCCGTCAAACAGGAATCGGAATAAACAAACGTCATGGACCAGATTCCAACTACACCACCTCTCTTTCCAAGGGCATGCCCTGTGGAAACGTGGAAACGGCACTAGTCAACGAACATAGCAATCCGTAAAATCAGACAAACCAAACACAACTACGGAATATCACCCGTTTCTCCTGACCAATAGCAAGCCCAAAGCAGCAGGAGAATTGGTTCCTTTCGGCTTGACAAATCGGAGTTCACACCCGTCTATTCATTTCTCAGCCAACATCTTCTGGGGTACACAGAAGCTATCTTCTGACTCTGTTCTAGATTTACTCTTAACATATAAAGCGGTTTTGGAGGAGACCCCAGATTATCCAAATGTTTCCTCGTGCTCGTCACCACGAGCGCAAAGTCCACCCATCCGTTTTGGAGGGTCATTCAGACTTGATGACCATTTCTCAAACGAGAAAACAATGGATGACCGATGTTGGCCATATACCGCCAAAACGCCCCACTTGTCCGCGTGAGCATGTTCAAAAGCACACAGAAGCCGAGGGGAGTGGGATCTGCACCAGGAGCACAAGATTTGCCGAGCAGCGACCACCGCAAAATAGGAGACCTGGTGCTTCAAGGAAGGAAACGCCTGGCAGTGGGCTCCAGCGCGTGATGGTGTTTCCTCAAATTGGAGACCTCCCCCAAGCCATGAGTGTAATTATGGTAAATAAAAGCGAGACCAATTATTTGGAAGCAAAGGAACCCTAATGGGGCCAAATGAGATTGGCAGGTGGTTTTATTTGCCGGGAGGCGGAAGGTGGTTTGTGGAAGTCCTTGTAAATTTGAAATAATGCGAACCGAATGATGCGAACCCAGGATCAATCAATCCTTGCTTTCTTGGGTGGGGGCATTGTATCTTTTGCTGGGAATCCGGACCACTACTGGAGATGACACCACCTAACTATTTGGTATCCAGGGTGTTCTGTCCTGGTTAAGCTGTCATGTTGAGTTTTTTGTCGGTTGGCATGCAAGCCAATAGTTGCCGGCAACGTAAGTTAAAACTTGTCAGGGGCAGTTGCAACCACCTCAAGTTAAACGAATCTAGGGACAATGAAAACCGATGTCATTCCCGCTTTACTGTTCCTTTGGCCTTCCGAGCGAGCGGGCGACCAGAAGCACGATACAAATGAGTTCAGAAGACCTTTAGACAAAAGCGGCATCTTACCGGCGAAGGACTAAATTAAGCACGAAGAGGTAAAACCGGTTGCCGAACAAACATCCACAGTTTATCAACTTGCCTGGGTAGAATTACCTTGATCGTCTCTCCACAACTTGACCTAAATTTATGTCGGCGTGCATCTTTCTGCTAAGCAAAATAAGCAGCTGATTTGTTCACCGAGTGCCATCTATGTCCAAACCCCATGCACAGTCTGTTGAAGGCATGACAGGTGAAGGTTGCAGGTTGCTGACTTGCACATCGGCAGGTTGTCAAGCTATCAGCTTGAATTTCCAGACATCGCGTCGGCTAACATCAACCACTCTGTCATCACGTGCAACAAGACCCAGAACAAAATATTCATGGACAAGCCCGTTTTAACGCCCCTGTCAATCGGGCGTGTCAAAACCAGGTATGCCTCCAAACAGTTGGTGCCATGTGGGTTGTCTGAATGCTTGAGGTTCCGGATGGTTGATTGTCTAATGAGCCAACAAGGAATGTGAGCAAAGTACTATGCTGCACAAATGCATAATCCCCAAGTAAGGGACCTTTCGTTGTGCGTGAGAAAGTACCAGCACTTGCGCTCGCTATACTTCGTCCAAAGAACTATATATACCTCTGCATTTTCCTGTGTGACCCTCTGGTTGGTCAAAAATGAAACCAACGGAAAACCAACCCTTTCAAGGCACACCCATTTTTTGCACACCGCTGAGGCAGCCCTTTTCGGCCTGGTCAATGAAGGAGGTCGAAGAGGCTTCAGCCCCGACCACCACGTAGAGAAGCGTCATGATCACCTGAGTCAATCCATGAGCAAGGACCGAGCCAATGACAAAGAACTCCAGGAGTGTCTCCAAGTTCATTGGGCCCCAAACCTGCCCTGAACTTCTCGTGAGCCTCCTACGACCTGTGTGTGCCATCGGGGACAACTCAATTCAATGAAACCAGCACCGACCCCCAAAAAACAGCAATTGCGCACATCAGCTCGGTTCAATTGGATCTGGGCAGCCAAATCAAGCTGCCAAGTCAAGAACAAGGCATTGCCTTGCATGAGAGCGCAGACAACGAGGATCAACCAATGGGGCAAGCATGTCGTCAGTCTTGTCTCAGCTTTGATCTCCATGCCATGGAATACCAACAGCGCACGTGCCAGGCAAGTGTCTGAGCCAGCAAGCCCAAGTAGAGAGGCAAGCAGGGAGCGGGAAGACAAGTGGGGAGACAATAGGAAGACAAGCCGCGACAAGGTTCGAGCGTGGAAACGCAAGCAGGAAAAAAGGGAGACAAGTCAGCCATGTCGTGAACGTGTCATGATTTGCTACGTCGTAGTGATTTGCCTACGCCGCCAGCTTGCGCCACCTTGCGCCCTTGGAGTGTTGGCTTGCGCAAGCTTTGACGCCACCGCCTTACGCGGGGGGAGTTCTTGCTTAAGCACAGGTCGATATGATGCGACTCTCACTATACATGCGCTGCTCAAGCGGGGAGCCAAGTAGGAAGACAAACAGCGACAAGGTCCGAGTCAGCAAGCACTCAAAGGGAGACAAGTGGGGACAAAGGGAGACAAGCGGGGACACGAGTGCAGAGAGAAATCGTGACAAGGTCCGCATCAGCAAGCACTTGCAGGGCTCAACTGGCAGTATAAGTGGAAAGACAAGTGTGGGAGCTGTGACAAGGTCCAGGTCAGCAAGCGCAAACAGGGGGACAAGTACCAGGGACACAAGCGGGGAGACAAGTGGGAAGACAAGCGGGACACAAGCGGGGAGAGTGGGGAGACAAGCCGTGGCAAGCGCAAGCAAGGAGAGAAGTGAGAAGACAAGTGTTGAAACAAGTGGGGAGACAAGTAAGGAGACAAGTGGGGAGACAAGTCTTGGTCCTACAAGTGGGGAGACAAGTGGGGCGACAATCTGTGGCAACAAAAGCGCAAGCAAGTGAAGAGACCAGCCGTTGACAAGGTCCGAGTCACCAAGCACAAGCAGCACGACAAGTGGGAAAGACACGTGCGGTCGCGCTACCAAGCATCACCGAGCACAAGCAGGGAGAGAAGTGGGGAGACAAGTGGGGGCAGAAGTGGGGAGAGAAGTGGGGAGACAGCCAAGGGAACCGTCTTATCAACCATAAACACTATTTACAACTGAATAACCATAATTCTCACCAAAGTGGAGTCAAGGGCAGTTGGTGTCATGGCTCGCGTCATGTCGAACATTCATTAGCCGCATGCGCCTGAAACCAACTTTAGTCAAGCACACTTCTGTCAGCGAAAGTCCGAAACTAAGCTAAAGTCCGAGACTCGTCTTACTGCCAAACTGGTCATCTCTGCTTCGATCCAAGTTGCCAGGTTCAAATGGCCCATGACCTGGAGGAGGCACCACGTTCTGGGCTGGCCTACCTGGCAGGCGACACCAAGACAAAGCGCGAGAGAGAGAGAGCGAGCGAGAGCAAAAACAGCCGCAGCCGACCAAACAAGATATGTCTAGCAGGGGCCTAGGGATCATGGGCACTCTCAACGGGCATTTGTTCTGGGAGTTGCACGCCCACGGAAAACCGCAAACTTCGTGGGTTTGCGGGGTTGCCCCGTCGGAGACAAACGAAACGTGGGAATGAGACTTCGTTCTGGATTGCGCTTCAAGGCGGCCATGAGGTTCCCCAGTTGCAAACAGAAGCATGACCAACATAGGGCGAGTGGGGGGATTTCCAACATGCTGACCTCGGATTTTGGTTGTGGATTAAGAAGGTCATCTTGCCCCCGCAAAATGAAGAATCTCAATAAACATGTGGACATCCCCCTATTTAGCCGGTGGGCTCATTAACTCAAAGTGTTTAATTCAAGTATCCCGCAAACTGCCCCTTGCGCGCGCGAGTACAAACTCACCAACATCAACAACGAGGCGGCGATCACCACTGAGATGTGACAAACCAGGCCCACCAGTTGGCCTTGCACCTGTTCATCGTGCACTTTATGGGGCATGCCGGGGCAGGAAAGACTGCACACTGCTGGTAAGGCGGCGCGCCTGTTCTTTTCGCGGGCCTTCAAAACAAGCACATCCCATCTTAACAGATCTCCATTTTGCAACCATTTGAAACATGTTGCTTTTTCCGCCAGAATAAAGGGAAACCTCCATTTACAAGGCAATGTTCAGGTGTATAATGTAAAGATCCCTGTTACCCTTTCCGAGCGCACTGGACAATGGACCATGAGAATCCCAGAATCCTATTCGCTCTCCCTCTTCCCAAATGGGTCGTCGTTTTGTTTCCCTCCAAATGGCACAGGGCCCCCTTCAGGTTCACTCGAACATCTACTCTGTCAGCGCCTGCGTGCCGGTTCCAACACACGCATGCAAGGTAAATCCGCCGAAGCTGCGCCAAACATCAAGCAACATAAGGGATTCACTTCGCTACTGGTCAATTTCAGTATGTCCATGGCAGGGCTAAAGCAGTGACGTCCCGCAGCATACGCTGGGCAGCCGCAAGCCATGCTCTGGTTGCAGGCAGATCCGAAAGCCGGACAAATGACGTGTGGCCTGAGTTAATCTCAGAGCGGCGAAAAACGTGCAGCTGTTAGCAGAATGGCTTTGGGCGCTGCCCGGGCAACAACCTCAAGACAAGTCAGAACGCACATCCCTGATCAGATTGCCATCCGGGTTCAGAATCTGCTCGAGACCATCATCATGGTGGGCACCGTGTTGAAATGATCGCAAAGTAGGGTTGGGCGGCAATCATCAACGGGTGCAACTCCCCATCTGATAAATCTTCTTGAATGGCCAGTCTGTTGGGTACCAGGGATTTCCAGGGGTGTTTGCGCAGGAGCGGTCTCAGATGCCAGCATGAGCATACACCCAAAACTGACCTGTGCCTGGATGATATCCCCAAATTTGGCAAGTGGGAAGATTTGTCTAACCAAAATATTCATTCTCACCTCTTAAATGGAAATGGGCCTGGCCCGTGAAGTGCTTCGTGGCTCTCGAACTGAACTGCGGCATCGAGCCATCGCCGCGACATTCATGAGGCCTCGAGTTGGCCGCACACAAGCTTCCCCCAGACCAGCGCGTAGCCACCCACCATGACCGGGGTATAGCCTCGAGGGGGCCGAAAGGAAACACGGCAAGCGCGAAGCTAGAATGGAAGAGAAACACAAAGAAGAAAAGGAAGAGAAACATAACTGCAGCTTATATTTTTGAAACGTCCGCCCATGGGTTTGCTGGCTCTACTGGTAATTTAGCCAATCATACCAGCCCATCATTTGCCCAAACAATAAGTTCATATGTTGTGTTTCAAGCGCATGTCTTTCGAACGCAAACGCAAGCAACTTCAGGCACTCTGCGACATCTCCGGGGGCCCGGCCGCCGCCAAATCGGATGCCCACCATTATGGCGATCATCACCTAGATGAGCGCAAATGGCATCCAACAGCATGTTCAGCCATGCAAGGCATACCCTGCTGGGAAAAAAGTACATGGCGCACTTCCCCCGAGTTTGGAATAGAAGTACTCTCTACTTAGCCAGAAAAATAACTGTGCCATCTACTTCGCCCTGGTGAATCCACGTTAAACCTGCTTTTCAGGCGCGAATTCAAGCCTAGCATCTGAACTCAAAGAGAATATAAAACACAACATGACAAGAATAACATTGTCCGCAGCTTTTGCCATAGCTGGATTGGTTCAGACAAAGCAACCGTGCACTATCAACAAGCGCAGCAAGGAGTACTGAGGATGAGTACATTCATCAGGTAGGCATCTCCAAAGCTGCCTGAAAAGAACAAGCAACATCGGACCTGGCCCTTCAGTGATGAATATTGGCAACATGTTCTAGCGATCAGCTCGATCAGCGATAGCAAACGCACTGTCGCAAGGTGCCTACACCAACATGTTATCTACCTGTGTGCAAATGCACAACATGTCAGCTGACAGATCAAACAAGCCACCTGACTCCTCGTGAGAATTGTTACAGTAAATGTCGAGCCCGTTCTTTTTTCAGAGCATGCACATGCAACCACCTGTTTAAGAAACAGCGAGAAGGGAAGTTGCTGCATGCTCGACGCACCCTGAATGCTTTAGACTCGCCTGGGCTTTGCAAGGGTTCCGGTTACTATTTGTACGGCAGGCCAGGCGCTACAAGCATCGCGAGCTCTGCAGGCGCACAGCGGCACAAGTACACCTCGGCCCAGTGTGACAGCACGGCGAAACGTCATAGGTGCGTTTTGAATTCCAGTGGATTTGCCTTTTGAGAGTTACAATCAAAAGAGTGCTCAAAGTGTGTGCCACAAGTCGGGGAAGCCACAGTTGGGGCATCGAAGATGTTGTCTAGACCCAGCGTGCGATTCACACCGGCAGAATCCGCTAGACACTTGTTGCACCTCTTGACTCCTGACCATGCCGCACTCACTCCCTACTGGAACTTTCATCCATGGTAATCATGATCCCTCGTTCGCAATTGTATCTTAGTATAGTAGTAGAAACTAGTTTTCCCACCGCACATCTAGTACCAACACATCGTTCACAGGCTCGGTGGAAAACTTGCTCGCCCTCTCATCACATAAGCACCTCTGAAGGCAGAACCCGAAGGGGTCATGTCAATTTGTCAGGTGCGTGAAACAATGGAAAGGTGCCTACTTGAGGCTACGCAGCAACACGCGCCCACACGGAGTGCCTACGCAGACTTTTCTCAGGCGCCACTCTTAAAGTTTGTAAATGGCAGCTCATGCGCAATGCCAATGCAAGCCTGCCTACGCAAAATTATCTTGAAAAGCCTATGGAAGGCATTCCCCTTTAAAACTGATAGGCTCTTCTTCGATGGCTCCCAAGCTCATCCTGCAAATGCCATCCGTTGAGCGATTGACAACATTGCCCGAAATAAGTTCGATCGCATGAAGGGCTCGCAAACAGTGGCCACAGACGAAAGAAGGACACCAGTTTGTTCTTCTTGATTTCAGCGCAAATTCACGAGAATACATAGATATATACATATCGCAAATCCACAAGCACGTCTATATCGGGCCTATACAGAAGAATTGATCTGTTGCCCTCAAGTGCTGGGTGCCCGGCCCATGTGCTCTGGCAGGACCTTTCGATCCTGCGAGAGCCAGAAGGCACATCAGATTTGAGCCCCGGTGCCACAGGGAGCCATGCTGGGAATCTGACACAGGTTTTGGGTTTTGCGTGCAACTAGGATGTCAAGGAAGCCAACACAGTCCCAACGGAAGAATGGGACTCCTCTTGGAAACACTATGGCTGGCCTGACAAGAAAAACTGTCCTAGGCCCGTAGGCTGCTGAGGGCGACAGGCAGCAACAAGGCAGGTGATCAAGTGGCAGGGAACACAAAAACGAACCCACTATTGATTTGTGAACCGTGCAGCAGGCAAACATCCCTATCACAAGCAACAAAGCATTGAGTCCCACCACAATTCTCCTACCAACAACCACAACATCTAGGCCAATTACAATACTCACGCCAATCCCACATAGGATTCCCCTATGAAAAACAAGAACAATTCATTATGGGCGAGTCCGCACCCCACTCCTGTGGGGGACGCTCTGATATGCCCCGTTCAAATCTAGGTCCAACAGTTGAGCGCGCCATTGCTTCATGGATCCAACCTTCCGCACATGGCTTAAGACATTTTTCCACAGCACCAAACCGCAAAAACCCTCCTCTCGTCCACACTGCCTCAGCAGGTGTTTCTAGACCTCCCCTTCTCAACAAGCCCTGTTCCCTGCTTTAACTGCCACCCGGCCCTACCAAGCAGCCTAGTTTCTGAGTGGCATTGCCTCTCAGGATCCAGTCAAGCAACTTATATCACGGTCCAAACAACGAGACTGAGTGGGGTGGGTCCATCGAGGTTTGCCCAGATATAGGCAAATATGATGATGCCTTGAGGTAATATCTCAACACAAGCAGCCCAGGACCATACAGTACCCCTCCCCAATCCAACCCCCAGAACAGGTACCCTTGCAGTCAGACCAAAAAGGAAAGCCGAGGCGCATCGTTCGTGTTTCCTCATACCGAGCCCAGTCAATGAGCATTGCAGCCTCGCGCAAACGACTTGGCGGATGAGGCAGGCGAACCCTCATCGTGCCCCCAACCCAGCTAGTAAATATGTTAAAACAGTTGATGATGATGATGATGATGATGATGATGATGATGATGATGATGTTTACTTCCATTCAGATTGAGCGTTGACCATGTAATGTTTGCGCATTCGACTCTATCATGCTCAAGACTTTGCAAGTACACAACAGGAAATTCTGTGGTGGCTGGAACAGTAGCGTGGACTGTTCCTAATGTTAACACCCGATTAATCATGGGTCAGTCAACAATTGAAAGTTCTTCCTTGTTATGGTTCGCCCCCATTGTTGATGGGGACCAGAATAACTGAAAGTTGTTTTGCCCGGGGGGAAAATTCCAAAACAAATATCCACAAAACAATTTTAATTCAAAAGCCATCCCCCCAGCCCCCCGTCCCAGAAAAACTGTCAGTTGCTTTACTCAACAGCATTCCCCTTTCAATTGGTGGCCCACTTGCTTAAAAGCATTCCCCTTTGAATTGGTTGCTCAACCACAAAACCCAAAGCCAGCTGAAACCTCTGAAATTTGAAAACCATCCCCAGCCCTGAAACTGCAATTTAACCGTGTTAAAACGATGCAAACAACAATCAGGACAAGGGTACCCCTCACAGACCCCACTGAACCACAACAATTGCATTCTTTCGGGGGACCACATTAGTCTGCAAGCCCCCAGCCCCCTCCCAGAAAATAAGCTACCAGTTGCTTTACTCAAAAGCATTCCCCTTTCAATTGGTGGCCCACTTGCTTAAAAGCATTCCCCTTTCAATTGGTGGCCCACTTGCTTAAAAGCATCCCCTTTCAATTGGTGGCCTACTTGCTTAAAAGCATTCCCCTTCGAATTGGTTGCTCAAACACAAAACCCAAAGCCAGCTGAAACCGCTGAAAAATGAAAACCATCCCCAGCCCTGAAACTGCAATTCAACCGTGTTAAAAAGATGCAAAACAACAATCAGGACAAGGGTACCCCTCACAGACCCCACTGAACCACAACAATTGCATTCTTTCGGGGGACCACATTAGTCTGCAAGCCCCCAGGCCCCCTCCCAGAAAATAAACTATCAGTTGCTTTACTCAAAAGCATTCCCCTTTCAATTGGTGGCCCACTTGCTTAAAAGCACCCCCTTTCAATTGGTGGCCCACTTGCTTAAAAGCATCCCCCTTTGAATTGGTTGCTCAAACACAAAACCCAAGCCAGCTGAAACCTCTGAAATTTGAAAACCATCCCCAGCCCTCCCTGGCTCAAGCTCAAGCCCTCCCTGGCTGAAAGGCACACCCTTTGAATGGCTACGGAAAGAACTGAAAGGGAAGTGACTGCAATACTAATAGTATTCCACAAAGTATGCTCAGGAAGAAGTGGTTGCAATACTAAAGTAGTATTCCAAAAAGTCTGCTCAGGAAGAAGTGGTTGCAATAATAAAGTAGAATTGAAAAAAGGAAGTGGCTGCAATACTAAAGTAGAATTGTGCCCCAAAATCCTCCATTGTTTGGACGCCCCAATAGTGAGCCTACCTTTTTCTAGCAAAAAAACAACTTGCAGCCCAGCACATTGCTCTAGGATGCGCACGGAGCTGTTTGTGTGTGTGTGTGTTTGTGTGTTTGTGTGTTTGTGTGCTTGTGTGCTTGTGTGCTTGTGTGCTTGTGTGCTTGTGTGCTTGTGTGATTGTGTGCTTGTGTGCTTGTGTGCTTGTGTGCTTGTGGGCTTGTGTGCTTGTGGGCTTGTGTGCTTGTGGGCTTGTGCGCTTGTGCGCTTGTGCGCTTGTGCCCTTGTGCGCTTGTGCGCTTGTGCGCTTGTGCGCTTGTGCGCTTGTGTGCTTGTGCGCATGTGCGCTTGTGTGCTTGTGCGCTTGTGCGCTTGTGCGCTTGTGCGCTTGCGCGCTTGCGCGCTTTTGCGCGCGCTTGGGTGCTTGTGTGCTTGTGTGCTGGTGTGCTGGTGTGCTGGTGTGCTTGTGTGCTTGTGTGCTTGTGTGCTTGTGTGCTTGTGTGCTTGTGTGCTTGTGTGCTTGTGTGCTTGTGTGCTTGTGTGCTTGTGCTTGTGTGCTTGTGTGCTTGTGTGCTTGTGTGCTTGTGTGCTTGTGTGCTTGTGTGCTTGTGTGCTTGTGTGCTTGTGTGCTTGTGTGCTTGTGTGCTTGTGTGCTTGTGTGCTTGTGCGCTTGTGCGCTTGTGTGCTTGTGTGCTTGTGTGCTTGTGTGCTTGTGTGCTTGTGTGCTTGTGTGCTTGTGTGTTTGTGTGTTTGTGTGTTTGGGTGTTTGTGTGTTTGTGTGTTGGTGTGTTTGTGTGTTTGTGTGTTTGTGTGTTTCTGTATTTGTGTGTTTGTGTGTGTGTGGAAGTGCCGCACAAGCTGGATGACTTGGGAGAGGATGCAAGACTGATTTGGCGTGGCTGATTCGGAGCATAGGTTTGAAACTGAATAATTTGTTTCTGGGCCAGTGGAAAATAATCATGTTGAGGAAAGACTGCTTGGGCATGCCAATGCTTCGCTACTCTGTGAGTTTGGTTGATATTCGGGCTGAACATGTGGTTCTGCTCCAACAGCCCGACCCAGCTGTTAGCCTAGCCCACACTGTCCGCAAGTAATGAGACTTTCAGAGACAAACGCTCCGTTGAACATGTGGTGCGCCAAACTAAGACTTCGGGTTGTCGCGAAGACAAACAGTGCAAAGTACTTCTGCCTAGGCGACCTGGCTCGGGGTACGCGAGGGGAAACACGACTTCAATGACAATCTTCCGCTCCCCCGCTCCCCTTCTGTCCTTGGGGCCCCTGGAGCAGTGAGACAGGCCCTTTCAAGACCCAGGCCTGCAGCATCGCCATGGCCAGAAGAAGAAGCGCCTGAAATGTAGGGATGACAAACTGGGAAAACAAAACGGGCTTGTCAACCAATGGGTTGCCAAAAGGGATTCAAAAAGGGCCCCCCAAAGGGACCTGATTCAAAGGCGGCACAAAATGCCAAAGGTCCCCCCCAAAAACAACAAGCAAAAACGTCATCTTTTGATTGGTAAATACATTGCCCGGTGCTTTCCGGTTGCTATTATCGTTGATATTCAGAAAAATGCATCACGTAAAACCTAGAGGTAAACAGAACTGGCTACCTGCTTAGTGGCAACTGGCAGCAACGGGCCCATGCTCACATGAACAGGGTTGCTCCAACCCTGGCACAAGGGATCACAGATCGTAGAAGCTGAGTGGTAGCGTAACAGTTCGCCTATGACAAACTTTATGGCAGCTAGCTCTTGTTTCTTCTGGCTGCGGATAGATACATGCACTTGATCATAGCCAAAAGCGGAGACCTGTCAACTCTATGCAGGCCCCCTTGAGGACATGCCCATGTGGCAATTCCTCACACATGTAGTGCCATTCCATGTTCACCTTCGATGAACTGCAGGCACATCTCTGTACACAATTCTTGAATTCTAGGGCCGGCCAAGTGCTTTGTACCCAGGTCAGCACTGTTCTTTGCTGTTCCTACTTTCTCTAATCGTATCTCTCCCTCATGAATGCGTTGTTGCAGCCAAAGGAAGCATCTTGATATATGCTTGGCTTTTCCATGTCCTCGCCTCGACATCAGAGCTTTCGCTGCCGAGGCGTCGAATACAAGCACCGCTTCAAAATCGCAACCCAAATCTTTCATCGTCGAGATTCCTCCAAGAAGTGTCGACCCAGCTTTGATACCAGCGTAAAATTCGCTTTCGCCTGAAGACAAAGCAATCACATGCTGCGTTGCACTGTAGAATTTCAACAAGTGTCGCCCATGATATAATGCACCACACGATGTGGATTTCCGAGTCTGCACGCATCCACCATCGTCTGAATCACTGTACATCCTCAAACATGTTTGCATTGGTTGCTCATCATACCGCCAGACCAACCTCTTACACCCAGAAAGATATCTCACCAACCGTTTCAAGCCATTCCAAGAGCCCTTAGTTGGGTGTTGCATTGACCTCGCCAGCTCCTTCGATGCGAAGTGAATGTCCGGACGGTCCAACGCCAAATAATTGCACCGCATTACCAAACTCCTATATTGCGAGGCATCCGATGGTTCCAACGGCGTCACATCTCCACCGTCATTGGAAACTCCGGGGCTGCTGACTGATTTGCCTTGCTGCAAATTCAGAGTGTTCACGAGAATTTCAACGTGTCTCGGATCTGCCTCGATTGTGGTTGCATATTCACCATAACACACAAGCCGATTCAGTACGCTCACTTCTCGCACGTCAGTTTCATCAGGCCCAAGCAGGCCTCCAAACTTCAGCTCGTACCTTTCTTCCAGCATGCTTTTCATCCAAAACAAATCATCTTCAAAACCCAAAGTCGTAATATCGTCTCCGTGGAGGGTCACCTGCAAATCCCTTGTCTGATTGCAGAATAGCACCGGAGAGCCAATGCCAGGGCAAAATCCTGCTGTCGTGAAACAGTCCGTTATCTCCAATTCCCAACAAGCAGCAGCGTCCCTGCACCCATACATTGCTTTGTTGAGACGTCCACATTTGCCTGGCCCCACACCTGCTTCATCCGGCAATTGCACGTAGACCAACCTAAAAATCTTTGCCGTCCAATGCGCCCTCCGAACGTCAAGAAACATCACCTTCTTGCGGCGCCCTTTGTGGTCTCGCTCATTCCCAGACCTCTGAAGACTCAAGAGCATCCTGATTGACTCCAGCGGCGGCGTAGCAGCAAAGATCGCCTCGATCTCCGAGGATCTGACCTCTTGCACGACCAATCTACTGCGGTAGTTTGGTCGGTTGATGTCGCCCTTGTCCAGGTCGATCCAGCGCGTGCTAATGGGCGGCTTGCCGGTTGCTTTGTAACACTCGTCCGTGTCGACAACCGTCCAAACCTGATACCGCTGAGCATAGTCGATTTCTTCTGCCCGTGCCGCCTGTACTTTGGATGCTTCCAAAGCTTTCCCAGAAACCTCATCCACAAAAGTGCACCAGTCTTCATCCGGAACTGTACTCAAATCCAAATCCTCCTCCTGGTTGGTCGGACCAAATTCCAAAGCGCTCATGGGGATACGCTTCTTCAGTTGCTTGCGCAGTCCACGCAAAATACTGCGAATAAGAGGTCGGGGGTACACTTCACACTGCTTTGCTTTGCCCCCAACCAAAGGAACATGCCGATGCCAATTCCTCCCTTCTCGCACAAAATAAAACAACGTCTCTGTTCTGTAACAGTTGTCCGGGATCTTGAAGTGCAAGTCAGAGCGGGAGGCGCTGTGTACATCTCGAAGATCCTGCAGCAAAATGCCATTGCTCAAATCCAAAGTCACCCTCCTTGTCACACTCTCCCAACAAGGACCCTTTTGTCCAGGCATCCGGCCCGTCCTGGCACCGTCATCTGTACGCCTCCAAACAGCGATAGCATCAGGATCATTTGAACATCGTTTTGCAAGTTCCTCTGCAATACACACACTGTCTGTCAAGTATGCCGTCGGTTTGCGCACACGTCCAACACCATGCTCATCTTGTATAAACATTCCTTGCTCACACATATCTCCGACCACTTTCAAAACACCTGGAAGTTGTTCCACCTCCTTCACACATTCGTACTTCCAAGAGGCTGCCGTCTCCGGATGTTCATGCACAAAATACTTTCCTCGTTCATGTTGTCGAGCATATTGTTTGCAGCAAAATTGTAAATGCTGTTCACCTTCACGAAGTTTGCTCTCCATAACCTCAGGGTCGGCTCTGTCCTTGTTCAAATTCTGCATTTGCGAAAATGGCCCACATGGCGGGCATCCAATCAATAAATCTGGACTCAACCATTCAATCAGATCTGCAGCTCGCTTCCGCACTTCAGCAATTGTAAAATCCCACGGGTTGCCGTACTCATCGCTTGTAGTCAGATCTAAAGCCACGCCGCTTCCTATGCCACGTCTTCTTGCCTCGTCTGAAACTCTCGGCGGTGAGAACAGCTCTGCAATAATAGGCTGACCCAAATCATAAGCATCCTGCACCGAAATGGCCCCCACTTGCAGAAGAAGACGTCGATCTTCGATGTCCTCCTCCATCAGCAACATAGCAGTCTCACAGATACTCGCTTCTCGCACGGCTTCCTTGAAATCTGTGGATTGCCCTCTGCTCATCACATGCAAAGCACCAATCTGCATAGCAGGAGCGCTATCGTCTCCAGCTGAATTCTCATCACTCATCAGCACAACGTCATCTCCACCTCCACCTGCAGCTGTACCCATATCTGAATCCAGACCACCTCCCAAGGCTGCCTCATTGCGAACGGCCCCCTCGGATGCTTGGCCCGATACATCCCCAAGTACAGCGTCCACCACATTGCCAGGGTCATCCGACTTCGCAGACTTCCCCTTCTCGCATTCCACCTGCTCCTCAGCAGACCTCTTCTTTCTTTCTTCGCTCTCTTGCACTGCCACAATGTACCGCTCCTCACGCTCTTTGATGCGTCTCACTCTCTCCTTGCCCTCGTCGGATTTGCTCATCTCCGCCATGATCCTCTCCTTGCAAACACGGCTGTGCTGCTTGTGGGACAAACCATGTCGAGCTCGCTCACAGCCATCACATCCTTCAGTGTAACCATAAGCTTCCAGCTCCACATCTCGTCTAATATAAATGCCCCTCGGCACGTAATTCTTCTTCTTCTTCTCGATCATCGGCGGCTCACCTGCATCATCTACTTCCGGTAGGTCAATCTCAAGCCGTACATCTGGCAGGGCTCGTCGTACATCTGGCTGGGCGTCTATCCTCGGCCGGAGTTGCCATGGCAAACCAACAAAACTGCTCAACTCGTCCGCTCTCCACTTTTCCTCCTCCGGCTTCCTCTTGATCGTCCATGTGCGCACCACTCCTTCTGCTGTTCCAATCCACCTCATCGCTGTGCCCTCCTGGATGCCCAGGTATATTCCTGGCTCAAACTTCGCCTCAAGTTTGCTCCGATCTCGCTCTCCTTTCAGCGGCTGATACCAAACGCACTCACCGAACTCGGGCAGCTCAATCCTCCACTTCTTCCCAGTCGATCTCTCGTACGGTGTAAAGCCATCTGCACCTCGTTGAAAACGGGAAAGCAGGGTTCCGCAGTAATCGACCAGCCAACACAATATTGGGTGTCTCGGTCCAATAGAAATTCCGTACCGAGACTCCAAGCTGCTCTTCAAAGTTCGGGCTTGCGCCTGTAAACGACCAACAGCAGATTCAATCGGACCATTGGTCTGTGACTCTCCTTTCACAGCATCTTCAAACCCAATACCAGGTAAACGAAGCTGTGCCGCTGACCTCAAGGCAACCAGCGATCTCTCCGTGTCCGTCTTCAGCACCGCGTCTTGCAGACCCAAACATTTCAAAAGCTTGACCACAATCGCCGTGTTATACTGGTGGACCACACCCTTGCCAGGTAAAGCCACAGAGAAAACCCTCTGAGACTTCTCATCTATAATTGCCAGCAGAGGTAGCGCACTGTCATCTGACTTCTTCCCCAACTGGAAATAGTCCATGCTCACCCTGGGTCTTGCACGTCCAGCCTCTTCTCGACTTGCTCGATTCTGCTGATGCTGCAACGCTCGGCCTTTGCCTCTAACGCAGTGCCCGCACCAGCTCCTGTACGGAATGTGGCTGATGTTGTGCTGTCTCACCTCATCTGCAGTTGGCTTGATAGGAGACCTTTGTCCCAATCTCTCACCAACCTCTTCAAATTCTTCATGCAGCATCTCTTCCGGTAAATCGCCCTGCTCCTCACCCAGCTCAAAGATACCTGGTTCAGCATCCTCTCCTTCACGGCTGCTGGGCTGGTACAGGTCGCTCCGTCCATCGTCGTCCTCCACGGGCTTCGGCTGCTCATCCTCGTTGGCACCCACTGCACCAATGTCTTTGACCGGACTTACAGCATCCCAGGGGACATCATTTCTCAACACTCCATGGCCTCCGGAATCGCCTGCCTGCCAAAACCCACAGAATCGGCACCAAGCACCACCAACTTCTGCACATAGACTCCATCCACCTGGTAAAGTCTCATCCGCTCACCTGTGGCCAGCTCCTCGATATAGCTCACCTTGTCCTCTGCTTCCAGAACGATCCGATGACCTCGATTGGCTACCTGCGCAGCAGACATCAACGGCTTGTGAACATCCGCCACAGAAAACTGCGTAGCTCGAACCTGTTGCTCCTCTGTCACCACCACTGGAACCACTTTGGCCATCTCCGGAACCAACTGACCATTTGCAGACAAGAATGTCACACCAGGGTCCGGTGCTTCATGATCATAATCCTCAAACGTATGTGCAGGACAAACTGATGCCGCGGCTCCACTGTCCACCGTAACCAAGATCTCACGACTTCCCGGTCCATGGACAGCTCCTCGATTCTCAGCTGATCCCCAACTGCTCATTGCATTCGTTGCAGAATACCAGACCTTGCGACCCAATGCACACAGATGCTTGATCACCAAACTTCCCATCGGGACAGAAGAACCAACTGTCGTCGGCGCTGAGCTTGTTGCTCCCCCTTGTGTGGTTCCTGTTGGCGACATAGGCATTGACATCTGTGACTGCGGGCTGGTAGGCGGGTTGCACTGCCTCTGGTACTCCTCCATGGCCGCTTTCGCGTAAGCTGACTGCAGTTGAGACAACCTGGAATCTTGGCGGGCATCAACGGTGTTGAGGGCCTTGGGTTTGGACCAGCAACTGTCCTTCGTGTGCCCGGTTTTGCCGCAATTGTAGCAAACAGGACCCTTTCCGTTACCTCCTTTCTTCCCTTTTGATTTGCCGCCATCCTTACCCTTGCCCTTCATCTTGCCTTTGCTGCCGTCTTTTCCTCCTTTCCCTTTGTCATGGGGTTTTCCTTTGCCTTTGCCCTTCATTTTGCAATCTCTCGCCAAATGCGGTCCTCCGCAGTTGTAACATCCACCTCCTTTCTGCACACCCACAGAACCAACATCCATTGACGTAGAGGATACGGGCACCACCTGGTCTAAGTAAGCAAACACCTCTTCTCGCAAGCTCAGATACGTTGTGTAACGACCTGCATTTAATTGCAAATGCTCTCTCAGCTTGGAGGGACACATGTGCACCAAGGCTGCCATCTTCATCGAATCTGAAATCCGTTCTGATCCAGGGGCAATCTCATAATCCACGATCCTGTTCTCCCACGCCACAACCTCAGCTGCAAGCCTTTCCAGTGCGACCCCTTCAGTAGGGTTTGTTATCCGGATGAGTTGCGCTCTCTGTCGCCCAATCGTCACCGGATTGAACCTCACCTGCAATAACCTGAAGGCTTCGAACCCGTTCGGCCTCCGAGCTTGCCGCACCAAACTCTTTGCTTCGCCAGCCGTGTACGTGGACAAGATTGCAAATATATTCGTGTCCGCATAGTCCAGCAACAATGCATCAATGTACTCAAAATTTGCTTTCACCTGCACGATGTTCAAAGCAATTTTCGGTTGCCGCTGCACTATGTCCTCTAAAACCTCATACACCCCCGGCATGGAACTGTCGCAAAGTGTGATCACAGAATCCGTCCAATCCTGAAAAGATACCTTGCTGTCCGTCGGATTGTACACCATAGGTTTTGCCAGTGCACGACCATCGACTCCACCTTGCTGAATAGCGTACGCAACTGCAGGGCTCATCTGAGGTAAGCCACCTTGAACTCCTCCAATGTTAAAACTCTGTGATGCGCCACCCAAATTCGGTCCCGCTGGGGGCCTTCCCGGCGGGGCCGATGGCACACCGCCCGCGTTCGCTGATGGTCCGCCCGTCGGGCTCGATCCTCCGGCATCAACCGAAGCACCCAATCCCGTAGGCTGACCTTGCAAACGTCCCCGCACTGCATGTATGGATTGACCAAGCTGTTGAATCTGATCCTGTGTTGCTTGATGTGCTTGCAAAACCTGGACCATCTGATCTCTCTGTTGCTGCTGTTCCTGCGCAAAACCTTGTTGAACTTGCGTCACAACTTGTTGCACAACCGCCTCCGTGATCTGTTGTGTTGTCTGAACAGCTGCGCCAGTGCCCATAACTGCTTGCCCAAGCTCGTCAAGCCTGCCACGTTGACTCTGCTGCTCCTGCAAAAGCTGTTGCAATGCCTGCGCAATCTGTGTCAAATCCGGTGTGCCTCCTTGGCCTTGCAACCCGCCCGGCTGATCTGCCATCTCACTGTGATAAGACTCCACCACAAAGGCCAGAACCAGGGATAAAGCTGCAAATGCCCACGCACACCAATTGCAGGGTCTGAACCGAGTGATTCCCAGGTTCTTGTACCCCAGGATCACTGTGTCAGCAGAGGCTGCCTTCAGGTAGGCTTTGCCTCGAGCTCCAGGCGATCTATGGCTGCTGGTTCCGCGGTCCAGCTCCGCTACCATGACAAACTTTATGGCAGCTAGCTCTTGTTTCTTCTGGCTGCGGATAGATACATGCACTTGATCATAGCCAAAAGCGGAGACCTGTCAACTCTATGCAGCCTATGTTCTACCAACACGGTTTCTTGATCAGCAGCAAGTCACCAAGCAGTCTTTGTCCTACTCAAGCAGATGTTGATCATCTTCTACCTACCCAATGTCAAAAGGCCCTGCAAAAACACCCCTCCTGTAAAAAGCATTGCCAGCAGCCAACCAAATGCATCTTTCTTCCAAAACGGCCATCTTTAGGTCATATCAAGGACCCTTTCCCTCAACGCCCCCACCCCATCTCGGGGCCACTGCCTGTGGCAAGAACGCTGCCGCCGCCGCACTGGGCCCACGCAGCCGAAAGGCCACGAAGCCAAACTTGGGCGCCTCAAGTCCGCGGATTTCTTGGCGCGGCGCAGCGATTGCAGGTGCAATTCCCTTCTTACGAATTGTTTTCATGGCTGGGCTTGTGGGGGATTCTTAGCCCCTTACGAAAGATGTTTGGGATGTTCAATCAGATTTTACACAATGGTCCACCTTGAGGAGGGCAAGGTGAAATCCCAAAATTGTACCAACCACATCCAACTCATAGATACGAATGATTGATTCCCTAACATACAAGAGCAACTGGAAAACAATCATGGTGAATTTCCTGATTTGTGTGTGGCTGGCTTTTGGTGTATGCACCTTGGATGTTTGGGATTGACAGGAAGGTATGCTGGTTTCGCTCCCCTCCCTCCGATCATGGAAGCTGACATAGGCTTTGGAACTGGACTTTCCTTTACGAGAAGAAACGGGACGCATTTGAGGAAAATGGTTGGACTCCTCGTGCGGATCTGTGTCCGCCCACGATCTGTTTAGCAAATGGTTTCCATCTTTAAACTGTTGGGCAAACACAACCATAGTACAGCGTGCTCAATTGCAGTTTGCGCCTTGATCCCTTCTTCAAACAGTTTGGGCATCCACCGGCTGATTGCCTGCACATTACAAGTAAACCAACCACACAAGCTAAACTACAGGGTTGCCCTTGTGGCCGGAACATGTGCATTTATGTACAGATCGTCCATGCAGCATGTCATGTGGTTCTTGCCTATACTTAGACCCACACAGCAGTTCACAAGTCCTGCCTTGGGTGCTTCCAAAAAACACCTACACGCTTGTTTCCAAATTGGGCCCCGTGTAATTCCCTTCGTCTCTATCTTGGGATGTGGCGGGGTGAGGGGGGGGGAATCCCCCAGTTTCATTTTCCTAGCCATTCTCGAAGGGAACATGGACCAATACGATTCGCAATGCCACACGGGCTTGTCTCAAAGCCGCGGAACAAACAACCTTTGTCTTCCCTGCCATCAATCCACACGCGCACGTGCTCAAGCAATGATCAACCATTCCTAAACCAACTTCCTTTCCCGGCAAGTCGAAACGGGTCTGGTTGTTAAACAATTGGCCCAACCCATGTCTAAGGTCATTTCCGCAGGTCCCCATATGTCCACACAGGTCGTCCTATGTGAATCATGCCAAGGCCTCGAGGGATGTGTTTCTTGGCCCAAGTGTGGGGCAATTACATTTTTGTCAAACTTTAAAATAACAAACAAACAAACACATATTTTCAAATTATGATCCATCTTTAGTTTACCCCGAAATACATCCATGGGCCTAAATGGGCTCGTCCGAGGAGCCACCGAGGTCTCCTGGACTTGCAGAAGGCCCAGCGGGTCTTTCACGTGCGGAGAGATCACCTCTGCCGCCTGCGGATCCATCAGATTGAGGAGAGGTGTGGGTAAGGCCCAAATTCAGTGAGACCTTTCCCCATAGACTGCAAGGGATCGAAAAACAACCTGCGAGTTACCACTGCCGTATACCGCACTTTGCTTTGTTTGTCTGGTCGGATGTGGTTGGGCTCACTTGCAATTCCTTTGGGAAATAATCACCCCCTCTTGGTGGACCCCTTTGGGTTCCATGAATTTGAACTTGCAGGGGACTTGATTCCACAAACATCGGCACTTGCAACAGGTCCAGCCGCCGTGCTTTGTCAAAGAAATGACATTTGCATGATGTTCAGTTGTTGGTTGTCTGCAACCTGCTTCAACAGCCCAAGCAACATAAACCAACAGCCAAAAACTCAGCAAATAAAATGAGGCAAGCGTACTGAAGACCTATAGTACCCGGTACCGGTACCTCTAGCATTCCCTAGCTCACATGTGCTTTCACATGCAATGCTCTTCTAGCTCTGTGCTGCATTGGGATCGTCTCGATTGTATTGAGTACCGCCTAGAACGCTACGCTGATTTGACAAAAAGAGTGTATGCTACATAAATGCAGTCTTGATGCTTTGTTGAACTTATACTTACAGTATTGGACTCTAATTGGACAGGCCCGTTGCTTCAAGGTCCTGCGTTTGCGTGTGGAATTCCAATTGTCCAGCACTGGGGATCGAAACTACGTTTTATTACCAAGAGTTGAAACAACATGCTATGCATGAAAACAGTTTGGCAAATGGTCTACTTTCCTGACTGCAGTAGTGCTTGGCCTGCTGTGTCAATGCATGGTGAAGCTGCCCAAATGGTTTGACGCGGGTGTTCTCAAAGTCTGCAATTCAAGCTTCAATTGAGTCAAAATGAAACGGCGAAATTAAAAGTGGTCTACGAATCACGCGAAGAACCAAAAGAGCAGCCGTACCCCTGCATGGTTGGGGCCGTCCCCTACTAACCTTCACTTACCCAAATTTTGATTGTGGCTCAAATTCTTAAGAATATCAACAACAATGAGTCGAACGATCAAACAGGCCAAAACACCATTTCAGGTACAGTGGTTTATGAGCCGAAAATGTTCCTCTCGCTTGTACTCAACCGTTGTCATTACCGGGCATGGTGGATGCTGCACATTGGACAAAGACCTTAACAAATCCTGACATCTTCTCACGTGACAACACTGACAATGCCTCGGACCAGTGGTTGCCTTGTTCCCCGTTTCCCCTACAAAAAACAACAACCATGCGAGAAAACCTCAGAACAAACATCTGCTCTTTGCCAACTAGGAGGAGCAAAAGGGTATGTATGCCCCGTTCCAGGTCGTGCCAGCTCAGCACCAGTTCTTAGTACGTGGTGTTTCACGGTCTTTGGCTCATCCCGAAAAGGGACCATGTTTGCAACAGGTTTAGGGTGGCCCAGCTGAGTAAACTAGACTCCAAAAAACTGGACGTGCCAACGACACCCCCGCAGAGAAGCAGGCCCTTCGGCATGTCTCCTTTTTTAGGTTTTCAGGTTGCAGGATAGCTTGCGGTTGTGATGCCGGACGTCTGCACCGAATCTCCGGTTCCAAGATGGCCCCTCCACAAGAGAAGGATGAAGATGGGCAAAAGCAAGGCCGCCCATCCCCGAGCCTCATGTCCCAAAGCTCAATGGAAGGGGGAAGGCGCTAGGGCAGGGAGACAACAAATCACTGTTTGTGTCTGTGTTTCTTTCTTTGATTTCTTCGTTCTGCGGACACTTGACGGTACATCTTTGCATGGCTTGTTCTGCGTTCACTGGCCGCAGAATGCAGAACTTGTGGCTCCACACATTTCTCCACGATGGCAGTAAGTGAAACCAAACACCGTGCCTCTGGCCACACAAAGTGGAAGTAAACCTCCAAAACGTTGTAGATGTAGACGAGGAAGAACAGCAGCATGACGTAACCTTGCATCGATGAAGAAACTGACACACTTCGCACCAGTCGGGAGGGATGAAACCCTATGAATACTTGGACAAAGAGCACTCCTATACACAGTATTAGTGGTGAAAACGAACAACTGTGATGCAAACATGCTAGGAGTCATTCCTGACTGACACGTTCCAATCCCACGAACTCAAATAGCTCTGCTACCATAAGGTTTGCAAGCTGCGTCGATCGCAACATGCCCTGGTAGTAAGTCCTTGATCCTGGTACCATGAATGCGAAACATGAAAGCAGCCCAAAGTCCCCCAAACTGGGGAACTCCATTTTGCAGGTCGGGAATGGAAACCAAACGAACACCACCCTCCCAATGGTGGAACGCCAAGAGAAACGAAACACCAACAGTCGTGCAGTACAAAGCCGTGGGTGTCGGCGCAGCTCTCTTAGGCCCACGGCGGGTCCAGCAGGTCCGCATGCCACACCTTGGCTCCTGCCAATGACTCAAGATGTGGGCATCGTGTGCCAATAAATGCAAAATACGGTTGGGGGGCCCCCCCCAACTGGTGCCCCCCCCCCCCCAACTGGTGGCTTTCTCTTTTGCCCTGAAAACCGCCCCAAATAGCTGCTCTCAAGAAAAGCGCACTCATCTGGGTGCTTCTCCTGAGCTTCAGCTGAGCTCAGCGTCTTCAGCCAGGGTTCCCATGTTTTGAGCAAGCATGGTAGCAGGGTAGATTTCAACCAAAGATTCCGATGAGTTTGCGAAAGCCACACTAAACAAAAAGGTAGACCTAAACCGAAAGCTTCAGCCCAGTCCGTTAACTTCAACGGCAACCAAGAAATGCTCTCCGGATCCTAACCACCCTAACCCCAGCCTTCGTCGGCCTAATACAAATAAAACCAGGTGGCATCCCCAACAGCCACTTTGGACACCTTCAGGGACCCTACCCAATTCCGTCCGGAAACCCATGGGGCAACCGCTCCACGGAACCCCCAGCAACCCCACGTAACCTTTCGGCACCCTACCTCAGAGCTCCAGATCATTCCGGAACTTATCCGGGCCAAGGCTCCATAGCTTTCAGCAATTGCGGAACAGTTAGGGAAGCAAACAGGGGAACAAACAGGGGTCCCCTCAACCGGCAGCAACCCACGCACCCATGCAGCCACGCACCCACACACAAGACACAAGACACAAGACACAAGACACAAGACACACACACACACACGCACAAGCACACGCCCACACACACACACACGTTGTTCTGTTTCCGCTGAACAAATATCAATCCCAGCCCCCCCTTATTGACCCGTCCTTCCCATCCCGTCCACAGCAGCGGCGGCCTGGGCTAAAAAAGTGCGCGAGAAGCGAATGGACATGAAGGATGCTTTCGCACACGTTTTGTTGCTATGATGTACTTTCGCGTTTGTTCAATCTGAATCATGACTGTTTTGGAACATGTGTGAGGTTGAGTTGAAGGCAAGGCAGGGCACCTGCTGGTGGAAAGTTGCGAGGGGTGAGAGTCGCCAAATTAAGTCACACTGTCTATTCCTCTCTCTCTCTCTCTCTCTCTAGCTACCGCTCGATCACTCTGTATCTATCCATCCAGCAAACCCCTCTCTCTCGCCTATCTCTCTCTCTCTCTCTCTCTCTACTTGTATATCTATCTATCTAACTATTCATCTGTCTATCTGTCTAACCTATCTCTCTATACCTCTCTTTTCTATTTTTCTATCTGCCTGTCTATCTGTTTGTCCATCTATGAATTGCTGCATTTCTCTATTTATTTGTCTCCCTCTTTTACAAACCCACCCTCTATCTCTCTACCTATCTTCTCTCTCTCTCTCTCTCTTTCTCCCGGAATTTTGGTTAGCGAGTGTTCCTGGGACATGTTTTGGAAGAAACAGTCCCGGGTGACTTGGTGACAGAAAATGCCTCAGTTTTGTCCAAACCGACCTCTCCATCCCTCTACCTATGCATCCGTCCATCTATCTATGTGTCCATCTATTCATCTATCTCTCTGTCTATCTACCTATCAACCTACCTCTCTACCCATGTGTCTATCTGTCTATCTGCCGTATTTCTCTCTATCTAGCCCACCTACTTGCATATCTATTTATCTCTTCATTTGCCTTTTGTCCTCCAAACAGCTGAAAGCTATAGGGGTGCAACTTCTAACAAAGAAGGAACAGTGATTTGAGAGATTGACTAGTTGCTGGGGGGCGTGCAGTTTGGGGTGCTGGCGCGGGTGTTTTTTAGGGGGCCTGGTGATGGGCGCGAGCGCGTATCGCGAGATTGACGGAGGGGTGCTAGGGGTCATGCATTTGGGTATTCTTGTGCGGGGTGTTGGTTGAGGTGCTCTTCGGGTGGTGCTGGTAATTAGAGGTGGTGGCGTGCAATCGCTGGCACAAATTTCGCTATCTGGGGTCTATGCTGCTGTAATCTAATCTGTCTATCTTTCCATCATTTTCCATCTATTTACTTGCCTATCTATCCATCTATCTCTCGCTCTCTCTCCCTCTCTGCGTCTATATATCTATCTGACCTTGCGAAAGGCGCTACGCCTGCCACGCAAATCTGCTCCGCGCCTCTATATAGTTGCCCTGAAGCCACGCCTTCAAACCAGGTGCGCCTCGCCGTCTGTGTCTTTTGCTTTTCCTTTTTTCCCGAAAGCATTGCGAAGGGTTCTTCCGTGCGGAGCTCTTGGTCAACTTGCGCAGAGTAGCTTGCACAGAGTCACCAGCATGGAGATACCAGCATGGAGATACTCGCGCAGAGTTACTAGCACAGAGTAGCTTGCACAGAGTTACCAGCATGGAGATACTTGCACAGAGTCACCAGCATGGAGATACTTGCACAGAGTCACCAGCATGGAGTCACCAGCATAGAGTTACTTACGCAGAGCCAAGTGCAAAGAGCCAAGCGCATAGAGCCAAGTGCTCAGAGCGAAGTGCAAAGAGCGAGGTGCAAGGAGCCAAGTGCACAGAGCTAAGTGCACAGAGCCAAGTGCAAAGAGCGAAGTGCATCGAGCCAGGTGCATAGAGCCAAGTGCATAGAACTAGGTGCATAGAGCTGTGGCCGTCGTGTAGGCTTTGCTATTGATTGCTTTTCCTTTTGCTTGAAAATCGTTTCGAGCTTTACGAGCTTTACTCTTCTTGTTTTAACGGATGTAAATATGTGGGATCGAGCACTGCCATGTTTCCTCTACCTCTAGTTCTTTTCACTCTCTCTCCCTCTCTCTCTTTCTCTCTGTCGTCTCTCAGATGTTGACACATTCCTGCTGAGGCTCACAATTGAAGCATCTGACACGCCTGCAGGGACCTCTTTCATGTTGCCACGAACACACACTCAAACTCCCGAAGGAGGGAGCTGATCAGTTCGAGTGGCTCTATCGAGTGGGTTGATTCGGTGAGGAGACCAAAAGGACCTTGAATCACTGCAGGTACGTCGGGATGATGAGCCCTGACATCCTGACAACACCATGGAGAGCTTCGTTCGGGACACACACACACACACATCTGCAAGATGAATGACTCCCAAATCTGGAAATGGGTGTCTCAAAATGGGGTGACCCCCAAAATGGTTGTTTCCCCTTGTCTTTCCTTCAAAGCTACCCTAGGAAGGGTACCCTCGAAAGACAAGACACGCAATGAGAAACTTCCATAGGACCCTCAATATTGAACTTTCCGCTTTTGCTCCCAGAGCTCGCCACTTCGGACCTTTCCACTTTCCTGGGGCCGGCACACGTTCGTGCGAAGCGGCTCAGCATGCCCTGCGCCTTAAAGCAAGCCCTTCGCCCGGAAACTCAGCTTAAAGTCAAAAGAGAAAGATTGCCCTTGCACTTGCCGGTCAGGACAGGGGTTGGCAATTCTGGTCGTTCGTCACCAGATCTAGCATCATCGGGTGAGTGTGCCTGGGTTCACATTACGTCATCGATCTGCAAGAACATCCCAGTCAACAGTTCAGCATGCCGGAAATAGGACGCACCTAACCGCATAATGCGACATTTGCTCAATATCATGAACACAAGAACACCAACTCACAAAGGACATACTTACATCTGAATATTCATACAATATCAATACACTTTACATACTCACTTCATGTCCATAAAAGGGTCACCCTTCGAATAGGGTTCCAAAAGTCAATATGGGTGGCACTCAACTAAAGGTGGTGCAAACTGGGAATCGGTCATGCACTAAGCAACACGGCTGTTTCGCAAAACCTACATCTACCAGACTTGAGACAAAATATCGCAAGCTCAACTCAACTCTGCGCTCGATATGGTTCGATGATGCTTGGTACAAACGATGGACTCAACGTTCTGTGTTCAACATCCGTCTAATGTTTCCCGAATCAGAATAGCCACGATCAACAGCTGCCCACGACTGCCTCTTTTCCAATCCCACTTTCAGCCGATAGCGCTTCAAAGGCACCCGCAGAGTTTGGCTTTGGCACCTACCGAACCCTCCCGATTCAAAACGCCCCTTTCTACCCTCCAAAAGTCCAAATAAATATCAACCACATTCTAAACAGCAAAGGTTATTGCTATTGCCAACTCTTCTTCCATACGACGGCCCAGGTCCAAGGCAAGCGAGTGCAGGGTGGAATCAGCGCCAGGCCGCCATCTGGTTTAGAAGCTTTTGGCAAACTTTACGGGGGTTGTAAATCACGGGACCCACACACATTGTTTGTGCCAAGAAGGTTTTTTACATGTATCCAAAACCCAGAACCACGTTTTCGCATGAAGAGCGACCTTACACGTGTCCTGGGCCCAGCTATTCCTGAGCCATTGCCCACACTGACATACGGTGTGACACATGTGCGTCACACCGACCTCTGGGTGCCCCCTGCATTGCTGTACGATGACTCCGCGAGGCGCGCGGACATGAAGGTGTTGCCGATGTACCTAGGATTTGCATCCTGTATCCGCGCATGTTTCAAACTGGGGAGACCCTTAAAGTGTTTGTTGCTTTTCTGTTTCCCATCAAAAATATTCCTGCAAACGTGTACCCTCTCAAACATCTGCACACTTTACAAGCATCCCAAAACCTGAAAGCAAAATCCCCTACATAGCAATAAGCGACCTTCATCATGAGCTCGTTTTACCCGAGGGAAGGCGAGCTCGCCGTAAAATACGAAGCCGAACGTGAGGCCTTCATGACCAAAACCCAGCAGATCCTGTTCAAGCACTGTGGCAATCCTCCAATACGCACGCCGGTGGAAAGTAGAGTAGTAGAGGTTTGGGAAGAATGAACCGTGTATTCATCCCGCTACCAGTGTTCTCTTGCAAGCAAAGACCAAGACCCAACAATTTGCAGCGAACTTCTGACCCTAGCACGGAGCTACTGGGCAGAGCGAAGAAGCCATGGCAACTGATCAACAAATAAACTAGTCCAGTCACAATCAAAACCTGGTAGCAAAGGGGAATACCCAAACTAATGTATATGGGGGTTGTGCAAAATTACTTCTCCTGAAAACTGCCCTTCCGCCGCCCTTCCGCAAACCTTCCGTGCCCATTGTAGATCTACACACAAGTTATCACTAATTTTGGATCCAATGCTCTCGATTACTGGTCCTTCGGCATCTCTTCCGCCGCCCTTGCGCACACAGTGGGAAGCTCATGCCATGTAAACCTGGAAATTCGGAATACTAAACCGAATACATGGGTTTTAGCACGACGCCCATACAATTAAAACGCCGCCCACACCTACTTCTAGTTGTCGCCCCCCAACCTCAAGCTACAGGGGGTTTTGATTGCTGCTCAAATAGCTTCTTTTCTGATTGGGATTTTGTTGACTGGCTACAAGGCCAGCTAGCCAACTTGTTTCTCTGCTAGTGCTACTGTTATCAACACATCCTGACTTTTCGTTGGAACCAAGTGACGGCTCCAAAGGAGCCATGGTCTTAGCTGCTTAGTCTCCCCAGGCCCAAGGGATATGTTGTCTTCGGGGGCCACTAAATGGCGTGGTTTCCTATTGGCTTCCCGTCAAAACAACACGCAAAGGGCGCCTGAAATTTGCCTTCTTTCAAAACCCAACAACAAGTACAGCTGGAAACAAACAGCTACAACATAAGCTGATTTCGAACTGGATTCCCTTTAACGCCCGCCCAACACGCTAAAACAGGCATGTGACATCCTCCAAAAAATGGATTGCCTTCACAAAAAGGGAACCATACGGTACCCATTCCAGCCAAAGGCCCTTCGCTTCTCGGCCTCTTGCGCGTGAGACCAAGCTGCACAGCCAGCAGCGGCATGGTGAGGATCGATGGGAAGGCGAGTGCGAAGGCCAGCAGCGACAACATGAAGGTGCAGCGGAGCAGTCTGTGACAGGTTGGCCGGTTGGAAGACGCCTTTTTGTCAATAGCTCAAGAGTGACACATGACTCAAAGGTAGACTCCAAGACTAAGTTTTATGTCCAAAAAGTAGATGCAGGCTTCAGACCTTGTTTTGAGGTTCGGAGTGACCCCGTGATGGGTTGGCCAGAAGTTCCATGGCCCCCCCAAGGTAGACTTAAACTCAGGGACTCAGAGATCGTTCTTTTGACCCAGTGATGGATTGGTCACCACAAGTTAGACTAAAACACGCTGGGTTGGCCAGGGTACTCCCTTTTGTGACTAACCCAGGGTGACTCATTGGTGGCTTGGTTTGATCCTTGTTTTGGGGTTCGCAAGCAATCCCTTATGTTGGTCTGGGCTTGAGCCTTATGACAACCCAAAGGAAAAGCTAAGCCCACTATATATCTAAATTAACTATGTATTCACCAATCCAACCATACTAGATGCCCCAACAAAAAGAAACACACGCCTCAACAATGGCTGGGCCTTATGTGTCAAGACATGCTCCACAATGAAGTGGAGCTTCAAAGATGTCCAAAACATTTTGCCGGCCCATGCCACACCGCCTGAGCGTCCAAATCCCCGAGTTCGACATGTCGTGGCTGGCCATGGAGTTCGTGTCCTTGGGATGCCGCTTCGAATCAGGTTGCAAGTTCCAGCATCTTTTCAAGCTACAGCCACTAACAAGACACCGCATACAACGCTTGCAAGTTCAAAGGTATTCACTTTGGACAAGTCAGGCCGCACAAGTGACGAAAACTCTCTATTGGCTTCCTCTTCACCCAACGACACAATTACCTCCTTGCATATTATGGGTTCGTCTCAATGTGGACCAACAGGAGAATTGCTGTACCATTTTTGAGGTCCCTTGTTTGAGACAAACCAACCAGGCGCTTGGGTCATTGGGCTGGAAGAATTACCACCTGGGCCTTGAAAGTGCCGGCCAAGCCTTGCACTGCTCGGAAGATCTATGCCCCAGCTATCGTTAGTTGAAATTGAATTAGCAACTACAACTGCCTCAGTAGAAAGCCTTCGCAGTTTCTTTCAAACAATCGCTGTCCGACCCTCTGTTTGGAAATGTATCGCATTGTGGAATAACGGAAGGCGTCATTTTGATTTGCCCTAAGAGCTCCAACAAATCGCTGTCTTGCCTTCGCAACACAACGTGAACAACTCGTGCCCCGTGGACGGACGTGCATTGAACTTCGGCGCAAACGCCTGCAACTTTGGGCCAACCCCCGTTCAAAAGTGTTGAAACACCTGTTGTTTAGACAAGGCTTTTGGCCAGGTTGACACAACTGATGTCCACAAAAGCGTCGCTAAAGCTGGTCTTTTCAGCTGTTGAGCAACAAACGCGGCTCCCCTTGGAAGGGGGCATGCAGCCTGATGCTTCAAACAGATTGCTCAACCCATGCCTCGCTCTCGCGCTCTTGCCCAAGGCCCCGGCCGACAGCGTCTTCCCCATCCGTGAGCTAGAGGACGAAGAGAAGTTTGCACGGAGGGAGGGCAGGTTGCCTACCAGGTGCGACCCTCGCGTGTGTGTATGTGTGTTCCTGGGTGGTTGGGTTGGTGAGTGCGCCTCTGCAGGCGGGTGCGGGAGTGCGTTCGAGTACATACGTGTGTTCAATTGCGTTCTCGTGCGTGCGTGCGTGTGTGCGTGTGTGTGTATGATATGTAGATATATAAATAGGTTGCGGGTGTATGTGCGTACGTGTGTGTGCGCGCTGCCCTGATGGCAGCAATCCAATGAACACAACAAGCGTTGCACAAGTATCTTCGCTCTTTGGTTCTGTGGCGGTCAACATCTGAGACCACGCGTGGCTGCAAGGCACGCACGATATGAGATGGAGTGAAACCTTGCCTTTCAATCATCTGAAGTGCCGAGGTTTGACACTTGCTCGTCCGTCAGCGCAGTTCCTCTTCGGTCAAACAACTGGACCACTGGACAATTTCCAACTTGTTGTCAGTAAAAATGAGATATGGCCCCAACTCCGGTTCGACCAGCAACATCTGGTCAGTCAAGGTCGGGTGGCTCGCCAAAAGAAGACACCGCGTGTTTGCCATGTATTATGTAATGCGTGCAAAGAGAACCAAAACAGTTCTGGGTTCGTCTTATATAGACCCACTGCAAAAAGCTAAACATGTTGATAGATAGTGTGCAAACAGCCACTTTCCAAATGGCGAGAAACATGAAAGGCCGTACCGCTAAAGCAACCAAGCTACAAACAACTGTGTCTGAGCAACCGTTCACACAAAGCAGATTCGCACACTCGATCAAGATAGCCGAGTTTGTCTGACTTCAAGCAACCCATTGTTTCAAGCTCAGCTGCTCAATATAAATACGGGGGATCGCTAATCTGAAACATGTCATGTTTCCCCTCGCATTCATGTTCAGCCGCGAGCAGCTCAAACACAAAGATTACCACAGCGCCACTGCACTCCACACGATTTCCTGAAATGTCAAACCACCACCAAAAGGGGTATTGTCCAGTTTATCCTCAACTTTGGTAAGCAAACCACACCAGTTTTACAGCTACCCTCAACGATGAAAGAACCCACACCCAACAAACATGCCAGCAGGGCCGCACACAAGTGATTTGTTTCTGCAGAGCCGGTCCCAGCAATCTAAAAGGTTAGTTGCCTACAATTGAACCACAGTGGCAACACTCAAATTCTCCAAATGTGGACAAGCATCACCTACATGGAGCAACCTGCGCACAATTGCGGGCTTTGCTTTGAGCAACTGGATCACCTTGTCGCCGGCCAAAAGACCAGAACAAGTAAGAGATTCTGTAAAAGCCCAAGCCCTTTGCCAAATGAATAGTGTTTTGCGCGGCCCTTCACTTTTCCAATAAACGTGGGCTCCCACCCATTTGGATGTGCGGCCATACTTGGCCCCTGCATTTCATCCCTTGACCTCCAACCCCCCAATGCGGGGAGTGTGCCTTCAGACACGTTGGTTAGAACGAAGTGAAGCAGCATAACCTAAGCAGCTCATACTGAACAATCTGAGTTGGCCGGGTCTCGAGATTCGCATGCTGGAGAAGCGGTTGATTTGCCCGGTGGGCATAGGGAAAAGGTCACCCTTTATTTTGATCGTGTTCAGAATAGAAGAACTTGAAGACACGCATTCATTGGGTTTAATTCAATTCCCTGCAAAATGCAACGCACAGGAATTGGGACTGTGCATGCAGTGGCCGAAAATGAATGCCTGGTAAACTATCTATCTGAACGCGTAACAACAAACACACCCTAGTCATATTTGTCCGGATCCCCAGTCTCCAAATACTAAACTAGAACTGGGTCAATCCTAAGCCATTTCTAAACCAACAACTTCGCCGCTGACCCCAATGCAGTCGTATTAGGGGGCTCTCCAAAGCAATTTGAACCTTAATTGTAAACCGTATGATACGAGTTAATTGACATGCCACTTGCATCATTCAAATTGGAACTACCAGTAACCTTGAGCAATGTTTTCTTCCCCTTTCAATCCTTGCATAGCAAAATAAACATTTGTCAGTCTTTGCGCCTGGCGAAAGGTGATAAACCAGTGGGGTCCCCCCGGACCCCATTAATTCTATTCATTCAGACATCTTTCCTCCTGGATCATGCATCACTTATGTGTTTTTTTGGGGGGGTGATTGGAAAAGCGATGATGCAGGCCTCACACAAATGAAATCCACACGCATCATAAAGACCAATACGCTCGACAACCCTCCTTGTAAGTGTATACACATGTTCAATTGAGACTACAACAACGCTGATGCAGCATTGTCTTTTCGGTTGTGTGGAGCCTTATCATTTTTACTTGCATATGCGACGCCTACGCTGCCTATGCCAAACCACTCCCACAAAAACGCCTACGAGCGACCAAGTTGACTAGATGCCTGCATACGC